GAAAGAAAACCCTAATCAAAACTCAAATTAAAGCCCAGAAAAGGACTTACTTGGTAAGATGCAGAACCTACACCAAATATGAACCCTTCTGGAAAACTGCTCCTATTGAGAGAAGCAGTGTCAAAATGTGTGGGTGGAGCTCTAATATCAGCTTCGCTATTTGTGAAAGCAAAGCCAATTAGTAGCAGTATGCCTAAGAGAAAAGAACGTAATTGCATTGCCATAACTTGAGGTTTTTGTTGTTGTTGTTGGTAATAATCTTGAGAAGTATAAGTTGGCTCTGGCTGGCATGCTGCATGGCCTTTATATAGAGGAGGAAGTACGTGCTGCGCATGAGAATAAACACACATGGGCATTGAATGGGTTTGAGGGGGCAACTACGTAGAATGTCATGGTACAAAGGGAAATGGCAAGTTTCATATTTGAATGAGTTTGTCTCCTCCCAAAACTCAACTGCTATATTCAAACACGCAATATAATATGTGGTGCATATGTGTGAGTAGCCGCTAAGTCTGATTGAGTCTCCTAATAGCCATTTGGGTCAAACTGTGAAAAGAAATTTGACACAGAATTGTTTTCTTCACAATGTAAATTTGTAGATTGTTTAAATTCTTGGGCATAATATGTGATTATCTTTTGTGTTTGACGACCTAGGCAGCGTATAATAGAATTTTACTTTTATTTCTTTTAAACATCAGAAAATCATGTCCAATTAGTGGGGTTTTCACAAACGATCTTGAGGTTAGTTGAAACTTAAGCAATGGTTGGGGATCATTTCGGTGAAAAACCCTAAATATATATATATATATATATATATATTTTTGTGATATAAACGCCTATTTTGTAAATATTCATGCATGCATGATAGATTGACTAATTTTGAATCAAATTGTTAAAAGTTACATGGTCTAATTATAAACAATACGCTATTATCTTCAAGGTGCGAAAAAAGAGATTGTGTATCTATTATCTCTGAAACCGTCAAAAGAGTAAAAGCGAAAAAGAAAACAAAAAAACGTTGTGAAGACTTTATAACCGTTGAAAGAGAAAAAACGTAATTGCCAAACTCATCCTTACATATTTATGGTCAAAGTAATGACATTGACAGTGTCAAGAAAATAATGGTCCGTCAAATTCTTTTCAAAATTTGACCCATGTGGTTAATTAGGAGACTAAATCAAAATTCGCAACTACTCACACCATTTGTACCATGACATTCTACAGAGTTGCGCCCTCAACACCCTTCTAATGGCATGCACTTGTTTTGCAAAGAAATTTATTTCACCATACCAACCAGAGTCAACTTATACTTATCAAGATTACCAAAAAAAACATCTCAAGTTATGGCAATGCAATTAGGGTCTTTTCTCTAATTTCTAATTATCAATTCACTTATTTTCTCATTTTCTGATGTTGGATTCATAATTAGATCTAAATTCGCAATGGTGACTTACATGATTAATCATCTATACAATAACATTTACATGCAATCATAAATAATTATTTAAACAAAACTTTAATACGCTTTTATTGATCATGTTATTTATAGGTCTAATATCATTTGTGACACTTCCTTTGGGATCTTCCCTAAACGTTAGAAGGTAAATTTAGTGGACATGTATAGCATACGATATTTAGCTCCATATATTTCACATGATTCAAGGAAAACATCTTTATCACATATGAAAGAACAAAAACTGAGTATAGCCGTGCGGCTATACCCTTGTTCTTTTTAAATATATATTATTTTTATTCAATAATATGTGAGAATTTTGTGTATAATACGTGAATTTTGTGTGTCTTATCGAAATTTTTGTAAAAAAATATGTGTATTAAACATGAGAAATACTTGCGTACGTGTCTAATACATTATTAAACGTGAATGTGCTAAAACCTTTATACGGGTAATAATTTTGGAAAAGTAAAAAATGAATAAGGGACAATAGATACTCAAGTAATGGACTAATAGTAATGGATAGGGTTCTTGGGCCATAGAGAAATTTAATTACAGCACCCAAACGATTTCACAAAAGACTTAGTAAATAGAAATTAATTATTTTGTGGACTTTTTCTATAATTTTTTTGTATTAAATATTAAATAAAATATAATTACTAATTAAAGTAATTCAAAAGGGGTAACATATTACTTAATTACATACATTAAATTAAAGAAGTAGGCCAAAAAAACAAAAGTAAAGAAACCAATATTATTTAAATTTTATTTTTTTTTTTTTTTTTTTTTTTAACCTATCCCGACGAAAGTTCGTCAGCACAAGTCTATGCCGGCAAAATTTCAAGGATTAAATTTTCTTTTTGAAAAAGTATAGCTGCGTGGCGATACTATTTATATATTAAAAAAGGACATGCCCAGCGCATAGGTGCCATGTGTCAAAACAGTAAAGCCTTCCGACTATACTATTTTTAATTTAAAAGAAGGAAAAAGGAGTATAGCCGCCCGGCTAAACTATTTCTTTGAAAAAATAGAAAAAAATCTAGTATAGCTGGCCGGCTATACTATATATATAGCCCAGTGCCTATGCGCCACGTGTCAAACAAATATAGCCGCCCCACTATACTGTTTTTGTTTTAAAAATTTTAAAAATGAGAATAGCCGTAGGGCTGTACTATGTTTAAAGACAATTAGGGAAAAACTGAGTATAGCTGGGCGGCTATTCCCTTTTATTTTCTTTTTTAATATATATTATTTCTATTCAATAATATGTAAGAATTATGTGTATAATACACGAATTTTGTGTGTCTTATTAAATTTTTTGTTAAATTGCAGGAGTTTCGTGGTCGCAGAGAATAGTGGTTTGAGGACTTCCAGAAAGGACTTACCCTTCACCAAAGTCTTGATCCCTGCACATGCCTCACCAAATTCTTTGCCAAATTATTAAGGGGTCATGTCATCCAATCCCAATGCCTGACAGATTCTGAATTTTGTAAGTTGAGCATAAGAATTTGTAGGGTTTTGCTGCAAGTGCTGCTGAGTTGTTCCATTATTATAGATTTGTGTACTTTGTTTACAGGGCAAGAGATAGTGAACGAAGTGGTTGGTGTCAAACAAAGTATATGAGAATTTTTCAGATATGTCCAGATATTTTATATATGCTCATATGTGTTTTATTCTCCAGCTTTCTTAGAATGCTTGTTACAATATGAAAGGGTGTATTCAATTAGGATTCTAGAGCATTTTAAAAGAATTTTTTTAAGTGCCAAATTTCATGGAACTCTATGGAATCTTAGATTTCTCATAGGCTTGAGAAGAATTCTATATAATTTTATTATAAGATTTGTATGGCTTTTATTCCAAACTTCCATTCTTTAACATATTTCTTTAGACGAATGCTAACTTTGGCATCCTTACCTAGATGTTGTTTTTATTTCCTTTTCCATTTTCAGTAAAAGTTCAAGAACTCGATGTGTATGAGATCAACAAGAGAGACAGAGGCAGCCCAGCATACCTAAGACTCAGCAAAAAGAAGTCAACTCACTTGGTAACCTTGTCCCATTCAGCAACAAGATCTACTCTGGGGACTTGGAGAAAAGGTTGGGCGTAACAAAAGGCCTACGTGTTTTGATCCAAAACTTACCAAAGGAGAAAGTGGACAAGTACGATGAATAAAAATCATGGAAAAAGAAAACCCAACGAGGTATTGATCAAAGAAAAGATAGGTAGGGTACCTTCACAGATGGAGGAAACTGTTTGTTTTCTGCAGAGAGAAAAGTTAGGGCATATGCAAAGAGAAAAACTAGCGTATGATGAAATCTTTTGGGGGAGGTTGGATTTATTATGGTCTTTGTTATTTATACCTCTTACCTTAAAACCTACCGAAATTTATCACTCAATGAAATTCTTCCAAATATATGAATTTTTTAATACACCTAGATTTTATTGAACTTTTTTATAATCCTAATTGAATACACGCATATTTGTATGGACTTTTTAAAAGTTAATACAAGTCTGAATTGAATACACCTAGACTTATAGAAACTCTTTTAAAGTTTGTATAAATCCAAATTGAATACACCCGAATTTTTAAAATCTTTTTACACTCTCTAGAATCCTAATTGAAAACAAACGCAAAGCAAGGCAGGGCATAGACAAGGCAAAGCAAAGGCCAGAAAAAACCAACCCCAAAAAATAAGTAAGGCAGAACACAGAAACCCTGTGAACACGGCAAAGGTAAGGCAAAGCAAAAGCAAAGACAAGGCAAAAGTAAAGGCAAGGGCAAAGGCAACATCAAGGACGACAGTAGTGGCAACGACAACGACAAATTCTTCCATATCAACTATAGCTAATTCACGCAGACACAACTTCTCTTCACTCCCCCTGAAGAGAAAAGGTCATTGGAGTAAAGAAATATGCAATATCTTCGAGGGAAAGAGAAACATATCCTCTTCACTCCTCCTTCCCCCCTTGAAGAAGAGGGGAGGAGAACACTTAAATTGCAAGGAGAATGCAAAGCACAAGCACGGGTGAATCCATGAATTTGTGAATGTGTGAATTTTGAAAAAAGGGGGAAATAAAAAAAAAAAAGAAAGCTTTTTAAAAAAAAAAAATTGAATTTTGACAACCGTTATAATTTAAACAATACCAGTTCTAGAAAAAAAAATAGCATTACAAATAACCTATAATTGTTGTTTTAATCCTTGTTTAAAAATAAATATTATAAAAATTAAAATAAAATTGTTAAAAGCCCTAGAGGTTAAAGCCATTTTTTAAAAGTTTATCATTTATTAAGCAGGCCCTAGAATGTTTTTTTTAAAATAAATAAATAAATAAGCGTTGCACTAAGCACATCACAATTTAGTTTTGGCAATTTGTCGAACACCTAGAGTGCACCACCAAAGGGGCAATATGCAGCACCTACAAAGAATAAATGCAGGAGGAGAAGGGTGGGGGTTTTGGTGGAAGGGTGAGAGCGAGTGACGGTTGTTGCGGTTTTTTATGAGCGCTGAAAGAATAGATGTGTTCTTGAGGACGATACCTCTTAAGCTTAGCCAATGAGCCTCTTATGGTCTCCCAAAATATTTTCTTTGAAAATCTGCAGCATGTCAAGCCTTGTCTGCATATCAATGGAGTATGAACTCACCAGTTTCAACATGACCTTATTTTCCTCTTTAAGTTTCTCAACCTCTTGTTGAGACTCATGAATCATTCTCTGAATAGACCAATTTTTAGTATTCAGCTCCTGAATCTCGTTTGCTCTGGCACATAAACAATCAACCATGTTAGAAACAAAAGCAGCACTCGGAATGCTAAAAGTCATTGAGTCATCAATAGCCTCTTCGTCAGACATTCCTGTTAACAGTATTTCATCCATAGGAGTATGGAAATTCCTAGCTACTATGACATCAGTCATATCATTCATCATCACAGAATCATTAACCATGAGATGACGATTTTGGGATACAAAGGATGGACGCCAGACTTTGGCGTTACTGGTTATTTTGGGAGCAATATTTAAATCAAGATGCTTTGGGGGAGAAGAAGAGGAAGCCATTTTAAAATGGTTTCAAGGAAAGTCTTAGAAAAGCTCAATTTTCAAAAAATGGAAGGAAGTTGAGTTGAAACGCAGTTACTCCAATCAGGCCTTGCAGAGGCAATTTCTATAGATGAAAATGTGGCACCGTTTTCAGGATCCCAATATTTTCTTAGATCCTCATATTCTCTTTTTCTTGTCCAGATTTCAAAACTTCACGCTGCCTCCATTAATGTCTATCGACACTTAAAGGGTTTCAAGGACTATTTTCGCCAAAGCTGATCTTGCTTTGAGGATTTCACGGAGTTACTTTTTCAAAGAAATCTCGAGAACCTCACAAATTTCTATGGTTAATTTGAAATTCACCAGATCTACATATTCCTCTAATTTGTGTATAAATATGTTACTAACGAAATCTTCTTTGCAGAATACATCCAGTTTTCTCCATATCTAGTGATGCACTGTCCCCTTGTTTTCCTTATCAGTGAGCACTCGATGTGCCTGAGAAGAAAGATTATCTCTGATCATCCATTCAGGAAGCGAGACTATCCCTGATCAAGTTTCAGCTAGATCAAGGAACCATAAGGACGACCACATGATCTAATCTCCTGAAGTTCTTCTAGGTTAGGAGAAATGAGAGTTTGTTGTCCATTATCTCACTAGTTTCCTTCCCTGATTTCTTACCTACTTTGCAATCAATATCACAATTCTTTGTGTCTTTTCTTTCTTTTTACAACTCTCTGTTCATAAGGGATTTTGTTTCTTTAGAACGAACATTTGAAGAACAAATCCATATAGTGAACCTAACACTGAGGGTTATTTTTTTTTATATAGACAGAAGAATTGTGATTTTTGCTCTTGCAGGATATAACTAGATCATCAAGCATTACATTGTATTTGTTGAGCTGATACGAGCTTGAATGATATTTGAGCAAAGTTTCTCCCACCTAAGGATGTAAGCAATACTTGTTTTATTTCATACTTGTACTCTTATTTTGATATTTTGTACGACATCCTTAAAGGTAACCAAATGGGGAGATAAGGTCGTTCTAGAAGAACGACATGCAAAGGACTATTCTAGAAGAATGACTTGCATTATATATCGTTCCAGAAGAATGACTTGTATTATGATCATTCCATAAAATTGGCTTGTATCATTCTGATATGTATTCATGAATTATTAATGCAAATTTCACAGATTGCAAGTTGAATACATTGATAATACACTGCATAGATTAAAGTCTCAAAAGAATAGAACATGGGTAGAGCAGTGATCAATATGATGCATGTCTGTTGTGTAGCAAATGATATGGATTGAAGTCCCGGAAGGACAATCCATTAACATATCAATATTAATAAGGTGCACGCCTAATGCATAGCAAATTATATGGTTTAAAGTCCTAGAAGGACAATTAATTGACATGTATGTATTAATCTAGGGCATGCCTGCAGCATGACAGATATATAGGTTCTAAATTTTTTAATTCCCTAAATAGAGATTATCCACGCTCTACTATAAAATAACGCTCTATTGGAGGTTAAGATCCACATTCTCACATAATTCATCCTATAAAAGATGTATGTCTGGAAAGAGACAATAAAAGCCCCTGAAGTGACTTGGGTACCTGAAAGCAAAGAAATGTTATAATCAATGCATGCGCATGCATATGAGAATAATGGGATCACGAATTGATGAGTGACCATTTTTGATTTTGGAGTAGCTACTCAAATCATCAATGGACTGTGTTGATTGGAACCACGTTCTATTATTAAATGTCGACAATATCATTGGCCAAAAAATGGAAATAGGCAATTCCATTACAGATGAGAATGAACGTGAAGGAACAAACCCATAGTACGAACCCCAAAAGATGTTAACCCTGAAAGTTATACTTGGGTGTTTGGAATAAAAAAGGATTCTACTCAATTTATATGGCACAATGTCTCTGGTAGAAAAAAGGAATGTTGAGGTTCTCCATATTTACAAATGCAACCGTGCCTTCTTATTGCACAATTATGGAGACCAACATGTTATCTTTAAGGGTTATTAAATGCACGGAGCATATCGCCAGAAGTGATTCCCTAAAGATGTATAAGCAGAACAAATAGCTGGATATGAAGCTATATAATGTGTCATGAAGTGTAATCTCTTAAATAAAATCCATAAAGGATTGTAATCGCATGAAGCAAGTCTCTGAATGACATGTGCCTTGAGCACAAATTTTGTACTCAATATTAATATGTATAAATTGCCTCAGTGAGTACATTAATTATGATATGGTTGCAATACATTAAAACTCTTGAAGAGTTCAAAAAATATTTGTCTCGACCTGAAGATCGAGAATTAGGCCAATGAGATTCTTGCTTATACTAAGAAAGTATTGAAACATTTTTATGTGGATTATTTGTTGGGCATTTAAATGATTTTTCCGAAAATATACTGGACAGGACATTGTATTTTCCAGATAGAGCTCAGCTTCATCACCACCACTTTGGGATGATGTTAGAGATATTTGATGCCATCTCTGCAAAAAATAATATATGGGCATATTCTTTTCAAGTGAACTTACAAATAGCCCAGGTGTTTGTTTGATTTGCGGACTCTGGAAATTTCTATAATTTATATAAAGATAGCTCACTAGAAATATATTTGCTTACTCAACTACATGAATTGTTGATGGCTACATCACTCACTCAGTCCGAAAGATCTTCCCTCTAGAAAGATAGTCAAGAAGATATCAGGAGGAGATATTCTTCAGGGGGAGTATCTAACAATATTACAAGATTGACTCACAGAAGTAGTGTCAATTATGACATTCAGAAATATGATCAACAGTATGGCTTAAAATATATTTTGCCAAGCATCAGGGGGAGAGTGATGTCAATAAAAATATTCACACACTGTACTCTTTTTCCTTCGTCCAGGTTTTTATCTCACTTTCTTGGCAAGGTTTTAACGAGGCAGTGTTGTACGCATGTCAATATACACAGAATTTTAAGTTACACAGGGTTATGTACTCTTTTTCCCTTCGATCAGTTTTTGTCCTATTGGGTTTTACTAGCAAGATTTTTAACGATGCATATTTCATATATTGTGGTCTCCAAAGGGAAGTGTTGTAAAGAAAGTGGTGGGGCCCACATAAAGAAAAAAAGGAAATAATATTCATTACTTAACAAAACACACCAACAGAGAAGAGAGGAAAGAAAGGAAGAGTGAGAGGAAAGAAGAGAGAGTGTGAAATCTGAGTGTTAGTGAGTTTTATCCGAGAGAATTCTGTCAGTGTAAATACCAAAAGAGCAAATATAATTCTATTCCCAATATTCAATGATACTTTTCATATTCTGATTATTTTATTTTTGAAACACCTTCGACATTCCAAAACATTTTAGCCAAAGATATAGGGGATCAATCACCATAGCAATGACAGAGAAAAATGGATCACAAAGGTCGGAGACACGATTGCCTTGGAAGCGACCACGTGTCGACCTTCACAACCATGAGATCCCAAGTACTTGTGGTGGCGCAAAGCGGACGTGGCAACGCTCTTAAAAAATATCCAGCCCGGGAAGCCCCAGGCTCTCAGACATGTGTCCCGTGTGGACCCCGCACGCCGTAGATGATCAGCACAAGCGAGAATAAACCAAAACCGGTGGCCGAAAACGCTCCACGTCAGCTCTCCACCCAGAAGCCAATGACGACCCTCCTTTTGATCGGGGCATCGAGAGCAAAGCAAAAGATATTTACTCAGGTTTTTCGCGGCTGTGAGCAAAAGCTCCTTCCTCTCACAATATTAATCCTAAGCTTCTCTGGCGAATTTCAAGGAAGATTTTTAGATTTTTTTCTTTTTTGGCTACCATCTTCTTCTTCTTCTTGAGCTGAAGAGGATGAGGTAAAGTTTGAATCTTTTTGTTCTCTGCAACTTGGAAGTGTTAAACCCTATTTCACTTTGACTTTTGCTTTCTAGCTTAGCTCTGTGAAATTGTGAGGATTTAGCCGTGTGCCTTTGGTTTTTGGTGGAGTTCATGAAAATGGGTGAATTTGTGGTTAGTGAGGATATGGAGACTGTGAAGAACGAGAAGAACATGGAGGAAGAAGAGAGTGGTGGTGGTGGTAGTGGCTCTGCAGAGGTGGTGAGCTGGGGGAGCTATCTGCCGAAAATGGTGCTCAGGGTTCTTCTGATTGAAGCCGATGATTCGACGCGTCAGATCATCTCTGCGCTTCTTCGAAAATGCAATTACAGAGGTTGATTGCTCTGTTCCCTCTTTCTGTATTTGAATTTCCTTTTTTTGGTTGTGAAAAATGCGATGATTTGACTTAATTTTGATATAAAGTTTCCTTTTTTTTCTCATTTAGTGAATTTTTTTTATGACAATCAAGGTGTTGAAATGATATAATTGTGGTTGTTTGTAGTCATTTAAATGTTTGTAGTAAGTGTGGATCTTCACTTTCTGAAAATGTACTGTCTGTGTGTTTGGATTAAGCAGTTGTTGCTGTTGGTGATGGATTAAAGGCATGGGAGGTCATAAAGGGGAAACATCATAAGATAGATCTTATATTAACTGAAGCAGAGCTACCGTCAATATCCGGATTTGCGCTCCTTACTTTAATCATGGAGCATGACATGTGCAAGAACATCCCTGTGATAAGTATGTTACTCTTACCTAACAATGTGCTCTTTCTTCTCTATAGTTGTTGGTCTGAAAATGAATTATGAAACAGTCCTTTTAATGTCCTCTCTTTCTTACTTATAGTTGTTGGTCCGAAAATGGTATGCGAAGCTAACCTTTTTTGATGACCGTGCAGTGATGTCCTCTCAGGATGCTGTTAGCACGGTTTTGAAATGCATGCTAAAAGGTGCAGCTGACTATCTCATTAAGCCTGTCAGGAGGAATGAGTTGAGGAACCTTTGGCAGCATGTTTGGAGAAGGCAAACTGTATGTTCCATTTTTCCACTTTGCCCTTTTAGTTCTTTATTGGATTGCTTATCTTTATTTAATTTCTGCAGTGATTATTACAGTTTAAATTATACATATCTTCTTCTTTCTTTATATTTTCTATCAACAGATTGGTGCACAAGCTCCTCAAAACTCAACTGTTCCTCAGCATAAAGCTGAAGCCACTTCTGAGAATAATGCAGCAAGTAAACATTCAAATGATTATGCAGTTTCTATGCGAGGAAATAAGGAATGCAGTGAGAAAGGAAGTGAAGCCCAAGTAAGTATATTTAATTAATATAGCAATTTTTCCGTCGCTCATTTGTTCAAGGGCATTAATTCTGTTTGAATCTCTATAATCTCTTTCATGATACATGTCATGCTTTTAGGTGTACGCATAAATGTTGTATTGCTAATGTATGCCAGTTTCTCATCACAAATTCAGTACATCTCAAATAAGGAAAGTATCAATTGTCAAATGTAGTACATCTCAGATAATATGTCAATAAGTATCAATTGTTTTCTTCCCATGTTAACTTGCCTAATTGAATTAAAAAATAATAACTTTTTAGAAGTATGTATCCAGGATTATGCATATGTGAGTTCAGTTGTTGCTTGAGAAAATTTCCTACTTCGAGAATAGGTTGGTTCCATGGAGTTTCATATACAAACGGCATGTTTGTCTACCTCTTGTGCAGAGTTCTTGTACAACACCTTTCTTGGGAGCTGAGAGTGCATACATGCAAAATATGCAGGATATTTCACAACTAAAGTATGGGAGTGCTTCTAATTTGAGCAATACAGATATGGAAAGGCTTGAAGAGTGTGCTAGGCTAGCGAAGGAATCTGTTATGCATGAGAGTGAATCAAAAGGTAGGCCATATCTTCTTGCTTCCTCTCTATTTTTGTTTGTAGTTTTTTCTTCTTTCAGTAATTTTTTAGCATGGGGTATCTGACAAGCATTGGTTGCAGAGAAGTCGGGTACATTTGGATCAGATGATGCACCTTTGAATGATCATACCTCAACTGCTATAAGACTGAGAGAGGACCATGCTTCTGCTATAAAAATGGTTGAAGGTGAAGGTATCCTACCAGAAAGTTACAAAGGAAATGCTAACATCTCTAGTGAAACTCACAGCTGCTCTTATGAACTGGATGAACCATCCAGTGGAGCTATTGACTTTATTGGCACCTTTGACAATCCACCCAAGTGCACTGTTGGACACCCTAAGAGTAGAGAGGATGGTACAAAGCACATAGGATGTGCTACACAATTGGAACTTTCTTTGAGAAGTGGTCTGGGTAGTTCAAACAAGCAAGCGAGTGACGAAAGGCCTTTTCTGAACCATTCTGATGCTTCTGCCTTTTCATGGTGAGTACTTTTGTTCCCTGTCCATTGTTAAACTTGAGAGATGATGAGAGAAAAATAAAGCATGCATTTGCGGTTTTTTCTTTTGGCTCCCTGTTTATTTCTCTGAAATGCAGTTATCAATTTGGTGAATGAGGATATATATATGATAGTGATTTTGATGTGAGAAATCATATATCAGTAATAGTGACTATTACAGTGGTAATGCTGTTGGGTAGCAGTAAAGCTGATGGTAGAGATTTCGGATATTTCAGAGAGTTGCAATAATGACATAAATTAATTGACCTCTCATTTACAATGAAAGGATGATCAATTCAATAGTAATAAAACAAGTGCCCTACTGTATTTGTTGCTTGCAATAATATAGAATCCTATGACCATCCCTAAGAAAGAAAACAAAATTTGAATAACTTGTAACTTGTTCAAATTTTAAACTCAAACTAGTGGTTATATCACTGATTTTTCTGATCAAATTAATGTGCATGCAGGTATAATAATAGCAAGACACTGCAATCCCTTTTCCCAACATTTCCCAGTACTAAATCAGAGGTTGTAAGTAAATCCCATGATAGCCAAGAAATGTCTACCTTGGTATCCCGTCAAACCGCCCAAGCTGATATATCTTTGCCAGGTCCTCAACTTGGGATGATTGGGGTAAGGTCTGATAATATTTGTGCTGGATACGATCACTCTTTCCCATCCTTGTTTGTTAGACAATCAGATTTAACCCCAACATGGAGTACCAAATCAGTTTGCCACGGAGCACAGTCCTCCTTCCCTGTGAATACTTCAAATCATTCAAATCCTGAAATTCACCACTCAGAACAAGATTGTCACCTGTCTGATAAAACTACCTATAAATCTATTGACCAAACCGTGCATGAACAGAACAAACTGGAGCGCATGGAGGAATCTAGACCTGGCTCTCCTGCTACTGGGCAGAGTGCTTGTAGTAGTTTGGGCAATGCTGTTGGCAATAATATTGGTAGCGGCACATATGGAAGCAATTGTACTAGCAATGATGGAGATGCCTTGGCTGTGGCTAGTGAGATTACCGCAGCTTCTGAGAGCTTGAATGGCAGTGGTCGCTATGTTCATGAGGGACTTGGAGGAGCTGATTCTCTTCGTTCCAGCCAAAGGGAAGCAGCTCTGACTAAGTTCCGACTGAAGCGGAAGGATCGATGCTTTGAGAAGAAGGTATTATCATCTTCTTTAAATTTTGCCATCATTCTTGACACTTGTTGGCAATTGAGGCTGGACACAACCCATGTTTATGGAAAATTCTGGTTTAGCTGCATTTGCAATTATTCTTGTTCTACATTAGGCTTCTTACTACTACTAGTAGTACCAAGTACCAACTTGGATACTTCCATTTTACATTTTAGATTGAATAACGGCTCCGATAAACCTAGATTTGGAAACCACCAATTTTTGAGCTGCTAATACCAAACCACACACGATAACTCATATCATCATAAGATGTTTTCATTCCCTTAACATCTCATGTTTATATGCAGGTCCGATACCAAAGCCGGAAACTACTGGCAGAGCAGCGGCCCCGGGTGAAAGGTCAGTTTGTGCATCGGGCGCAGACTGATTCTCCAACTGCAGATGCTGCTGTTGAGTTATAACACTCAGTTCTGGCGCCTTCCACTGAACATGGGTTAGTTTAAAGCGAAGAATCTTTGGTTTGTGTGGTGCAGGATTCCTTCTATATTCTTGAAGCTTTTGTAAAGAAGCACAGAATGATGCAGTTAATGCTGAAGACTACAATTTGCAGGTTTCTGTGGCATCATTGCCATTGGGTTTTTGTTTTAGTTTGGGATTAGTAAAGAGGTGGTGCTGTAATTATCGGTTTTATCTCTACATAGTATGCTTTGTAATGCGTGCACCTCATATAAGTATTTTTAGTTAGAGAGGTTTAATGCTATAATATATATATATATTTTTTGGTCGAATGGTGTAATAATTTGCATCAAAATGTTGTTTTGCCAGTTGGATATTTTCTCTACCTCTCTTGCTTTCTCTGCTTTGCACTCCACATTTGTGGGAAAGATTCTCAGTCTTGTACCCATGCCTTTCCCAGAAAAATAATGAGAGAAAAAGGAGCTTTTACGGCTGTATAGCACTAACCGCTAAACCAATTAAGTTAAGGAAAAAGCTTGGTTTACCACCAATGTTGTTTTGATGCCTAGTCAATGTTGTTTGAATTTGACGAGTATCAAGACTCGTTAAGCAGGAGCTCAATCTTAAGTTAATTGAGACAAATGCATGAAAGGTCAACATTTACTTGGGATCTTAGCATGGGGGCCCATGTGACGTGTCTGCAATGTGTAACACGCGGGATGACGAGGCAAGACCTAACAAAAGGCAAGCATGTGGTGATGGCAAAACAGAGCCACCTACTGTCTCCATGCAGATACATACAACTTCCTGGACTTATCCTTATGTTGGTAAAGTGCAGTACGTACGTAAGCTAAAGCTAAGGCTTCCTCTCTAGAGAGATACAGAAGCTTTCCCCATCTCAAATTATATACATGAAAAACAAAAATATATTAAGTGGAGATAATTAAAATGGCTAAGTTGCTCGCTTACTCTTCTTGTTGAATTCGCTGAGCTTATTTTTGTTCTAGTTTAGAAACAAAGGAAACAAAAAGGGAATAAAATTGTAAAAAGGACCGTCCCAAGCAGTAGTGGGTCGGCCTTTTGAAATCTCCAACTTTCACTTGAAGTTGGTTTCTTTGAAAAGCTTTTGGGAGCTTAGGCTAATACTTAACCGCAAAGCAACTTAGCTATTGCCATTGCCAGTCAAGAAAAGGGTGAAAAAGAAATTAAAGTTGGTTAGAGCTGATGCGCTCCCTATTATGCGTCCGAATTTAAATCACTTTTCTCGTAGTTTAAATAAATAGAGAAATATAATGTGTTCCATAAAACCACTAAAATGTTCATTTAATAACTAGTTAACCTATTTTTTGTTGACCACATTAACGGATTTAAGTTCAAAAGAAAAACATAAACTATGTGATAAAACATGGGGATTATCCGAAGGAATAATATAAAGGGCACAAGAAGTAGTAACAAAGCACCCATGGTTTCAAATCGAATTAGAAAAAGACTGAGAATAGTTCTCTAGAAAGCAAAACCCAACTCTCTCCCTTTCTTTTCCCATCACCTTTTCTGTTCCAATTGTCACACAGATTCTTCCTCCTTCAACTTTTTCTCTCCAGCACTTGTCACATCCATGACAAAGGAGCACTCTCCAGATAAAACCCATCACCACCTCCCTAAAATGACCGAAGAAGAAGATCATAAAAAAAACCCCACCACAAAAAAACGATACATGGCTTCCTCACCAATTAACCCCAGCGGCCCCTACAGATCCATCTGCACCTGCCTCTCCATCTTCCTCCTCCTCGCCGGAGTCACCGCCCTTACCCTCTGGCTCGTCTACCGCCCCCACAAACCCCAGTTCACCGTCGTCGGCGCCGCCGTCTATGACCTCAACGCCACTTCCCCTCCCCTCATCTCCACCACCATGCAGTTCACCCTCGTTACCCACAACCCAAACCGCCGCGTGTCCATCTACTACGACCGCCTCTACGCCTTCGTGTCGTACAAGAACCAGGCGATCACACCACAGGTGGCCCTGCCGTCGCTGGTGCACGAGCATCGGAGCACAGTGGCGGTGTCGCCGGTGCTGGGCGGCAGGGCGGTGCCGGTGTCGTTGGAGGTGGTGAACGGGCTGACGATGGACGAGGCTTACGGCGTGGTGGGGCTGAGGGTGGTGGTGATGGGGAGGCTGCGGTGGAAGGCCGGTGCGATAAGGACTGCGCATTATGGGGTTTATGTCAAGTGTGATGTTTTGGTTGGGTTGAAGAGAGGGTTTGTGGGTCAAGTTCCTTTGCTTGGAAATCCTTCATGTCAAGTTGATATATGAAAACTTGTTTAATTTTCATGTCACTTGAATACGTTTCCTTTTCTTTTTATTGTACTTACGATCATCCCAAGTGTTTTTGTACTTCATTTCCCTTTGAATCTGCAAGAGTAATTAATCAATTTGAGCTCTACATATCTTCAATTTTGCTTTGATTTTGGTTTGAGTGTTCACTATTGGCATTGCCACATGGCATGGGTGTGTGTTCCATGCAGTTGATTAGGTAACATTTGTCTTTACTCTCTAAAATACTTTTTTCTTTAAATATTTAATATTCATGGTGGAGCATTTTTTTAATTCATGTAACAACAACAACATTCAAGGTGGAGCAATATATAAGCCCTACTTTTAGTTCTATTATTTTTTGTTTTTAATTTTTTGTGTTTAGACGACGCATTTAAGGTTATTGCTTGCCTTCTTTTTTTGAAAGGAGATTTCCTGTAAATCACGCACACATCTGCAAAAATAATTTAAGGATATTGTTTGCCTTTTTTTTAGAAAGAAGATTTCTTGCAAATCACGTATACATCTTCAAAAATAATTCAACCAGAGGTATTCTAGTTTCTTGGAGTGAAAGGAGGACCATGACATAGGGCATGTATAATAAAGTGAGGTCCATCTATGACAATGGAGGTATGGCAATGGCATGGCTTGGTTCACATATTGTAACATGAATGGGCATATTTTTGCAATTATCTGCATCTGCATGTATGTACTCTGGTTGAGTTGAATGGGCATCGAATCGAAATCTCTTCCATGCATCTATCGATGCTTTGACTATTTATTTATTCTCAGTGTCTAGTAGTAGTGCATGCAGCATGCAGCAGAGCTTAAGGGCATCAGATTCACATCTAAATTAAAGTAGCTAGCTACTTAATTAATCAATCTTGAACCTAAACCAATCAACGAGAACTTAACATGGGATCACTTTTCAACTTGTAAGGAGAAAAAGAAAAAAAGAAAAAGCACAAACATGAAAGGGGATAAGAAAGAAAAAGATATATGTGAATTTAATCAACTTGCTTGGATAAATTATTCTCGTTTAATTTGCATGAGTCATTCTATATTGAGCTTCTTATCTAAGACCCTTAGATCTCTTAACTGCTGGATCAAACTAACCAATTTGATCCAATGATTAAGAGATAGGATCCCATCTAAAGACCTTAAATAAGACTCTCACTATAGAATTCTACCCCTAATACAGTACAGCTCTCGACTGCTTCCAATTTCACAAGTCTGCAGACCAAATTCAAGTGGCAAATCTAAGCTTTGCTGAAAAACTACAACAAGTATTTATAGGCCCTTTTGATCAGCAAATGGGCTTAGCCTACACACATGCGGCCCTATCACGTGACTCATCATGACCCATCCACGATCCACCTATCTATGGACCACGTGCGCTCTCTGTGATCCATTCCATGCAAATTGCAGTGCATGCAGCAGAGCAGATCAGTCTGCTTTCTTCAAGGCTTTGTTCTTTTGCTTCAAAAAGATGACAACTTTTGCGTACGTACTGGTAATGAAACCCATCTGAAATTTACTATTTCCCTCTCCATATTTTATCGGTTGAAGCTTACCCATAACTTCAACACTCACAATTTCACAACACACGAAGAGATTAATAATATCCAACTTTCAAGATCAAAATTGAAACCTCTTCTTCTCTCCTCTTTTCTTGTCAGATCTTTTGGTCTAATTTATACCAAAAAAACTAAAAATATACCAGCAATTCAGAACTCTTTTATTGGTTGTAAAACCTATAAATGTTTAGAATAAAACCCAAAAACAGAGATGCAACCTGGGTTGCATGTTTTACTAATTTTGGTTTCATTACAATTGTTGGTTTGACGCGATTTTCGTTTAAGAAATTGTGGGAGGGATCCAAGTGTTTTTGGGTTGTATTGTAGTCTTGTTAGATAGGTCGTTCTGTCGCAAGAATTCTATAATGAGGGCTTTATATGTGGTCCTCAGAGAATCTCCAGTGGGGGGTTGTATAATGAGGTGTATGTTAAATATACATCATTTGTGATCAGAATCACCTACAATAGGGAGGTGTAAATGATTGTAAATTTGCATCACAATCGTGATATGCAAATTTAGATGCACATGTACATTCTTTTTTACATCTCTTGCAGGTGGGGCCTACATAAGAAAAAGTGAGAAATGGTGGACAAAAGTGAGCAAAATCAATTATACATTTTATATTTATATTTTCTCTATTTGAGCAAAAACCATATTTACAACCCCAAGAGGTGTAAATGGGATGTAAAAGTGGCTTTACACCTCCGAAAATACATCCCTCCACTGTGGATGCTCTTAGGTGAGATTTTATTTTTTAATCGTTGAATCAAATTAATTAGCCATTGAATCAAATTAGCTAGCATAATCCAATGATTAAGAGATAGGACCTCACCTAAAAGTTATAGACAAAGCCCTAATTATAAAATAGGCTTATTTGTTGAAATGCCCCCTATGGTTTCCAAATCTTCTCAGTTTGCTCCCTGACGTTTTAAATAACTCAATCTCCCCCCTGAACTTCCATTCCATGACCAAGGTTGCCCCATTCCGTTAGTTTTTAGATTAAAAACCATTAAACTGCTTATGTGGCATGGTTATGTTCTTAATTTTAACTATTAAAAATTAAAAAAATCAAATTGAATATATATATAAATAAAATAAAATAAAAAGCTTGAAATTATTCAAAAATCAAATATGTAAAATTATAAATAAATAAAAAAACAAAAAAGAAAGTCTTGAGCTGTGAGATCTAGTCGCCCCATCTCGAAATTACGACTGTTGATCTTGAGCTTCAAGTAGTGTTTGATGAGCTCTTCGTCCGTCAGCTTGAATCGAAACCTTAGAGGTTTAATCCATTGATAAAACGGCCAAGCCTGATCGGTGATCTTCTTCGTCCCTCACTTTGTGTGTAATCTAGTCCAACAGTGGGTGTAATATGTTGGTTTTGAGTAAGAGATATGTTGGGCAAAATAGGGGATGAGATTTGAGGAGATTGGGAGAGAGCTGAAGGGGATAGATAGAATTGGTGGGTTTGAGGAAGAGTTTGATGGGTTTTGATTAATTATAATGTTTGTGGCTGTTGTCGTGTGGTCACTGTTGTTGGTGTTTGAGGTAGCAGGAGTTCTGGGGATGAAGATGGGCCACATTCAACCATGTTTCAAAATTCGTTTGCTTTTCTTTGAATAATTGGGTTGGTGTTGGGTTTCGTTGTTCTTGATGACAAAGACACTAATTCATTTTGGAAATTTATTTTCTTGGTTTCTGATACTAGAAACCAAAAGTTTTAGACAACGAGCGAGAGGGGTTGAAGAAGAAGGAGAGCTTTAGAGAGAGACAGAGGGGGAGAGGGAGAGGAGACGATTGGGTTTGTGTGGGAAGATGAGTTTGGTGGTTGTGGGTGGGATGGGAGGTGTGGTCGGCTGTTGATGTGGTTGGGTGTACAGTGGGGTGGTGGTGTGATGGAGATGAATAAGATGATGCAGAACTTTGGGATTGTGTTCATTCCTTTTTGGTTTTTTTTTAAATTTTTATGCTATTTTATTATTTTACATATTTGATTTTGAATAATTTCAAGTAATTTTTTAATATTTTTATTTTAATATTTTAATTTTAATAGTTAAAATTACTAAAATACCTATGCCACGTCAGCAAATTTACCGATTTTTAGCTAAAAACTAATAGAATAGGCAACCTTAGTCATATAATGGAGGTTCAGGGGGGAGATTGAGTCATTTAAAACGTCAGGGTGCAAATTGAGAAGATTTGAAAACCACATGGGTATTTCAACAAATAAGCGTATAAAATAACTCTATTACATCGTTGTAGTGCTCTTGTGTTGGGTTGGGTGCTCTGTTTTGGGGCCCATAAACTTTGTCATTATGAGCTTTTGAATAGAATCTCAAGTCCGCCCAAAAATCTTTGTCGTTTTGACGCTTGGAAGATAGAATCTCTATCTTATCCACCCAAATAACCTGAATTTGACAATGCAATACAAGACCGTAATTAAACACGTGATTAACAAAATTACAAAAAACTGAAGAAGGACCGAAAAAAAAACCAACATTCTGGTTTTTGGATGCCCAAACTGACCAACAAAGATTCGAATTGGCTACCAAAATCAGAAACACAAAAAGGACTAATTAAATATAAAAAATTTATGTAGAACTTTCTTTTATCAATCAAGAAGAAAGATTCGAACTTAAAACCTCTTTCAATATTAGAAAGAAAAATACTTGATTATCCGGATGTCACTCTTTTTGAACCGTCATTCCATTATGATCTATAGACACCCCCCAACAAAAAAATATGATCTCTATAGAGGAAGTAAAGAAATCGTAAAAATGGCAGTGATATGAAAAAACAGGCAATCATGATGAGAGTGAGACGCAGATTGCTAAATCATAACCAGCAAGCATCATTAATTAAGGTGCTGCAATCCAACAAAGCCTACTTAATGACTCTGTATTCTAATGTGAATTTCATCAGAATATAGAAACGAACTGTAGAGTAGAATATTGTTATTGTGAATCGGTTTGTCTATGTTAAATTAATCTGTCTGTTGCCTGCGACAATAACAGACTTGACAAAGTTTGCCACGACCTTGAGACCCGTGTGAGCTCCACCACCTACTCCAAATACAGCGTTGACTGAAACTTGATCTGAGTTTTGACCTTTGAGTCGGTTGTTATACAAATGCTTGTAGTTGCATTTGGAAGATCTGGTGGAGGTTAAAAGGGTAGTTTCCACGGATGCAGTTGAAATTGTTGACGCTTCAGAGCTCCATTTGAAGCTAGTCCTAAATATATATAATACTCTCAAGGCCACAAGGTTTTGATGCAGAAGCTGCTGCTGGTGCCCATCTCTGTCTTTTTTCGTACGCCGCAGCAACTGCCACTGCCATAAGTAGCTAAGACTAAAAGGTAAGATTCTGAGTCCTTAAAACCTCTTACTTTCTGTTAATATCCTGATCATCAACTTCCTCTGTATTTCATCTTTTTTGTGGATGTTCTTTCTCATTCTTGTGAACTCATAAAGCTTGTGTTTTTCATTTTTTTCATGAGAGAGAGAGAGCTGTGGCTGAGATGGTTTGATCGTCTTATAGGCTTTACACCAAAGATATATAGTTTATTGGGTTTCTTTTAGATTGTGATTTGCATATTTACTTTGGTGTTGATCACATATTTGATTGGGGTCTGCTTGCACAATTGTAAAAGGGCTTTGAGATAAATGTTTTGGCATATCAACATTTCTGCTTGCAGTGTACCTGCAGTGACAATTTTGTCATTTTGATCAATAAATCTGGTCTGATCATATAGCTTGTTATTTTTTTGTTGGTTCTGATTTGACGCTGAGTTCCTCCTGGCAACCCTAACACACTCGAAGATACTATTTTCAAACCTGCTCCTATGTTTGTTGGTTTGGCTAAATTGCCTTCTTGTAGTAGTTTCATGGGTCCCGAGTTTTTGAGTCCATATCCCATGATGAAAATGCAACTGTACCTCCTAATTTGGGTGCAATTGAGCTTCACTAGTTGTTTTGAATCATGTCAGGGTTGTAGCTGGTAGTTTGGGTACACTTGAGCTTCAATAGTTTTTCGAATTACATTAGGGATGTGAGAAATTGGGAGTTGGAGGACAGAATCATTCTTTTTTTCTTTCTAATTTCTATTTCCATATTTTTAATAGAAATATGGAGGATGAGATAGTTTTGGAAGCTACTAATTAGAAACTTCGTAAGCTTCATCCTCATAAAAGTAATTTGGCAAGCTTTGCTCCCTCCTAAGGTTACTAAGGACAGTGGATAGGCATATAAAATAGCAGTTTTTCTTTGAGAAAGCCAATGCTTTAATTTCACCCAGTAAGTCTAACATCCTTCTTGTGTGTTTGGAAAAGTAGGGATATTGAGAAAGATTAAAGTTTCGGAGTTAATGGGGTTCTAGAAGTCTGTCTCAGTAAAGACTGTTTTGTATTCTATAGGATGAGTCATTTAAAAGGAATTGCCAGGGTTGATTGTTAAGTCTACAAATTGTAGTGGCTGCAAGCATTTCAAGTGCAGCCAGAAAAATGATTACCAGAATTCCTTCCCTTGATTAGCATCTTTTCTTCTTCGTTTTTACTGGTTTTTTCAACAGCTTGAGTTGTTTGTTTTAGCATGTCTTCATTGCACTTCTGTTTTCAAAGAGATATGAGGTTGCAGGAAATTGTAGTTATTTTCAATAGAGTTAACAATACACTTGTATGCTCTGTTCTCTTTATAGTGCTCTGGCCTTATCAAGCTCATAAAGCTACTCTAAGTTAGTCAAAATGTTCTTCTGTATTGTGTTACAAATGAACATTTCCTGCTTAAGCGTATGCTTGTATAAATGATGCATATTTTTTATTAGCTAAGATGACAGCAAGATAATGTAATCTTATTGCGGTTTTTGATTGTCCAATTTTAAAACCTTTTGTCTTGCTACTTTCTGTACTTACAGTATTAAGCATTCTTTTAATGGGTTCTTTTTGTGAATTTTCAGATGGAAGCACAAAATACTTATCATGCACAGGTTATTGAGATCCATCGAGATGGTCATGATGGTGAAACGAGTGTTGGTGGGAGTAAGATTTGTGGGGAAGCACCATGTGGACTCTCGGATGCTAGATCCGTCTCTAAAGATGCCAAAGAGCGATCAGCCTCCATGCGCAAGCTCTTAATTGCAGTGGTACTTTGTGTTCTGTTCATGGGTGTTGAGATTGCTGGTGGCATTGAAGCCAATAGTTTAGCAATATTGACAGATGCAGCACATTTGCTCTCGGATGTTGCAGCCTTTGCCATATCCTTGTTCTCTATGTGGGCTGCTGGTTGGGAAGCCACTCCCCGTCAGTCCTACGGGTTTTTTAGGATTGAAATTCTTGGTGCCCTGGTTTCCATCCAGATGATATGGTTACTTGCTGGGATATTGGTGTATGAAGCCATAGTTAGAATGATTCATCCGACATCTGAGGTGAATGGCTTTCTAATGTTTCTTGTTGCCACATTTGGTCTAGTGGTTAATATAGCTATGGCCATTCTGTTGGGCCATGATCATGGGCATGGGCATGGGCATGGGCACGGACATGATGGACATGATGGACATGATCACGGTCACAGTCATGGAATGACAATTTCTACTCATGATCATCATGCTCATGATCATGAGGAACACTCACATGAACATGAGCACCTTCACACTCATGAAGATCATGAAAATCATCATGCTGATGAAGATCATGGACACCATCATGCTGATGAAGCTCATGCTGAGCCACTGTTGGATAAGCCAAAAGATGGACTTGGGCAGAAGAAGCACAGGAACATAAATCTACAGGGAGCTTATCTCCATGTGCTTGGGGACTCTGTTCAAAGTATCGGGGTAATGATTGGAGGGGCAATCATATGGTACAAGCCTGAGTGGAAGATAGTCGATTTGATTTGCACTCTAATCTTTTCGGTCATTGTTTTGGGGACAACGATCAATATGATGCGGAACATACTTGATGTGCTGATGGAGAGCACGCCGAGAGAGATTGATGCGACAAAACTTGAAGAGGGGTTGCTGGAGCTGGATGAAGTGGTGGCTATCCATGAGCTGCATATATGGGCTATCACAGTGGGGAAAGTCCTGCTGGCTTGCCATGTGAAAATCAGACCAGAAGCAAACGCAGACATGGTGCTGGACGATGTTATAGATTATATCAGAAGGGAGCATAACATCAGCCATGTGACCATACAAATTGAGCGTTAGAGGGATGTTTGGACAAGATGCTCATGGAGGAAAGGTCTTTAAATTGGTTATATGGCTGCATATTCTCTTCTTAAAAGGGGTTTAGAGTTTTAGCATCAAGATTGTATTTAGGCAGGACAGTGGTCACACTGCTCACATGTTTCTTCTCTTCTTTAGAAAGTTGCATGTTTGGTGCTCCTAAGTACTTGATATTTGGGATTCAAGCAATAGAGTGATTGGTTTTATGAGCATTTCCTGGAGCCTTACTGTCACAAGCTTACAAGGGGGTAATGGTTCTCTTTCAGTTAGCTGATATATTGAAGAAGTAAATAATGCACAATAATAGTACGGTGCACAACAGTTGGATTGGTTTGTAACAGTTTGTGTAGCTTTGTAATGTTTGTCTTACAATCTGAGTGGCCGATTTTTCTACGGCACACATACAAACTAAGTATGAAGGGCAACAAATGACCAATCAGATGGTGTATTATACCTTTAAAGTGGTGTTACATTACTCAATTGGCCAAATGTACCATTCAATAGACCAAATGTACCACTCAATGCGCCATGAGGACTCAACTCAATCGATGTAATATTTCCCGCCAATACTGTCAAAATCAATGAAAATTGGATTGGATTGGATTGGATTGAATTGGTTTGGATCCTGCACAGCCCGAAGTGTGGTGGTAAGCAGGTAAATACTGAAGATGCATGTGTGAAAGTGTCGGCCACCACGTCGAAGCAAAGAGTCTATGCTGGACGCTGGGTACACATTTAGCCTGGTGTTCTTTAACCTAATCAACAGGTACCTGCCTGCATTTGGCGTGACAGGATTTTGTCATCTTGACTTGAGCTAGAAGCTGCCTGTACAACTTTACTTGTCCTTGAGCTAGCTTTGCTACTGTTATGAACCATTATGTAGTTTGTCAATTTTGAGGAGGTATCATTAAGTATACTAAGTTACTAGACTATCAACTTCAACCAAACATTTATGTCACGGTCTAACTACAAAATGATTATGATTACGTATCAAACAGTCTGTCAAGAGAACATTCGTCACGAATTGAAATACATAGCCAGATATCTCTTGCTAATCAATATATACATATGAAAGCAGGCACAGTAGATTGATTTGGCAGTATGTATAATTGCAAGGACGAAAGGGGCCAAAGCCTGCCGATGCGAAGCTTGACCTTGTAAGTTGCAAGTCATAGGAGATAAGGTTTTCAACTTCCAAGTATTGGGGTTTCAGGAGACTCTACAATCCACAACCAGTTTCTCAACTGATAGCAGGATAATGCTAAAATTTATTTGCTGTTATAATATTTGAATGCTGCTACTTCTCAATAAATTTTTTATTTTATTTTTTATGTTTGTTTGCTTAGGAATGCCAAGCTTGAGAAGACAAAGGAATTTTAAATTCTGCCATATATCTTAGGACTTGAAGCATATGCTTCTGGTTGTGTGGCTACAGATCTGCAATATAAACTAATGTGAGGAGAATAGAGGCAGTGTGGCTTGGATAAGATAGACTTTATCTTATGAATTAAATTGAATTTGTCATTCTCTGCATATGCACTCATCAATATCCTCCATGCCTAAAATTGTTTGTAGTGACAAATGAGGCCAGACAATATTTCAAAAAGATCCTAGATCATGACACTGGGATTCCAAGTATCTAGCTTATCGATTTGAAGTAGCGTAATCTTCCACTCATATTCCTAATATTTTAGCATAATCTTCCATACACGTATTCCTACGATAACATCCTATGAGGTTTGTTCAGATACTAATTGTCACGATTTTGAGTATGTACGTATTATATACCCGAAAAGTTCTCTTGCCACTTATGAATTGCAAAAAATGGAGTTCCGAGTCAGCTGTTGGCATAATCTTCCACACTCATATTCCTAATATCTTAGCATAATCATATTCCTACGGTAAGTTAAGATCGTATGAGGTTAATTAGCTCTGATACTACGTGTCACGACTTTTAGTATGTGCGTACTATATATCCGAAAAGTTGTCGTGGCGCTTATGAAAGCTCTAAGTGAGCTGTTAGTTTACATCCGTGATCTATACTTCACCCAATAATAAGAAAGAAAAACCAGGAGAAGAAAATAAATGACCTCAGAGGACAGAGTACATATGCTTAGCGAACAGGTGACAGTGTGAGTGGTCTGAAAGCAACCCTAGAAAGAAAAAAGAAACAAGATAAGAGGTTGCCTTTCAATTCATATATATCGATGTTAGGATCTTGAGCAAATGGCAGAGAAGGGTTCTTGAGCTGTAGTGTGCCTTGAGAACTAGGAAATGTTACAGAAACTTGAAAAGAACCCTTCGCATACATATACATGTGAATGCATGATTTAATTTGGGTTATTTTTGGTTTGTATTGTATGAAGACAAAAATGGGAACATATTTAGAAAATCTTAGGCCTGAGCTATGACAGGTATCTCAATCACTATGTACCACAAGCTAGAAGCAAAAATATGTCTGATATGGAGCCAGGGCCCAGGGCAAATGTAAAAAATTAGGCCTCCATATATATAATTCTTTTTTTTTTTCATTTACGTGCTAGACTAACTCTCATTTTTCAATCAAGATTTAACTTATTCGAATTAACTGAAAATTTAGCATTCAAGACAAATAAATTTTATAAAATCAAACTTCAATATATAAAAATCTAAAATAAGAGGCTACGCTTGATACATTCAAATATAATGCATAAACAAGATAAATACTTGTAAATCAATTCATTTTTTCTTTTTTTTTTTTTTTTTTTTTTCTTCCACTTTATTGTTGTTTTTTCAGGAATCATTGCTACTTGAAATTAGAAACAGTACAAGGAAATCCAATGAAATTTTAGTACTTCAAATAATAAACAAAGAACAACATAACTTGGAATTTGAGAAATCTCTCTTCACAACAACAAACTTAAAACTTCCAAATTTGCAATCAATTAGAGCTTAAAAGTGTTGAAACACCCCATGTTGCTTTTTAAAAAATATTAAAATAATATATAATAAATATACTATACCTCTTTATAAAATAAATAAAAATTTGTACCTCCTAGACAATGGGCCCAAGGCAGTCGCACTGACCGCCCTTGTCCAAGATCTGCGGCACTGTATAGAGCTTTCTATTGAAACAAAAGCCATATGGGTTGGCTTTGGTCAACCTTGTGGGAAGCCTAGTGGTGCAACCGTCTCAGATTTTGTAACTTATGAAAATTATCTCATATTTTAGTGCAAAAGATATTATACTTTAATCTAATCTAAACTATGAGGAGGGGATTAACTTAGGGGCAGAGTGGAGAGACTATTATTATTTTTTCTTAAATAAAGATAATTTTGAGTTTTCTAAAAAGAGCATAATTTTTTTTTGTTTAATGAAGGAGAGGCTACCCCCACATCTAGGGCTAGTACAAACCCTAGGCCTTTACTAAGAAGGAGTTACGCAAAGGCCTCTACGCCTTGCAGCCACCTGTATGGATTTATAGAGGAATTTTATAGATTACCCACCAAACACGGAACTGTTGGCAAGGAGACTCGAATACTGATGGGGCACACACAATACAGGAACCTTACCAACTGAACCAACTCGTGTTGACAAAAAGCATCATTTTGAGTTATTTGAAAATTTACCCATATGGTCTTTTGGTTTATATATATAGACAAAGACTTCTTTTTCCTAATGTTCAACTTCCCCTTCTTTATTAAGGAAAAACATTAGAAACACAAAGCAACCTTCTTTTTATAAACAAAAGCAACAAGTTAGAAAAACAAAGCACATAAAGTTTCCTTTAAAACCCCAAATAATTCCTTTTTCTTTTTCTTCATATGAATATAGAGAGGGTTCATTTTAATAAGGTAGCCAATCTGCCATCATGGACATTTAATCTTATTTAGATCGATGTGTGATGCTGTGACAATGCTGTAGCATTAAAATTAACTTCAAATTTGATTAAAAAGGAGGAAATGCAATGGGAAATATATGATTTGAGTCTAGGATTCCGTCCCATCAGTACTTACTTAGAGACAAAATCTGTGTCCCGACATATTTATTGCGAAACATGCTCACAGAGTCACAGCTAGTGGTTCTAGGCCCAGCCCAAAAAAAAACAAAACAATCATAGGTATTTAAGCCCTAAACCAGTTTTACACAACTTCAAAACCAATTCAATTTGGAATATGACAGTGACATAGTTGAGACAGAACTAAAATAGTGGTTGAGATGGGAACACGAGGTCTCAATTCATGTATTAGTGGCAGAGGAGCTAAAAACTTGCTATTACAAAAATGTGATAATAAGTTTAAGAAATTGAATATGGGCAAATGTGCCTGAGCCAAAAACTTGTTCGTCGAACACGTTACCTTTTTGCTTGAAAGAAAAATTCCACTAATTAAGTTCAAATTGCAAATTTACTAAATGAAAGAGCAAATAAAAAAGTTATTGGGCTTAAATAACCCCATTGCCCTTATTGTCGCCTTGCTAATGTGCATTAACTTTATTTCGGTCCTTTCATATTCAAAATATGTTTAGTTGTCCAAGTTATTTAAGGAAAAACAAAACTTAGTTTTTCTATTAAGTATGCATGTAAAGGGTAATTTCTTTGACATATTCATTCAATTTCTTGAATTTGATACAATTAAAATAAAATAAAAAATTTCAGAAAACACCAACGTATTTTTTCAGAATTGCAACCCAAGTGCAACTCGGGAGGTATTTGCGGAGGGTACAGGTAAAGCAGTAAATAAGTGATGAAGTATGGGTAAAATTGAGATTGGGTTGGGCGTTGAGTTGGGTTGGGCTGAAGGGCTGGCTGGACATGTGTGAAAATGGGAAATGACCCATCGTCAGACAAGTGACTCAATCCATCGAAGGACTTTCCAAAGCTTTTCTCTTCCTTTCTTCCCTGTGCAGTGAGAGAGAGAGAGAGAGAGAGAGAGAGAGAGTCCCCACAACTGTCTGTCCTCGCAGCTGGACAAAACTGCCACCGCCAATAATGCTTGAGACCTTGTAAACCAGACAACCATAGCCTTCTCAACTCTCTCTCTCTCTCTCTCTCTCTCTCTCTCTTCTGCTAACTCTCACCAACTCTCTCTCAGTTTCATGTATATCTAAGCATTACTATTAGCATATCCTCTCAAAATCAGTTTGAGAGTTTTCCACCCTTCATTTCTTACCACACCCGTCCTTAGTACATTTCCATTTTCTTCACCCCACCTTTGTTTTAACCCATCTTCACCTCTCTCTCTCTCTCTCTCTCTCTCTCTCTCTCTCTCTCTCTGAGGCCCATTTCAACCTCTTGTGTCAAGTACTCTCTACCTCTTTCTGATCTCCTCAATTAGTTAGTTCTTCAATGCTAGCACAGAGCATTAAATATTGTTCTATTTAGAAGCATCATTACACCCATCACAAAACAAAGGAATATATTATTTTATGGTGTTGGATTCATGGGGTCTCATTCTGCTTCTTATTGCTGGCGCTTCTTACATTTATTGCAATTGTTCTGTTAGCATCACAATGGAATGTTGGTAACTTGGTATAGCCAATATATCTAGAGAGAGAGAGAGAGAGAGAGAGAGAGAGAGAGAGAGAGAGAACAATTTAAGGCACAGTTCACCCAACAACTGCTCAGCTCAGCTGCAATGGAGAGGCTTCAAGGACCCATTGATCCCTGTGTATGTTATGTTATTTTTGCTCAATTTGTTTGTACTGCCCTTCCTTTTTCTCTTTCCCCTTTCTAGAATCCCTTCCCTAGCCTCAAGAAATGCACTGCATTTACTTCTCAAAATGCTTGCATTCAATGCAATGTGTGTTGTTTTCCTGGAAATAATAACACCGTGCTACACTGTTTTCCTCTTTCACATTCCATTCTCATTCCATTTTTGTTCTACCTTTCCTTTGTTGAAAGTTGAAACTGAACCCCCCACTAAACCCATGTCAATTTTGTTTTTATTTTTCTCTTGCTTTATTTCATAGAAAAAGGTTAGGTGTGAAGCCCAGTAAAGTTCTTACCTTTTCCGAACTTTCTTTCTTTATTTATTCACATTTTTTATAATTATTTTTGGGTTTATGGTTTGTTGCAGTATTTTGGTGAGCATTTGGATTTTCAGTGCTTAGAACAAGGATTGAGCACCACAGAAAGCTTGAGATTTGAGGAAGAAGAAGAAGCAGCACATCTCTCAATACCAAGCTTGGAAGACAAAATGCCATTCCTTCAGATGTTACAAACTGTAAACTCCCCCCCACCTTACTTTCCCTTGAAAGAGCCAAGCTTTCAGGCACTCTTGAGACTACAGCACCTAAAGAATCCATGGGAGTTAGGCAAAGCCTACATGCCTGAAATGGAGACCCAACTTCAGACAGCACTAGAGATTGAGAGCTGTGTGACCCATGACATGGTTGAATTGCATTCACCTGTTAAATCAGAAGCCAAGGACCTTCATAATCACCCACATTCAGTTTCTGCTGGTAATCTGGAGGCTGTTAGTTCAGAGTGCATCCAAGACCAGGAACAGCCCAACTCAGCTGAAATTAACTGTCGTAGGAAAGGCAATAACTCATCAGGATCTCCTCCACCTACCTGGGCTCAAGCACAAAATGAACCTGAGCAGACCCAGTACCCCAAATCCCCTCCAGTCACCAGAGAAAGAAGAAAGCGCAAGAGAACAAGGCCAACCAAGAACAAAGAAGAAGTAGAGAGCCAGCGCATGACTCACATTGCTGTTGAACGCAACCGCAGGCGCCAAATGAATGACCATCTCAATGTTCTCAGGTCCCTCATGCCCACTTCCTACATTCAAAGGGTAAGCATATATATGAATTTTTAATCTTTAGCTTCTTACAATTTCATGAGTTAGCTTGAAGAAGCCATGAAATGTTCTTTATTGAAATAAGCTTTGTTTTTCAAAGGGTGACCAAGCATCTATTGTGGGGGGTGCAATAGACTTTGTGAAGGAATTGGAGCAGCTGCTTCAATCCCTTGAAGCCCAAAAGAGAATGAGAAGAGCTGATCAAGGGAGCAATGGTGACAACTCTTTTAGCTCATCATCATCATCCTCCTCTACCAGTATGGCAATGCCATCCAATGGAATGTTCATGTCTCTGTCCCAATGCAGAATTGGGTCTCATGAGGAAGGCACCACCACCACCCCCCTTGAGGATGAAGTAACAGCACAGAACAAGTCTGAGGCTGCAGATATAGATGTCACAGTGATCCAAACCCATGTGAACTTAAAAATCCAGTGCCAAAGAAGAGCTGGGCAGTTGATGAAAGCCATTCTTGCATTGGAAGATCTTAGGCTCGCAGTTTTGCACCTCAACATTACTTCTTCACAAGATACTGTTCTTTACTCTTTCAATCTCAAGGTATTATTTATCTTTTACAAATTTTTTTTTTCGTTCTGTCTTATCTGTTTGTTTTTTCCTAGTCAAACATTCTGACTTGGATCTCAAGCTACCCTAGCTAGCAGGCTAGCATATATGATATAATATCTCAACACCCCAGTAAAGCTTCTTTTTAATTTGTTATTTTGTTGCTCTTGTTTTGAGGAGAGGTGTGAATGGATGTAATATAATATTAACACAGTTTGGAATTTGAATTTGGTGTGTTACTGCAGATAGAGGAAGGATGCAAGTTAGGATCAGCAGATGAGATTGCTAGAGCTGTACATCAAATATTCAGCTTCATCAACGGCTGCAGCTGATTGGTTTAATGATTCAAGGCAGTGCTCCAGAAAGCAGCTAACCCTATTTCATTTCTTAGAGAGAGTAGGGATAGGAAAGGAAAAAGAAAGTGACCACATGAAATGAAAAATGTAAGGTGGTCTTTCACTCTTTTAGGATATTGGGATGGAGATGGGGAAGCAGAGGGAACCTCCACTTTAAAAATTGTTTCCATCTCCTAGGATGTAAATTTGTGTGTTTTAGTTTTACCCGCTGAGGTAGTAGTGACAATGCTGCAGATGATGTCTATTTCTTCCTCTCTCTCTTTTTGTTTTTTTTATATAATGGGGGCCCACCATGCTTGCTGGAGAGTTGAGGGCTCATTTTGAATATCTGATATTCTCATCATCATTACAGCTTTGCAAAGGATGCTTCTCTTTCTATATTTGACTTTTGGGGCAATCCATATGGACTATGAGTCCGTAAGGTGCTTCATCATTGCATATGGCTTTATGCATGTCCTTAAGCCAACACTTTCACCTGCCTCTTGGGTTTCCGAAGTCTGTACATTTTTCTTCAGCCTCCATGGATGATATGATAATCTTTCAAATTTCAAGCTTGAATCATGAAACACCCTTCTAATTGCCAAATTATATAGTTTTGAGAAGGGAGGTACAATTTGTCAAAGGCTCCAAGCCCAGCCAGCTCAGTTATTTTCCTCTTTTTTTACTGTTCTAGGACCTAAACCTAAGGGCTTGTGCTAGTTAAATTGCCCTAGAGAAATGACATGAGAGAGAGAGAGGTAGGCTACAGAAACTTGAAATGTGAACCCAAGTTGGCAGTATATGCAGCTGAATTTGGCTCACTCCCATGTGCCCTCTGGAAGCTTGTGAAAAGAACTTGTTACAGTTATTGCCAAATAAGTTCATGCTCACTGTTATTGCTAAAGATAAATATATTGTGGCCAGAAAGAAGTGGTACCACACCCACATGTATTGCACCTGCTGCTCTTGCTGGTGGAATATTTCAACATTACTTCCCCATACTTCAAATTCATTTTTGCCACCCAGTAATTCCATTTTCTTAAAAGGATAGCTACAAGTTTATTGGACTTATACAATGTTCAAGATCATTTCATCAATTTGCTCTCCATTTCTAAGTTTCTAAGGTCGTAGCTTTCACAGTAGCTTCACCTACCAAATAAAAGGCATGTCCAGGAAGGCTGTCAATGTCCTATATATATATATATATATATATATATATATGCTTTAAGATTTTAAGCTACAAATATTTTGTGCATATTTTTGTAGCTTTCCCTTTGTGTTTACACATTGTATATAATTCATGACATGATGAATTGAAGTTTAAGGGAGACATGGGCAGAAGATTTTGTGTGAGGACATAGGTATGAAATGGGATGGAGGAAAGGCAAAGTCAAAATGGTGGTGAGGTTAAAGAGAGAAGAAAAAAAAATAGAAATCCCACTAAAAAGTTGCCTGAAAATTGTCATATATATGGATGATGAAGACTGGAGAGGGCAAAGGCAAGTGTGCAAAGCTGCACCACATATCCCAATGTGAAAAGCCAAAGTCTTAGTCATTTTTGCCTCTGCATTTCATATTCCTTTCCCACAGCCTTTCTTCAAGCTCAGTCTCAATCTACATCATTTGGTTTTTGGTTTTTGGTTTTTAGCTCCCTCCATGTTTCCCTTTCTTTTCTCACTTTTTGTTTGAAGTCAATCTTTAATCATTTCCTTAAACTCTGTGGACATTTAGCCTAAGTGTCATGATTAACCAATTCAGATTCCAAGTAATTAACTTCATTAACAATAATAATATGCGATTAAAAGGCAAAATGAAAAAAAAGAAAGAAAGAAGAGAGAGAGAGAGAGAGAGATAGAGAGAGAAAAGGCACCCAAAATTAAGAAATAGAGAAACTTTGCCAAGGCCCTAGGGCAACTCTATCTTCAATAACAAATGGAACCCAAAAAGGAACATTTGTCTGAAATTATCAAAGTAAGTGTTCGTTTTATTTGGAAAAACGAGCCTTTAATTCTATAATCTAATTCTACAAATCTCACATTTCCAGAGATTGTCCTTGGCATTAGATTAATAAAGCATATTTAGCTTAATTTAATCACTTCTCCTTCTTTGAAATGGCAGAGGAAAATTGAGAGTCTCAATGTGGTTGGTCTTACCAAAGCAAACGCCGTCAGCTGGTTTAGTTAGGGTTTTGCATACTTGCATGCCAAGGGTTTTGAGATTCCATCATTTTGGTTAACAGTTCCTTTGTTTTTTCTCCTTTTGGTTCTTTTCCAACATTAGACCAGCTTTAAATTTACCTGGCAGGTGACTTGTCTGTGTGACTACGTTCACCATGGTTTGATGGGACAATGCATTTCAATTTCCTTTTTATTCATTTTTTCCCACCTCTAAGAGCATTTCTAGCTGGAGAGACAAGCACGGGCAAGAGGCCCCCTAGGCTCCCAATCCCGCCAATCCCGTTTCTAGCGGTCAAGGCTTGCCAAGGCAAGCGTTGGGCTCCACCAGCCACTATGCTGGGTAAGGCCCAAGGTAAGACTTGCCTGGACAAGATTAAATAACAAAAAAATTGAAAAAAAAAGGGAAAAAAAAACCAAAAATTTTAGAATTTTTAAAAAACAAATACCTAGTTATATTCTTCACTTCCCACACCAAAATTATATACAAATTTCTCTCATCATATCTCATGTGAATAATGCTTTCCCTTGGATTGCCATGACAATGAGTGGAAAACCAACAAAAAAAATTGATAGGACAAACACTAATCATGTGACTGGTAACATCTCTTGTCTCCCTTTGCCTTTTGCCGTGACAAATGAATGGAAATGATCTAAAAAATTGCAAATGATATTAGTTCAAGTTTTCAAGTGTTCCGGGTTTTAAGACTCTCAAACTTTTGATCTCTTCCAACAAAATGGAGAAAAATACTACTAAAACATTGTTATTAATTGATGATTTAGACACACATTCAAAACAATGATCCATTCAAATTAACAATTCAGTGTGTTTTATAATCTCAAGATTGTAAGGCAAAATACCATTTCTCCTGTTATTAAAGAGGCTTCAATCTTCTTTGTTCTTATCCAAAGACAAAACCTTCCACAAAAATCTTCCAAGTTCCAAAGAAGAAAAATGGGGTTGTGATTCAGATGCTGCAAATGTTTGTACACACTCTACTTCTACTACAGCCAGAGTCTTCACACACTTCAAATTCCAAAGAGAACCTCTCTGTCCTCTCCAATGACTGCAGGCTTAGGCTCTGAAAACTGTCCATCATGAAATACAAAATAAGTTGGCCCTAATCCCAAATTAAAAACACCCCACAACAAATCTAAATTTTTTATTTTCTCCTAATTAATACCAAGCCAAAACCATCTCACTTCCTCTGTTTGTGTTGAGTCTGAACCTGGGTAACTGGGTTTTGTCCATATAAAGCTGACATGCACTTTTATTTGTTAACATTATCAATAATATAATTGTATCTTATATATATAATCAGTTATATATATCTTTTGCTTGGTGGGTTTGGTGGGTTGAGAAGGTTGGGGTCAGAGATTTATCAGAGGGCAAGAGATTCCTCATTGTGAGGCATCCAAATCTCAAGAGAGTGCCAGAGATCTCCTTGGAGACTCTGTAAAAAGACCCACATTTTTTTTTCTGTTGGCCCACCACCTCCAAATTTCAAGATCTACCTTTTTAAGCTTTCATTTTAACCTAGAGATCATAGGCATAGCATAGCACCCCCATCACCACCGTACAATCAATCAGATCATAGAAAATCAGAAAATCAGAATCCCCAAACCCAAATTTTCATCATACCAGCCATGCTTTGACCTATGGTCGCCCCTCATTTTCCTTTTTCTCTTTTGAAGTCAACACAAGAAGAAGAAGAAGGGATCAATCAATCAAAATTTCAAAGGGGTCAAAGTAAATTTCAAAGTAAACTTCTTTGATGAGGCGAGGGGCTTGTCCAGTCAATCAGTCTTTGACAGCCTGCGCATGTGTGCCTGCTTCTGCGTACTTTTTTAATGCAACGTTTTTCTTTTCTTTCTTCTATCTATGTTACATGATTATTGCACGGTTGCACGAAAGAAGTTGGGAAGAGGCTGTGAGTCTGTGACGATCGATCGGCAGCAGAAAGGCCTATAATCTATTGTTTTCTTTTTGTTTGTTGTTACATAGCTTTCGGCTTCCGAGTTGTCCCCAAGTGGCTTTTCGGCCACACCATGAAACAAGGCCTTTTTCTTCATATTCTTCAAGGACATCTTTTTTAGCTTTCTATATCTCCCTTTATTTTTCTAGTACATGTTTAGGGTTAGTGTGATATTGTATCAACGTATTGTATGTGGTGAAGTAGGAGCTTTTTTCTTTATCAATAATTCTATATAATTGTTGGTCTAGTCGTTTTCGATTGTAAAATATAATGAGAAATAAATACATAATTGTACATAAACTATGATTAAAAAAAATATATTATTCGTGAAATAATGGATAGTGAATCAAGAATATACACATTACACATAGTGATATGCAATTAATAATTGAAGAAAACAATATATAGGATAGACATATAATTATATGCAAATTTACGACAGAATCATATATGGGATCTGGGTTGTGGGCTCCTACGTGTATAAAGGTGAAAAGTGTGAAATGCCACTTTGAGGCATTTTACCAAACAGGTGGTGGGACGAATGCATGAAAGCTCAAATTATATTGAAAGAAGCTGGCTAAGAAGACAAAATGAGTCATAGTATATGGTAGTGTGGGGACTAGGGAAGTCTAAGCTTAACCTCCCTCAATCTCTCTCTCTCTCTCTCATGCGTCTGTGTGGGGGTGGGAGGGGCTACATATGTTTGTTTCGGTTTCCGATCCAAGAAACAAAGCCTTTTTCCTATGCCATGGTTTGTCCATCCCTTTCTAACCATGAACAAATTATTCACCTCGAGATCAACTCCCTTCAATTATTTTCACTTTTATCAACTGGGATTTTTACCGTTTCACTGTAGCGTAAAAAGAAGCTTAGGCATACTATGTAGCATTCGTATGATGGTTTGTTTAGATTTACGCGGGAATTGGCATGTTAGATCAAAGGAAAAAAGAACCCTAGTCTCCTAAATCTATCATTCTACCACATCTTTGATTCTCCAATGGAGAATCTGACCTATATAGCTACATGTGATGATGTGAGATGTGTTCAAATTATCGATGACTAGCAATCGTTAATATACTAGAATTATAATTTAATACTGCGATTGACTATTATTATGAAATACATTAACTCAATGATTGTTAGGCATATCGACTCTATTAGTCATTAATATGCGTGTGAATGACAAAAACTTGCTTTTGTCCTATAGGTTTGCTTATTACAAATCAAGCTTCGATGCCACAAGCACAAATGTGCAATTTAAGGAGGCGATTGTGCCGTAACTGTCACATCTAATTAGAAAGAAAAAAAACATAGTGCCACCCTACTAAGTTTGTCTATAACTTATATATTAGCCTATTAGCCTCTATTTTAAAAAAGGAAAAGAAACCTTGCATGACCATCTAAAATAAAATGGGCTAGTGCCTTACTACCTTGTGTGGCCTGCTTATATTGGATTTGGTCCACACAAATATACTGAAGTTTAAGATTACCAGGCCGAAGGCCCAAAGAAGACAAGATCACTTAGCCCTGGAAGCAAGCTGACCATTTCTTTATTCTCGTAACTCATGTTTACCTCAACCTCAACCATCCCTACTTTAACATTTACCACCAACAGTATAGGTAAAGGTGAAAAGAAACTTGTTCTTTGATGCCTATGGAATCTCTGCTACCCATCCCCTAGTTAGACGACTTACAAGTAGGCTTACATGATGATGGTTTGTTTTCTTTAAGGATTTTTTTTTCATCAATATTAATGAGAGGCTTATGCCAGTAGTGGATAGAGAGTGCAAATGTTTAACACCAGATGAGAATCTTCTTACTAAAAGAGTATTGGGTGGTGGTGAACAGCCTATCACATATGCACATGTAGATAGTTTCACTCTTTTAGACCTTTCCCCTATCAAAGCATGATGGAGATGTTTGAAATACTTTGCTAAATGTTTTCTCTCAGTTGTGCCCCACTAGTAAGTTTTTTATTTTATGTTATAAAAGATATAGTAGGAAAGGGAAATCGAAGTTCTCAATCACTTGAGTTACAAACTCGTCTTCCAAAATTTTATTAGAAGAATAGATTGGCATACAGGTGAGTAAACAGAAGGTAATTTGAAAACAAAGTTTGCCCTTTGGAGGAAGATAATATAATGGAGAGGTTTTTTGGGTCACAACAACAGAGATCCAACCTGGAGCTTCCTATCCAAATCAAACACCACAAAATGCCTATCCTACAAGCCATGTCATCACACTATCCACATGAAGAGGAATGGGTGGTTCTCCATCTCCAAACTTGAGAGAACACCATCTCCACTGTCCATTGCAAAATAATCCAAACCCCTCCAAAATTACAAACCAAGAACAAAGATAACAAGAAAGATAAGTTGAAACTCATCAGACACTACTGTATCAAATTTCTCATCCTTGGTGGCCTCAGAATCTCTCATAGGACTTAAATAACCTGTAGGGGATTCAATAACCATGGCCTCTAGCTCCTCCACACTTTCCATCTCCTCCTCATCCACCCTCGTTGACACCAAGGCTCCCCGCCACTCGGCAGCATCATCGCCGCAATGTGTGACCCTCCCTACGCTTCCTCCACCCCCGGTTCAGTCTCAGAACCGCCCAGGGAAGACTACTGCCTATTGTGAGCCATCCATGATTACTATCATTAGTATTTACAAAGTACTTTATATGTTTGATGAAAATTTTGTTTTTCCAAACAATTTGACCAATCTAAATGATTGATCAAGTGAAATTTTATTCAACGTATCGTTTAGATTGACAGTCTAGTAACATAACATGTTAGATGTGTAAATATAAAATGCATATATACTGATGTTCTTTTTTATTTCTTTTAGGTCGTAAGATTGCGCGCAATGTCATGGCCATGGCCACAGGGGAAGCACCTGCAGAAGTGGCTACAACTGAGTTCCCAGAGATTGTGAAGACAGTTCAAGAAGCTGTAAGCCTTTCATTCAGTTATGTCACTATCTAGTGTTTTTGTATGAAGGAGCTCAGCAAGTTAGATGACACAAAATGATTTGTTTTTGCTTTCTAGTGGGAAAAAGTTGAAGATAAGTATGCAGTGTCTTCACTTGCGGTGGCTGGTGCTGTTGCACTATGGGGCTCCACTGGATTGATCTCGGTGTGTCTCTCTCCTTATCCACATTCTGTGTTAGCTTCCCATAGTTTCCAAATTAAAATTTTTAAGTTGCTGTGTTTTTATTTCTGTAGATTTGAGTAGCTAATTTCTTACTCGATTATTCGATTATTGACTGGTTAATCTGCTTGATGGGTATGTTTGTAACAGGCAATTGATAGGCTTCCTTTAGTCCCTGGTGTTCTTGAGCTTGTAGGCATTGGCTACACTGGGGTAAGTTGGGTTTTGTTTGCTTTTGCATTCTTTTAGAAACTTTTCAATTAAGATTATGCCAGAAAAGAACCCAATTCACTACTTCTTGCACTTTCCTACTTCTTACTACCTGCCTTTCTTATGTATCTTTGCAGTGGTTTGCATACAAGAACCTTGTTTTCAAACCAGACAGGTGAGTACAATTTGCTACAAAAACCTTTATTGGAGTATATAAGTAGTTTCTATTTCTTTTAATTCGTCCAAAAAAGATTTGCCATAGTAACATATAGAATTTCCATGGCATATCTGCTGTTTGAATTTCAGGGAAGCTTTGACGCAGAAGATTAAAGACACATACAAAGATATAATCGGAAGCGGCTAGAGCAAACCCGAAAAGTAATGCTGCTGAGATAGGAGAAGAACTTTTGGTTGGTTTTTGAAGCTTATACATACGTGTACATCTCGCAGCATTGTTCATAAATATGTGAACATTCTTCATTTTGTTTGCATAAGCTTATTCTAACCACGGTTATAAATGTACTTTGTCTTCATTTTGTAATTCATATAATTACGTTTCTTATGTTACTTTAGAAGGGAAAGATCAAAGTAAATTAAGTAAAATAATCTGCAGACTTTATGTGCAGTTCTAAGTCTGAAATATTTTCTTGCTTATAGATAGGAAATATTTGCCAATCTTTTATTAGGCTTGGAGCCTTAACACTTTCATTTTAGTGTATGAGTTTTCATATGCCTTGGTTACTTAAAGAACTCCATAACCCAAATGTTACAGACAAAACATTCATATCTGTCCATAACCCAAATGTTACAGACAAAACATTCATATCTGATGCCACTAAATCCAGCACCAGTTGCCAGGGCCATGAGTTCTTGTTCACTCCTCTCCTTCCCTCCCTGAACTTGAGTCATCATAAACACATCAAACTGGGAAGTGCTTTTCACAGCAGTGCTAGTATCTGGCATAGCTGGAAGTAGTGCTTCCACAACAATCACTTTTCCATTGTCTGGAATAGCTTTGTAACAATTCTTCAACAGCTTTAGGCAGTGCTTATCGCTCCAATCATGAAGTATCAACTACAAACAAATGTATCAGAAGACAAGTAGAACAGCTTCATATATATAGTTACCATTGTTAAACTAAAAGAAGAAAACCAAAAATTTAATTAATGCCTGAGAAATTCAAAAATTACCTTCATAAAAATGGCATCCCCACTTGGAACACTAGCAAACATGTCTCCTCCAACATGTTCCACACCTGCAAAAAAAATTTAACTCCCATTTTATGCTGCACACTGCTTCCGATGAAGCAAAAACTACGATTTCACATTGAATCAAATAAATTAAAGTCCTACCAGGATAGGAAGGGGCATGATTTACGACATGGGGCAAGTCGTAATTGATTCCCCTTATATGGGGATATCTAGATGTGACCAGATTAAGGGCCACTCCAAAGCCACCACCAACATCAACAAGTTGTGTGAGGTTCTTGTCTTGAAAACCCTTTGTAGATGTGAAGATGTTTCTTGATGACAATGGTGGTGTGGTTTAAACATTGCTGTGTTGAACACTTGATTAAACCTGGGGTCCAAACCTAGAAACTCAAAAGTTTGCATGCCATGGACCCTGTTAAATGGAATTCCTCCTTCAACAACTGCATCTTTCAGTTGAGACCTGTAGATTTATTATGTGTAGAAAGTTGGAGTTAGATACCCTACTAGTATTATAATTGGCACAAACTATGTGAGTTGTTTCTTTGACTTGGGGAACTTAATAAAATTTGAATTATATAGGGCCTTTCTTCTATTATTAGGTGGACCATTTATAATTTTAATAGTTACTTCCCTAGCCAAGATCCCAGACTGACTTTAATTATGGCATTTTAAGGAATGAGATTGTCTGTAAATTTGGGTATAATACCAGTGAATATGTCTCCTTACTCCCAAGTTCGATCATTCTCCCATAGTTTTCTAGTTTCTTCATTATACTAATTTTTTATTTATTTTTTATATAATCATGTGTAATGCATGTGCCAGTACATTAATCAAACTTAAATAGATAAAAAGAGTCAAGATCGGGACACACAAAAAGCTACACTTCTTGACACACCTTAGCCTTTGGATGTTTCTTCATCCAACGGTTGAAAACACATCTGATATTAGAAGCTCATTTATTATTTTATTGGTGTCATTAACCCATTGCACACAGCACAAGACTATCTCTACATTAGAGCACCTCCACCCCAAAGGGTAAGGGCAAGGCATAGGCAAGGCAAGGTTTGACACTATTCACATGAATAGTGGCAGCCTTGCCTTTTTTGGTTCCACCCCAAAGACAAGGGTAAGGGCAAACATTATTCACTTTAATTTATTTTCAGTTGCCACGTGTCACTATTTATTATAAAATTCTCGACTAAAATTTCATATAACATTTTCGGATAAAATTTTTGATAAGATTTTCGGTTGTCATGTGTCCATCAAATTTAATATAAGATTCTCGGTTGCCACATGTCTTACTTCAGATAAGATTTTCACTCTCTAAAATTGCACCACGTGTCCCATGTTAGATAAAATTTTCGGATATTTATTAAAAAAATTATAATATCATATTTTAGATAAGATTTTCATCCTCTAAAATTGCACCATGTGTCATCTCTATCTTTTCAATCCCTCTATAAAACTACACCCTTAACTCATACCTCTCGCACCATATCTTCTCTATTCTTTCATTTCTCAGATTTTACAAAACACATTCTACTCTCAATATCTAACCTAAGGAGGGTGTTGGATAGGCAAGAGTGAGAAGAGGAAGAAATCAGGCGCAGACATGTTGAAGAAGATCGTGAGGCCGATGAAGAGGAGGAAGAAATGGTTGTAGCTGTGTGTATGCTCAATGAATCAAGGCAACACCACCGTCGTCGCTCCTCGAACGTGGACAGATATAGGCAGTCTCAAGGTAAAAATCTCTTGGAAGATTACTTTATTCCAAATTCGTTATATCATGTTTCTCATTTTCTAGAGAGATATAGAATGCAACCTCGTTTGTTCCGAAAAATCATGCATGATATTTGCAATTACAACATATAGTTCGTTCAAAAGTATGATGTTGTTAGGGTTTTGGGCCTTCTTCTGGAGCAAAAACTTAAAACTGCTTTGGCAAAGAGATTATGGGAATCGAAAGGGCCAAAAAAGTATAATTTTGGTGGTTGTAGCTTCATTCGACAATTGGGTTTGGCACGCCTTCTTCGAAGTTGCCGGATCACATAATGACCTCAATGTGCTTGGTCAATCCCCGGTATTCAACGATGTCTTGAGAGGTCATTCCACCCAAATCACATATCAAATCAACAATACCGTATACTTAAGTGCATACTACCTCGCCGATGGAATTTATCCAAGGTGGACGACATTAGTGAAAATAATTTCGAATCCTTAATCCGAGAAGGAAAAAAGCTTTGCTGCCTTTGAAGAAGGTTATAGGAAAGACATGAAAAGGTGTTTCAGTATCTTGCAAGCTCCTTGGGTAATTATCAGGGGTGTTGCTCGGATGCTTGATGAGGAGGTGTTGCGGAGCATTATGATGACTTGCATCATCCTCCATAACATGATTGTGGAGGATGAGTATGATTATGATGCTCCAGAGGTGTTTGAAAAGACGACAGTTTTATAAAACCGGCGTGTATGATTAACTTAAACACCTAAAAAATGAAGATACAAATGAGAGTTTTTAAAAACCGACACACCTAATTATAAAAGCGACGTCTTATTGAAAAAGGTTTTCCTCAAAGTAAACTCTAAGCCCACAAACAACGGCAGAAGGTATGAATCCACCGACGTAGAAAGTAAAGACGACGGTTTAAAGAAACAGCCGCTGTTTTTACTCCGTAATAAACACAACCAAGTTTTCGTATTCGGCGTCGTATAATTTCAAAAGAATCCACGGAGGTATATTACAAAATACCGCCGTATTAAATAAATGTACAATGACGGTAAAGATAAATTTATCGACTTATTTCTTGTAGCGTACTACGACGGTATCTTTAACTCTTACCACATTGGTTTGTTCAATTAACGCCGTATAATAAAATTTACAGCGTCGTGAAGTTAAAATTACCGTCATATTTATTCACTTTATACGTCTAACCTTACATCTAACACGTCGTCTTAATAATATAATTTTTTTACTATTTATTTTGGTATCCTACGACGGTAGACCAACTTAATGACAATAATTGAGAATAACCACGACGGTTTATATAGAAAACCGCAGACAAAATCAGATTTTTCTGAGATCCAAGAGATACGTCGTGAAGTTAAAATTACCGTTGTATTTATTCACTTTATACGTCTCACCTTATATATAAACCGCCATCTTAATAGTATTTTTTTTTACTATTTATTTCTTGGATTTTTTTATCCTATGTCTGTAGATCAACTTAATGACAAGAATTGAGAATAACCACGACGGTTTATATAGAAAACTGCCGACAGAATAAGATTTTTCTGAAATTCCAAGAGTTACGAAATCTTACCAGATGGAACTCTGTTCCTCATCATAATCGGACTGCAGAAAGACAATATTTTAGACGTTGATGATGTGTGTGTCTTTGTGTCTTTGAGATACACGAAGGCACATACACATCAACATCCAAAAATTTGCCTCTAAGATTTGACGAAGGCAGCCACAGATTTGCATTCAGATAGACAATTTTTTGGAAGTTGATGATTTGTGTGTGTTTGTGTCCTCCAAATACACAAATGCACACACACATCAACATCCAAATAATTGCCTCTAAAATTTGATGACGGCAGAAACAGATTTGCATTCAGAGAAACAATTTTTTGGACATTGGTGATGTATGTATGTTTGTGTCTTTCAGATACACAAACATACACTCGCATCAACATCCAAACAATCGCCTTCTAAGAGGTGAGGCAGAAGAAGTTGGAACCCTAATTGAAAACTGAAAATGAAAGAACTCGTGAAAAGAAACTCTATTTATAACGTCGGTTGTTGACAAATTGAAGGAAAGTGTTATGGAAGCAGTGAGAGAGGAAACCAAAAAGATGGAGGCCAGGGCAAAGGAAAGTGTTAAGGAGACAATCAGAGCAGAGAGGGAAATTTTGTTGAAACAATTCAGTCAACTAAGTCCCAACTTTGATCCTAACTTGCTCGGTAAAACTCCAACAACACCAATTTCTCCAATTCTTCCAATTCCTCAAGAGCAAAGCCCAAAAAATCCAATGTCTGACAAAGCCAGCTGCTCTAATGTGAGAGCCCTTGAATTGGATGAAGACAATCCCACGAATGATACTGATGCTGATGCTCTTGAAAACTGTCAAGATGAAACGGTAAAATCTCTGACATTTGATTTTTTCTGATTTTTAAATTTTAAATAGACATCGGGTTTTATTTTACAACCCGTCGTCTAGTTTAACCTAGACGGCCTTTCTATTATGTAGCGACGTTATTACATTTACACAACGACTGTTATGTATTTACCATCGTCTATAACCTCTACCCCGTCAATATGTTATAGAAACCGTCGTTGATATTATATACCACGTCGGTTTTGTTGATTTGTTGGAGTCGTTTATTTTACTTCATGCACAAACTAACTTTTATTTATTTATTGTTACAGGATCTCTCAAAGCTTGACATGCCAGCTCCTCTGTTAGCCCTATGCCAATATGTCATGACCAAGTTGAAGCCTTCTAACGAGACCATTAGAATTCACATGCCAGAGGAAATGTTTGGCTCTAATCATTATACCTGGCTCTTGAGTGAAGACATTTTACAGTTTGCTTCCATGGTTGAGATTGGATCCACAGTGATTGCAGTATACATGAGGTTATTCTAGAAATTCAATTTTGTTTTTTTTTACATTTCCTTTCTTTTAAATTTAATTGAGTTTCATATATTTAATTAGGTACTTATTTGACTATTTAAAAATGGCAAATATTGTAAACCTTGTTGGCCTCGTGGACCCTGGACAAGTTAGCTCTCAATCTGGAACGTTATCTCACTGTTCAAAACATCTCTCAGAACGCCTGAAAAACGCAGATAGGGATCAATTTTACTTGGTGCCTTATAATCCAGGGTTAGTCCCCTTCTATATACTTGCAATATTGGTCCCTTGTAATATATATATTTTTTTGCAGTATATTTAATATATATGGATCATTTTGTGTAGGGGTCATTAGGTGTTAATAATTGTGAGACCAGCTAAGGAGACTGTCTATTGCATGGATTCATTGCCAAACCGCTCTGTTGACGAGGACATGAGAAATATAGTGAATACGTAAGTTTATTAATGAAAAACTAAAATTTTTTATTTATGCATTTGAATGACACGACGGATTTTTCAAATACCGACGTTGTAGTGAAAACACAACGACGGTATATAATAACCGACGTTGGAAATCATTTACAATGTTAGTATTTTCTTGAAACCGTCGTCTTCATTGAAATACCACGTCGTTTGTGCTTTTCATTTTAGAACGTTTTAATTTTTTCTGTTCAACTTTCATTTAAAAAAAACTTTGGTCATACGTTGTTTTTCTTCGTCACCGACGTTAGAATGATACACAACGACGGTTCTTATTTTCCGATGTTTGAAATAAAATACGATGTCATTTGTTTTACAAAACTGTCATCTTCACTTATATACCATGATGGTAAATATTTTTTATGCTGATTTTTAGTTTTGTCACTAACACTTTTTGTTTTCTTGAAACAGTTCAATCAAAATGTATAACTCTCACACAGGTAAAAAATCATCACGTAAATCACCCATATGGAAAAATCTACAAGGCACTCCTAGACAACCAACAAATATAGAGTGTGGCTATTACGTGATGTGTTTCATGAGAGATATAATTCATGATCCAGGCCTAGCATTTGAGAAGAAGGTAAAATTTAATATATAATTTCTTTATTTTAATACCACGACGTTTTCTTTAAAAACCGTCATTTTGATATTTATAACACGTCGGTTTTTGTTCTTTATTTGTAGTTTGACAAGAACAATGAACCAGTTGTGTATACTCAAGAACATATTGACGAAGTCAAACTGGAATGGGCAGAATTCGTGAAAAAGCAATTACAAAACAATAAGTGATAAACATATTTATTTTAAAAAGGTTTAAGTTTATTTTAATTTTTTGATAATGTATATAAACATATTTTTGGTAATTAATTGAACATTCATAAAAAAAAATCAAATGAAATATATTTTTGTTTCTAGTTTTTTATATATATGATATTTATGTCGTTAAATGAAATAAAATGAAAATTAATCATAAAAATTTAAATTAATTCCCAAAAACCGACGTCTCATTCTTATTTACATGTCTCATATCTATAAACAACCACCGTCTTATTATAGCGGGAAAGAAAACATCGACTGCATTTCTAAAAAACGACATGTAAAATTGATATACACGACGGTTAATATATAAAATTTGGTCAAGTACTCACCGTCGGGGAACAATATGCTTTCAATGAATAAATAACATATTAATTTCAACCAACACTACTACACAACTCATCTCATAAACATGATTGACATTTGACAAACATAAAGGTAGAAGATCCAATCCATTAAAACACTCACATGCAAAAAATGAACCTAAATTATACACCAACTCAAGCTACCAAAAACCCAACTTGTTGAGCACTAGTCAACAAGTTTTATAGGCAAATTGAAATCAAGTAAAAATTACTTCAGCAGTAATACCTTCATTTTTTCAACCAAAAATGCCAGCTTTCTTTCAATATCAAAAAGCACATTCAATTAGTCCCAAGATGTGGGACATAGATACCTAGTCTTTTAGATTACAAAAACATAGTTCTTTTCTCCAAAAAAAAATATCTTAACAAAGGAAAGAAGAAAATGAAGTAACAATTTTACAACAATCTTTTAAAGAAACAATGAGATTGACAATTATGGTTCCAAAATAATACCATACATTAAATTAACACATAAATGTTGAGAAAAATATGAAGAGCAGAGAGAGAGAGAGAGAGAGATTGTAAATAATACTTCAGCCAAGAATAATCTCAACTCCTACTCAAATCACAAGCAGATAAAGAAAAATGATATCAACATATATTCCTATTAAATTACAGTAACATATCAATAAAACACCAAAAAAATCAATATAACAGCGATACCATAGCAATACAAAAGCAATACCACTACAATACAACCGCAATAAAATCACAATACGATTGCAATAGCAAATCAACAATGCTACCTCACTATGATATAACTATAAGTTCATAGAAATCCCAATACCAAATGCAAGAATCAATTGACAAAGAACAAACACATTTGTTGTTTTAGACAAATAAAATCAATCCCAATACTTCACTTTCTACGCAAAATACAGACGAAATCAATCACAATTCCAAATTCATTAATCAAATTCAATTTAACATCAAAACTTACATATTCCCAACAATTCATTTTCTGGAGAAGCTGTTCTTGAAGAGGGCATGTAAACCGAAACTTCAAAACCCCCCAAAATTGGACCAAAATGCTCAAACAATGGCCACCTAATGCCAGGACATGCTGTCATATTCAGAAAAGATGGTTTTGTTTGGGTTTGTTTAGGTTGCAAAAGGGATTCGAAGAGAGACGAAGTTGGGGTTTGGATTTGGGTAAAGAAGAAAACAAAGAGGAAGAGGAAGAATTGGGTTTTGAGGGCAAAGCTGTGGGTTTTGTAGGTTGTCCTTGATCTTCTTCTTCGTGAGAAGAGGCGTAGTTAGCTATATGGAGAGAGAGAGAGAGAGAGAGAGAGAGAGAGAGCAAGCTACCACAGAGAGAGTGAATAGGGAGCTGAGCGAGCTGCAAGAGAACTAAATTTCAGAGAAAATTGATATGTGTGCAATAAGTGGACAATAAATATATATTTATAGGTGATAGTTGCAAAAAAAATTGGGGAGATGTGGTATTTTCAGAAAAAAATTATAAAAAGAGTGGCATTTAGAGCTATTTTCCAACATTAAATAGGCCACATGTGCTATGCAAGTGTGGCTTTTTGTGTATTCCTCCATCGAGACTCTTTTAAAAATTAGTAACAAATGTATAAAGGAGAAAAGAAAAGAGTATAACTTAATTAGTGGCAGGACCAGGAGGGCTAAACTAACTAGCTTTCATGAAGAAGATCCAATGCCAACAAGGGGCCCAAAGAACCACCTTCTTCATCATTCACAAAGTACTTAGATACAGGGCCAAGGCTATAGACCCTTTGAAAATCAGAACCACGCACCATTTTCATCCTCATTAGCAGCAACAAGAGAGCAATGGAGAACAGAGTGGCTGGTGAGGAGCCTGAGGATCTATCCATCATCATGGGTGCCTCAGAATTCTTGGTGCCAATCTTGGCTGCGATCTTAGACGAAGAGAGCTTGGCGCCTGGACCCTCTCTGGCTATGATGTCAAAAACGCCAAGCTCAATTGCTGATTGCAGAGATATGGACAGCGCAGAAGAACCCACCAGCTGCATGGCATAGCAGAAGCTTTCTTCTTTCTCTTCCTTCGTAATTTCATCCCCAGGCTCAACAATTATAGCCGAGCAGCTATACAATTTTTTTGAAAAAAAACCCTAGTATATCCGGTCGGCTATACTATTTTTAAAAATATAAAAAAATTTACTCAAGTATAGCCGAGCGGTTATACTATTTAATAAGATAAAATAAAAAGAAGAGGACCTGCCTGCCGATTACGGGCAAAGGTGTCAAAACAAGTATAGCCGTCCGGGTATACTATCATAAAGATAAAGATATAAAAAACCCGGGCTATACCGATGGTTGGTTGAAGAAAAGGGAAGGAAGGGGAGCATTCTGAGGAAATGGAGAGAGGAAGAAAGAGCCTTCATCCATAGAGGAGCATGTGCATGCCAAATTCTCTAGAGAATGAAAGAAAGGATTCTGACTATTCAAGATTTTAGATTGGTATATATTCGTTTGTAGTTAGGCATAAAACCTAGGTTTTCTTTCTCTCTCCCGCCTTATTCTCTTCTCTGTTCGCTTTCTCCCAAACGACCTTGTACGATCTGAATTCAATGTTTTTTCTTATATTGATTTTATCAATTCGTGCACCAGTTCATCTTTACTCCTAGAGTTCTATTTCCATCAGATTGTTATGCTTTCCTTTATCTGAAGCAATAGATATATGATTCTGGTATATTTGATTGTATTCGTGGTAGATATATGATTCTGGGCTTCCAATTGTTGTGGTTGGCGTCTGGTATTATCTGTAGTATTTTGTAAGCTCTACAGTTAATCCATACACCATTGTGCTTATTCTTGCAATCATATTATGTCTCCTATGCATAATCCTCTCTTAAATGATGACATAACAAAAGAAGAGGATAGAAACAAAGGGGAATTTGGAAATCTCTGCAAATTGAGCTTTTGGCTTTTTTTTCCCCCTTTCAAAAGTACATTCTTAAGGTGTTCATTAAGGATTCTTTGGTCTTCTTGATGAGAAAATGTTTAGCAACTTGACCATTAATTGCCATTTGATTTGACATAGTATCCGAATGGCAAACCCGGTGATTGTATGCTCCCATACTGTGAATGGTGTTTCCAAAGTACATCCAGAATTGCTAAAAGCAAAATTATTCAAGGTACTATATACGTGTTCCTTGGATTGTTGTCTTTTCCCTTGGCTTATGACAAAGTTGAAGATATCCAAATTCTTATGATACATTAGATTAGGTCATCTGACACCTCTTCTCTTTCACAGGACTTCTATGAGCTGTGGCCTCTGAAATTTCAATGCAAGACAAATGGTGTTACCCAGGTATAAAGTTCATAGCATCTTTTATAAAGTACTTGCTAGTTTCATTAGACTATTCCTTCTGTTTATGTGGTTGAAGAGGAATGGTGAGACACACACCTCCAAAGATGGTTTTGATGGCTTTTGTAGTTTGTGCTGTTATAGTTATCAAATAGGGCTTATGGGGCAGAGTGTTCCACAGAGTAAAATAATCTGCAGACTTTATGTGCAGTACTCTGAGTCTTCAATATTTTATTGCTTATAGATAAGAAACATTTGCCAATCTTTTATTAGGCTTGGAGACTTAACACCTTCATTTTAGTGTGTAAGTTTTCATATGCCTTGGTTACTTAAAGAACTCCATAACCCAAAAGTTACAGACAAAACATTCATATCTGATGCCACTAAATCCAGCACCAGTTGCCAGAGCCATGAATTCTTGTTCACTCCTCTCCTTCCCTCCCGGATTTTGAGTCATCATCACCACATCAAGTTGGGAAGTGGTTTTCGTAGCAGTGCCAGTCTCTGGCATAGCTGGAAGAAGTGCTTCCACAACAATCACTTTTCCATTGTGTGGAATAGCTTTGTAACAATTCTTCAACAGCTTTAGGCAGTGCTCATCGCTCCAATCATGAAGTATCCACTACAAACAAATGTGTCAGAAGACAAGTAGAACAGATTCATATATTTAGTTACCATTCTTAAACTAAAACAAGAAAACCAAAACTTTAATGCCTGAGAAATCCAAAAATTACCTTCATAAAAATGGCATCACCACTTGGAACACTAGCAAACATGTCTCCTCCAACATGTTCCACTCCTGCCAAAAAAAAATTATTTAACTTCCATTTTATATATGCTGCATACTGCTTCCGATGAAGCAAAAACTAAGATTTCACATTGAATCAAATAAATTAAAGTCCTACCAGGATAGGAAGGGGCATGATTTACGACATGGGGCAAGTCGAAATTGATACCCTTTATATGTTGATATCTAGATGTGATCAGATTAAGGGTCACTCCCAAACCACCACCAACATCAACAAGTTGTGTGAGGTTCTTGTCTTCAAGACCCTTGTAGATATGAAGAAGTTTCTTGATGACAATGGTGGTGTGATTAAACATTGCTGTGTTGAACACTTGATTAAACCTGGGGTCCAAACCTGGGTACTCAAAGGCGTGCATGCCATGGACCCTGTTAAATGGAATTCCTCCTTCAACAACTGCATCTTTCAGTTGAGACCTGTGAATTTATTATGTGTAGAAAGTTGGAGTTAGATAGGGCCTTTCTTCTATTATTGGGTGGACTATGTATAATTTTAATAGTTACTTCCCTAGCTAAGATTCCCAGACTGACTTTAATTATGTCATTTTAAGGAGTGAGATTGTCTGTAAATATGGGTATAACAGAGAGTCTATCCCCTTACACCCAGTTCGATAATTCCCGAGTGGTTTTCTGGTTTCCCTATTATACTAATTTTAATATAATCATGTGTAATGCATGTGCCAATATATTAATCAAACTTAAATAATGATAAAAATAATTAGTCAAAAGATTAAAAATAAATGAAGAAAATATAGAAAATGAAAGAGGATTATTAATTAGTAGCAGGGGCAAGAGGGCTTAAACTAACCAGCTTTCCATGAAGACCTTGTCTTGAATCAGTGTCATCAAGGGGCCCAAAGAACCACGTTCTTCATCATTCACAAAGTACTTAGACACAGGGCCAAGGCTGTAGACCCTCTGAAAATCAGACCCACCATTAGCAGCAACAGCAGAGCAATTAAGAACAGAGTGGCTGGTGAGGAGCCTGAGGATTCTATCCACCATCATTGGTGCCTCAGGGTTCTTTGTGCCAATCTTGGCTGCAATGTCAGACGAAGAGAGCTTGGCACCTGGACCGTCTCTGGCTATGATGTCAAAAACCCCAAGCTTAATTGCTGATTGCAGAGACATGGACAGCGCAGAAGAACCCACCAGCTGCATGGCATAGCAGAAGCTTTCTTCTTCCTCTTCCTTTGTAATTTCATCCTCAGGCTCAGCATGATTTATTTTGGGATGGCTTTTTCTCTCCAATGAAGAAGCCATTGGACTGTCTATGTTTACATTCTGAAACTCATTGCTAATGGAGTGGGTTTACTTATAGCTAGGAAACATAACGTATACAATTCACGTGGCTCTAGTATATAATATTAAGACAGTTGGAATACCAATTTAGTACTATATTGTTAATATATTTAGCTGAGTTGAGACTCTATATTGTATTTTAATTATTTGGACTATCCATGTTTTAGGTATTCTCTTAAAGATTATCTCGATTAAATGGTTGTCATTTTAATGTTATTTTTGTTCATCACAACTATATGTCTTAATGTTTTTAATTTGTTATGATCTTTTAAGTAAAATTTGTAGCAAGCCACACAAGATGTCCTTTACATCATGTTATTCCGAGAATCCCTGAATAGAACGAGACTTCTACCTAATATGTTATCTTTATTATAACTTTTTCCCAAAGCAACAATGTATCATCAAGGATGGTATATGCCTATATGGTAACCAATTACCAAACATCTTTTACCAAAGTGGTAGGCGTTGAGCGATTGAAGTGATGAATCGACAAAGTGGCAGTGCCGAAGGACCCCATAGCATGATGAACGCCTTAAAACTCTGTTTCACGTGCGTGTTATTATGATAAACTATTCATTTGTGAATTAGACAAGACTCTGAGTCAAGAAGATTGAATAGTTTATCATAAATGATTAGTGTAAAAGAATAATAGTTTATGAAATAAGGATATAGTTGTCAAATGATGTCATTGCCACCTCCTCCATGTTCTACACCTGCAAATTAATAATTCAATCAAGACTTCGATGAAAATAGAGCATATATATCTAGGAAGATCGGCCTTGAATATGTCTATAAGATCAGTAGAGTTACCGCATTACTCATTTTATTTTAGTTTTTAATATTAACAATTGTTCTTCATGAAATTTGAACTCAAAACTTCTTCAAACCAACATAAAAATTCAGCGACACTAGACCAAATGATGATAGACGATACCTAGTATTGTCAATTATAGGCCATGACTTTTTATTTATTTATTTGTTTGTGATAAGTTGATTGTACCAAAAACCAAAGTATACATACAAACCCAATTCAATCAAGAATTGAATGTCTGAAAAAACAAACCAGAGCTGTCTTGAATCTGTTGCCCGAAATGATTGGAGGCCCAAACAGAATCAATGCCATGACAAGGGCCTAAGGAAGCACCATTCATTGTCACAAAGTAGTTGGACACAGCACAAGGTTAAGGAGGTGGCAATGACATGTTATAGACAACATGTAGATCCAGATTGTATTAATCTTTTATGGGTATTTGGTTTTGGTGATTAATTATTGAGTACAATTTTCGCTAATTTCAACAACAAAAGAAGTTTGTCAATGAAAAATAAATGTCAACCACCAAAAGAAGGTTCGAACTCTCATTTAGATTTGTCCAACCAAAAAAAAAAACCTCTTCATTTAGAGGTGAATGTTATTCAGAAGCCCCTTTAATTTAATTAATTACCCTTAATTTGCGGTTAGAGAGGACAATATGAAAGAGATCAACAAGGAGATTGGCATCTTTGATATCATAGCCAAAGATGGTCCAACTAATGGCATCTTTGACATCTTTGAGATCAACGAGGAGATTGGCATCTTTGAGATCTCAAATTCGAACTCCCATGACATATTAGTTGTGTGTGTGAGAGAAAACTCCTCCCTTATAATTTAGAGTATCGCTTGTCCAAAAAAGAAAAGAAAAAACACGTAAAAAGCCTGATGATATTGGTGATGATTTCATCTCATGTAACTGATCAACATCATATGAATTTATCTGCCTGGATCTTGTTTTTTTTTGGTTGATTATCTACCTGGATCTGGCTCTATTGTATATGCTTATTTTTGTTACTTAGATCTCTGCCACTTCCTGCCCTAAACACTATTTTCGACCCTTCATCATTTTAATGGCTACATGTAAGACCCTTACAAGTTGGCATAGGCCATGGCATGGTTTTGATGTTTTGCACCATGCCAAGGCAAGCCAAGGGTACGTAGGAGGTGCACTCGTGAAGCAAGACAAGGTCGGAAGACATGTGTTTGGGGCTGGGAATTGGCAGCCAAGACATAGCAGCAAGGCAGCGCAATGCACAAGGCAGACATGCGCAGCGCAGCGCGCAATGCGCAAGGCATGTTGCGCAGCACACGTAGGCAGCTGGTGGCTGGACGTGGCTGTTTGGCTAAAAACGTGCTGGAGTGGGTCTAGGACGTGGCAAAACGGTTTTTGAGCAGTCCATGGGTGGTTGGGTATGGCTAGAGTTGCTGCATGCTTAAAACTCGGGTTGTGGCTTATCTTGGAGCATTAGTGGGCGGTTACTTGGTAGTGGCAGATTGTTCCAAGGAGTGGGAAGATTTTTAAGGAGAAAAATCTACCCCATGACATGAGTGGGCTACAAGGTAGCGACTTGAGAGTGCTAGACAGGTTTTGAGTGGGGGAAAACGTGTCTAGGTGGCTGATCTAACGGTTGGCAAAGTTTCCTAAGTAGATGGGGGTGTCATCTACATAGTGTAGGCTTATAAATACCTTGTGAAGGTGTGTGGTTGAGATACCAAGTGATGTGGTAATCCAGCTGAAAGTGAAAACTTGTAATCCTTTGCTATTGTGAGTAGAAGGTTGGGAGCTTTCCCGTATATGTGTGTGCAAAAGTTTCTTGCGTGAGGCAAGTCTCACTTGTGTGCGTTGGTATCACTTGTTTCACTGCGTGCACTCTGAAGCCTCACGGGTTTGGAGGTGAAGAGAAAGCTGACTTAGGAGGAGTCTAAGTGTCGGACAAAGGTTGAAAAATTAAAGGCATTTTTCACCCCTGTTACACTACCCACACTTGTTAGTCATGCAAGCCAAATGGTACATACGCGTCAATTTAACCTTGTAGCGTGAGTCTTGTGTCAGCGCGTGACGCAATTCAGCATATACGAAACTCATCATCACTGGTTCAGATTGCGTCACGGGTCGAATTCTTTCCTATAAATTATTGAATAGGTTCAATAAATGGGGATTTGATTTTGCTGACCTGCATTTGATCACCAATGTTGACAATGAACGTATGTGGCATGGGCTTGACTGCAACCCATCTGCCATGGTTGAAGACCTGGAAGCCTGCCACCTCATCTTGAAGGAGAAGGGTGACGACATTAGGATCAGCATGACCAGGTAAGCCATAGGTCAGCTCCGGCTGAGGGCAAGGCGGATAGTAATTGATGGCCATGTGCTGCCCATGCTTCCCCAATGCCCTGTTCAAGTAATTCTTTTCTAAGCCTAAGCTTTCTGATATGGCTTCCAGAAGTCTCTTTGCTAATCCTTTCACATTCCTGCAATACTCAGCCACATCTTCCCTGCAAAATTTCAAATCTAATTAGAGAAGGCTCTTAATCTTAATTAATTTGCCAGATATTTGACATATTAGGTTGTAAATATGGATCGTACGTATATTCTAACAAAAGTTTACCTAATCAATATAGATTAACAGTCTCGCAACATAATTAACATATTAAGTGTATGTTCCATTATCATAAGTACTTGTCCGACAACATAAATTTCGAACGCCCGACCTGAAAGACGGAGGGTTGGAGGGCCATTCATGCATGTAGTCCTCGAGAGGGTAGCAATGGAGTCTCAAGTAATCTCTCCAGCTGGAGACCGCCTCAGTTTTGACATTGAAACTGGTGGCCAGTCTTGTGGTCTTCAACGGGTCGTCGGAGAAACACTTGAGCCTTTCATTTTCTGGCAGATGAAAAAACTCCCTTGCTACTTTCAACATGTTGTCGATCACGGCCTCTTCAATTGCATGGTTTTGGACCTCCAATATTTTAATTTTACAATGAAATAATTAAATTACATTTTTAACTTAATTAAAAAGAATTTGTTAATAATGTGTGCTTAATTATAATGTTACATGTATCACATTTACTGATAGAATTCGCTATTAATTTAAAATCTGATGGATGTAAGATATCATAAGATTTCAAATTAATGGTACAAAGTATAGTTTTATTCTTTAATATTATTGCATTATCATTGGCGTGCCAAATCTGAATATTGTATTTTATATGTAACCTTAGACATGAATGAATGAACAAGTTTGGCAACGTTTCTATACAAAATCAGCGTAAGTATTTAATATTGCTATACAATCTAGAAAGAGAACATTTCAATGATCTTTTTAGGTAATTTGTTAGTTTAGTTTCAATTGTTATAGAATCTAGTAAGAGAATATTTCAACGAGTTTGCAAGTAATTTAATACTTTAGTTTCTGTTTCTTTGAGCCTATATATCCTATCTGTTTTAGAATTATTCTATAATTGTGGAAAATTCATGAGCTATCCTTTAATTATTTATTCATAGCTCTTATTTTAAAGTTATTAATTTGCAATTTGTAAAATCTAAATGAATAATGCTACTTTTACCATCTTTGTGTACCACATTGTGTAGCAGATGAGGTGAACAACCACATCAATTAAAACTAATTTTACATTTTTGTTTCTTTTATGATTTATTGACAATTTTTAAATAAATAAATATATGTTTATATTTAAATAAATATATATAATTATAATATTTATGTTTAACCCTAATTTAACCTCCCTCTCCTAATTCTTCCAAATCTTCTCTGGTCTCTCTCTCTCTCTCTCTCCCTCTCTCTGCTCCTAATTCTTCCTAATCTTCTCTGTATCTCTAGTCTCAAGTCTCTCTGTATTTAAATTGTATCTCAAGTTTTGATTATAAGTCCACCGTAATCTTTATTCTCTATAATATATATATATATATATATATATATGTGTGTGTGTGTGCTTGACAAATGGCTTCTTTACGTGCAGAGAGAATATTGTTTAAGTTGAAAGTCTCAAATTCATAGAGAGGCCTTTGGTGGAGATTTGTTCTCAAGAAAATCTTGTCCACCTGCTTTGTATTCATTTGATTTTATGCACACAAAAAAAGGGGATTCGGGGATGGTATGGGAGATAGTCTCCTGACGGGGACGGGGACGGGGATTCCCCGAAACCTATTAAATGGGGATGGGTTCGAGGATGGGGACGGGGATGGTATTGTCATACCCGGCCCTTATCCGGCCCAAACCACCTGGATAGGAAGGGGCTTGATTTACGACATGGGGCAAGTCGAAATTGATACCCTTTATATGTTGATATCTAGATGTGATCAGATTAAGGGTCATTCCCAAACCACCACCAACATCAACAAGTTGTGTGAGGTTCTTGTCTTCAAGACCCTTGTAGATATGAAGAAGTTTCTTGATGACAATGGTGGTGTGGTTAAACATTGCTGTGTTGAACGCTTGATTAAACCTGGGGTCCAAACCTGGATACTCAAAAGCGTGTGTGCCATGGACCCTGTTAAATGGAATTCCTCCTTCAACAAATGCATCTTTCAGTTGAGACCTGTGAATTTATTATGTGTAAAAAGTTGGAGTTGGATACCCTAATTGTATTATAATTAGCACAAACTATGTGGTTTGTCTCTTAGATTTGGGGAACTTAATAAAACTTGAATTATATAGGGCCTTTCTTCTATTATTGGGTGGACCATGTATAATTTTAATCTTTACTTCCCTAGTCAAGATTCCCATACTAACTTTATATATTATACCATTTTAAGGACTATGGAGCGAGTCCGTCCCCTTACAAGGAAGTTTGATCATTCCCGAATAGTTTTCTCATTATACTAATTTTAATATAATTATGAGTAATGCATGTGCCAATATATTAATCAAACTTAAATAATAATAATAATAATTAGTCAAAAGATTAAATAAATGAAGAAAATATAGAAAAGGAAAGAGGATAATTAATTAGTAGCAGGGGCAAGAGGGCTTAAACTAAACAGCTTTCCATGTAGACCTTGTCTTGAATCAATGTCAACACGGGGCCCAAAGAACCACCCTCTTCATCTTTCACAAAGTACTTAGACGCAGGGCCAAGGCTGTAGACCCTCTGAAAATCAGACCCACCATTAGCAGCAACAGCAGAGCAATTAAGAATAGAGTGGCGGGTGAGGAGCCTAAGGATTCTATCCACCATCATGGGTGCCTCAGGGTTTTTTGAGCCAATCTTGGCTGCGATCTCAGACGAAGAGAGCTTGGCCCTTGGACCTTCTCTGGCTATTGTGGGAACCAAATTAAATCAAAACACTAGGTCAAATATTTCCTTCCATTTGGGGATTATTTGACCGAATTGGGAGTTATTCAATTTAATCGAGGGTTACTCAATTTAATTGAGAGTTACTTGATTTAATTGGGATTGATTTAGATCAAATCCTTAATTAAGCCAATCTCGCCAAATCGGGGAGAAATAGTTCCTTTCCGTTTACAACTTGGCATCCGTGCTCGCCTGGGCCAACAAGAAAATGTTCATGAAAGGCTAGGCTCCCAGGGCGGTCAACCTAACAACCATCGCAATGAGGATCGTGAAGAAAGGCGCTCCGCTGCCCGCTCGCAAAAGAACATTCACGAAAGACTAGGCCCCCAAGGAGGTCAACCTGATAACCCTCACAATGAGGACCGTGAGGAAAGGCGCTTTGCTACTCACTCTCGAAGAGCCGATTCTTGTTGACAAGCTACAGAAAATCCTTCACAAGTGCAATCCACCAACATGCCACCTAGGCAGTGCAGCCGAGAAAGTCGACCCTTGCAAATCAACGAGGAAGTCAATCATCATCGCTCAAATCGCGAAGGTCGCCAAAGTGATCGAACATCAATGTGTGCGGAAGACGTTGAGAAGCTTGTGAATAACTGACTTCGAGACTTGAAGACCGGCGGAAATTTCGAGGATGCACTACGTAAGGAGATGGACCAGGCAAACTCTACGCCTTCATAGCCGAAATCGAGCAGGCTGCTCCCCCGAAGCGATTCTCAACGCCTTCGTTCACACACTTCAAATGGGATTCCGATCCCGAGAGCCATCTGAAACACTTCAAAAGTGTTAAGAGTAGCCCAAGACTGATTCCACACTCTACCATCCGAGTCGATCAACAGCTTCAAGGAGCTGGCTTACGTCTTCACCAAAGAATACACCTATTACTGGACAATTAAGAAGAACCCTGACCACCCGTACAACCTACGCAAGAAGTCCGATGAATCCCTTCAAGATTACATCAAGAGATTCAAAGCAGAAAAGGTCAACATTGTAGGATGTGACGACCGAATCGCGTCCTCTGCTTTCAAGAAAGGCCTTCCAGCTGAACACGACTTATACCGCGAGCTGACTATCACTCCCAGCCAAATTATGGCAGAGGTCTTCGCGAACGTGGAACGCTACGCGCTATAGTATGATGATCGAATCACCGCGAAGAAGTCTACTAAGAAGGAAGATCAGCCGACTAAGAGGGCAGGCCAAAGAAGTGATGGGTTTAGCAATAGGAACAAGGACAATCGCAGGTCGCACCCACAAGGGGATGCTACGACATGAGAGTACTACACCAAATTCTCTATCCCCATACATCAAATCTTAGCCCAAGTGAAGGACAAACCTTGGGTAAGAAGATCACTACCCTTGAAAGGAGATCTAGACAAGAGGGATACCAGAAAATACTATGTCTTCTGTGGGAAACACGGGCACACTACGAACAACTGCTTCGCCTGGAAAGCGCACCTTGAAGAACTCGTAAGAGAAGGTCACTGCACGGAATTCATTGCGAAACAGGTCATCCAACAGATTGAGGATCGTGACACCGCTAAGGAGACACCTCAGAAGGTCATAAGGATTAACACAATCCTAGTTGACTAGAGGAGTCTGGGTTGACCAGCAAAGAAAAGAAGAGGAAGATCAAACAGGCCATGGTGATCTCCCAAATCTCGACCGACCTTTCACAAGCAGAAGACGATCCTGTGATCAACTTCCAAAAGAAAGATCTGATCGGCCTCAACATGCCACATAATGATGCCTTTATCATCAGCATTCAAATCGCTCAGGCCATGGTTGACCGAATTCATGCAGACAAGGGTAGCGCAGCCAATATCCTGCGACTGGCAGTCATCCAGCAGATGAGCTTAGAGACAAAAATCAATGAATCAGCCAGATCGCTGACCGTCTTTAATGGTACAACAACGATTATCGTGGGCACGATAGACCTTGACGTCTACTCTCTACCTGTAATCAACTCGCAAACATTCATGGTCATTGATGAGGTCTCACCCTACAATGGCATTCTGGGCAGACCATGGATCGGCAAGATCAACGCCATCACCTCTGCCACACATCAGAAAATCCGATACCCAATCCCTGGCGGTGGTGTAGGCCAAATCAACAGCGATTAAGCAATGGAGAGGAAATGCTCAACCCAATGGCTGAAGGAAAGCAAACAAACGCAGTTCCTCCCTGTGAGTCTGGCAAATCTGAAAGAAGTTGAACAACCGAATCTCGCTCCCTTATAGCAATTAAAACTTCAAGACCAAGTCACGGAAATCTGTCCAGAGGTCTCTCCTGAAGAAGGATGGAAACCTGAAGAGGACGTCGAGCTAATACCCTTAGATCCTGACCAGCCAGACAGAAAAGCGCGGATCGGCTCGCGCCTAAGCCCATACGAGAAGGTGGAGCCGACCACCTTCCTCTAGAACAACAAAGACATGTTCGCATGGTCGCCCCTCTGACATGCCTAGTATCGACCCGAACATCATTTGCCATCGACTCCACATCAACCCTGCCAGCAAACCAATAGCGCAGAAAAGATGCAACTTCGCTCCTGAGTCGGTCGCGATCATTGAAGCCGAGATCAACAAGCTCCTAGCTGCCGGCTCATCGAAGAGGTCTCCTACTCGGAGTAGCTGGCCAACGTTGTTGTGGTGGTGAAACAAGAAAAGGGCAAATGGAGAGTCTGTGTCGATTACACCGACCTCAACAAAGTATGCCCTAAAGACAACTTCTCATTGCTAAGAATCGACCAACTCATCGGTTCCACTTCTGGCAATCAGTTGCTCAGCTTCATGGACGCCTACTCCGGCTATAATCAAATCCTGATGCACGAGGATGACAAGGCAATGACCTCTTTCATCATCGAGAGAGGGACCTACCGCCACAAGGTCATGCCTTTTGGGCTGAAGAATGCCGGAGTAACCTACCAAAGGCTCATGAATAAAATCTATAAGGAGCAGATCGGCAAGACTATGGAAGTCTACATGGAGGACATGCTGGTCAAAGCCCCAAAATTTGCAGATCACATCAAAAACCTCATCGAGGCATTCAGCCTGCTACGCCAGTATCGCATGAAGTTGAATCCAAGTAAATGCACGTTTGGTGTATCGTCCAGCCGATTCCTGGGATACCTAGTCACTCAATGAGGTATCGAGGCACACCCACGCCAAATCAAAGCCATTCTCGAAATGAAATCGCCTTATACAAGAAGATCACCGCCTTCTTTGTAAAATACAAGATCAAGCAACACCTGTCCACCCCAAGGTATCCATAAGGAATTGGACAAGCCAAGGCATCCAACAAAGTCATATTGGACTGCTTGAAGAAAAGGCTAGAAGGTGCTGAAGGGAAATTGGTGGATGAGCTCCCCGGAGTACAATGGGCTTACCGCACCATCAAACAAAGATCGAAAGGCGAAACCCCATTCTTCCTCGCTTATGGGACAGAAACGATTATCCCTCCTTACATCACTGTCCCCTCCATAAGCCTTGAGGTGGGCAGTGTTGATCAGAACTCCGAGCAGATGAGGCTCAACCTTGACTTACTTGAGGGCGAGCGTGAGAAAACCATTATCGGAGTCGTCTCTTATCAGCAGCAGTTGAAGTTTTACTACAACAAAAGAGCTAAGATCAGACAGTTTCAACAAGGCAATCTCGTGCTAAGAAAGGCTTTCATCACTGCACCAAGACAAGGGTCAAAAAGATTAATCCTAACTGGGAGGGCCCTTATGTGATCAGCCGGTCCGGGGGTAGAGGAAGCTACACACTGGACACCATGGATAGGAAGGAAATTCCACGACAATAGAACGCTTACCATCTCCGAAAATATTATTCGTGACGCTTATTCCTGTCTACTCAGTCCCAAGCAGATGACTGAGCCTAATACATTTTTTAAGAAGAGAAACAACTGCTAGAAGTTCCAGGTTTTTGTACCCAGTTATTTCCATTTTTGAATAAAGCACTGTAATATTATGAATATCAATATAAGTTCAGTTTCTCATTCCATAATGTCTCATTTGCCCATAAAAAAAAAAATAGTTGTCCATAAGGACCGTCCTAAATGAGACACAGGGCGACAACCAGAAGCATCCTTCGGGAGATGCAGGGTGCGCCAAGAATTTCCCAAAATGAGGTCTCCATGCTTTTTAAGGGAGGTATCCAGGTTCCTATTCATTTCTTAAGAGAGGCAGGATAGTCACACAGTTTCCCATAATGAGCGTCCTAAGGGAGATGCAGGGTGACGACTAGAAGCGTCCTACGGGAGAGCAGCCCACAAAGAAACGTCCTCAAGGAGACGCAGGGTGCGCTAGGAATTTCCTAAGGGAGGTCTCCATGCTTCCTGAGGGAGGTATCTAGGTTCCTATCCGTTTCCTAAGGGGGCATGATAGTCACGCAGTTGTACATAAGCAGCTTCCTTCAGGAGATACAAGACAACGACCAAAGCATCCTACGAGATATGCAAAACAATGCCTGGAGTCCTTTAAGGGGAACCCTGACACTTGTAAATTTCGTAAGGGAAAACATCCTACGAGATATACAGAACATGCCCGAAGTCCCTCAATGGGGACCCTGGTACTCAAAAATCTCTAAAGGGAGATACACGATCAAGATACTGGCCGGTTACTCAAGCAGTTCACAAGTTAAAATGCAAATTGAACTTGAAAAAATGACTGAAATCTCCATAACAAGCTGACCAACCGGCCAAATCCAACAAAAAGAAGGTGGTCAAACATGACCAATTGTTCTAAACAAGAAAGCAAACTACAAAAGCTGACAAGAAATAAAGAAGTCTGCATCTACTCCGAGATGCGAGCATAAGGCCCTTGATCTGCAGCATCTTCAGCATCCACCAGATCAACCATGCCTTCAACAGCTCCACCTGCCTGCTCCGCGACATCTGCCATCATCTCATTTACTGCATCCTCCTCTACTCCATCCTTTCTAACTGCCTGCTCTTCAGTTCCTCCGTGCATAGGGAACAAGTCAGGGCAGAGCGTCTCGATGTCTACATCTTCAATTGCATAAAAGGGAGCAATCTCATCTGCACAGTGCATGTAGCCCAACTTGTACGCGTCTATGGTAGCTTCAGACTTGGATTTTTCAGCAGACTTGTGGTAGACGCGAAATCTAGCCAGGAGCTTGTCATAGCTAAGGGAGATGTCAACATTCTTGCTCTCAAGACGGACGAAGGCATCTTTTCGACTAGCTAAATCAGCAGCATAAGAGCTGAGCTCGAAATCCTTCTCAACAAGGGAGCTTTTCAGCTCCGATATCATCGCCCTTAAATCAGACGTCTCTTTCTCATGACAGGCCTACTCGGCAGAAAGCTTGCTAGCCAGTTCAGCATTCTTCTTGTCCAGCTCGCTGAGCTGAGCAGAAGATAAGGCAACAGTAGATGAGTTCTGAATAGTCTCAGTAGCACAAACTAATCCTTTTTGAATCAGATGAAATGTCGCTTCCTTTTGTCTTTCCAAGGAAAGACTCGAGAATGTGCCAAGGTTGCCGGCCTGACAGATGTGATCGACCAACTCAACACAGGAGGACGGGTTTGATAGGAAGTTCGTCTTGAGCAGATCAGATACGCATGCATCCCCCTACAGGGCTGGACTTGTTCACCTTGGGATCAACTGCCAACGTTGAAGAAGAACCTTTTGCCCGGGCAGATGGCTCTCTCGTCTTCTTAACCTCCGCCAACATCACATCCAGAGTCAATGATGCTGAATCAACTCCATGCTTAACTGCCTGAGACTTAACAGCTGGATCGTGAGCAGACCTCCCGCTTCGATTTCCATCCTCTGACTGATGCAAGCGACTCAAACTTCGAAGAGGAATATCTGCATCTCTTTGACGCTCGGCAGAACTAGATCGAATAAGAGCTGTCTCACGAAGCAGATCATAGTTTTCAAGATTGTTAAGCTGAGGCTCAGGTAGAACACCCCGAACACCGCGCATACCACCAACCTTCCTGTTATTTGCACCAACAAGATATTTGACCCTGGCAGATGACAATGGAACAGACCCCACTCGAGTCTTCTCAGTAGAAAGGAACCTTGGCTTCTTCCCCAATGGAGACACATTCTTCGCTTGCTAAGAAGTAGCTTCATTTCTTGAAGACTTGACATCAGCCTTTCTCTTTGAGGGGGATTCAGCTGAACACTCTTCATGTCCGACAAACAAATCATCAGGGTCAGGACCGTTCTGCTTCCACCTCTCCACATCCTGGACAAAAGGCAACCCACCGACTTCCTCCCGATACTCACTTAACAGCCAGCACCATTCGTGAAACTTCGGAGGGATGTTTAGAGCTCGGCCGACCTTAACCATGTCCAGCTCAAGCTTCAATTTCTTGCTTATGTCGCTCGCTACAAGTAGAAGATAAAAGTTAATCAGCCATACTTCAAAAAATTCAAATAAAAAGATAGCATATCAAAACAACCACATGACGTACCGTTGCAGTAGGTTAGGGGAACGAGTGGACCATTACCAACATCGCCTTCCCACCTTCCGCTGACTTCCACATCGTCATGCCATACGTGACCTCCCTGACTGAAAGCTTGCTGGCCAGTTCATCATTCTTCTTCTCCAGCTCGCTGAGCTGAGCAGAAGAGGGGGCAACAACAGATGAGTTATGGATAGTCTCAATATCAAAAACCAATCCTTTTTTAATCAGATGAAATGTCATTTTCCTTTGTCTTTCCAAGGAAAGACTCAAGAATGTGCCAAGGTCACCGGCCTGACGAATGTGATCGACCAACTCAGCATAGGAGGACGGGTTTGATAGGAAGTTCGTCTTGAGCAGATCAGATATGCATGCATTCCCTACAGGGCTGGACTTGTTCACCTTGGGATTAACCTGATGCTGAAGAAGAACGCTTCACCCGGGCAGATGACTTTCTCGTCTTCTTACCCTCCGCCAACCTCACCTCCAAATGAGTCAATGATGCTAAATCAACTCCATGCTTGACTGCCCGTGACTTAAACAGCTGGATCGTAAGCAGACCTCCCGCTTCGATCTCCATCCTTTGACTGATGCAGATGACTCGAACTTTGAAAAGGAATATCTGCATCTCTTTGACGCTCGGCAGAACTAGATTGGGCAAGAGCTGTCTCACGAAGCAGATCATAGTTTTCAAGCTTGTCAAGATGAGGCTCGGGTAGAACACCCTGAACACCGCGTCTACCACCAACCTTCCCACTATCTGCACCAACAAGATGTTTAACCCTGACAGATGGCTATGGAGTAGACCCCACTTGAGTTTTCTCAGCAAAAGGGAACCTTGGCTTCTTCCTCAATGGAGACACATTCTTCCCCTACGAAGAAGTAGCTTCATCTCTTGAATACTTGACAGCAGCCTTTCTCTTTGAGGGGGATTCAGCTGAACACTCTTCATGTCCGACAAGCAGATCATCAGGGTCAAGACCGTTCTGCTTCCACCTCTCCACATCCTGGACAGGGGGCAACCCACCGACTTCCTCCCGATACTCACTTAACAGCTAGCGCCACTCGTGAAACTTCGGACGGATGTTCAGAGCTCGACCGACCTTAGCCATTTCCGGCTCAAGCTTCAATTTCTTGCTGATGTAACTCGCTACAAGCAGAAGACAAAAGTTAATAAGCCACACTTCAAGAAATTCAAATAAAAAGATAGTGGATTAAAACAACCACATGACCTACCGTTGCAGTAGGTGATGGGAACGAGTGGACCATCACCAACATCGCCTTCCCACAATCCACTGACTTCCACGTCGTCATGCCATACGTGATCTCCCTGACTGAAACTGTCAAACAGCTTGACATTGCATATGCGGACTTGGGCGTACTTCTCGAAGCGCCTCACTTAAAAAAAGTAAAAAAACTCTCGCACCGTCAACTCCAGCTTAAAGAAACGGCTTAGGTTTTCAAAACACTTGATCGCCAGGTAGACGTTCAGGGTACACTGACTTGGAGCACACTCCATGGCGCGAACACCTCCTTGAAAAGCTTTGACAATGAGAATGTGAAGCCCAGGGAAAAATAAAAGTTACGGAAGGTGATGATCCTAGCATCAGGATCATTCATATCCACACAAGGCACGTCGTTAGTCCGAGGCTTCGCAAGCTTGACATGCATGTCATCTAGAATGGCAGAAGCATAAGCAGCCAGACACTTTTGGAACTGAGCTTCAGTCGTAACGTGGTGTAGATTAGCTACAAACCTATTGATGTACACCAGGGAGCCTCCCCACAAATACAAAGGCACTTGAGAGCTTGGGGACTTGCTACCATCTTCAGAAGACATGGTCAACAAGCAACTGCAAGAAGAAAAGAAAATTCTACAAGTTAGAATACAAAAAAAATTGCAAGAAAAAAAAAAAAGGGGGGGGGGGGGGGGTGGGGGGGTGGGGGGGGGGGGGGGGACAGCAACAACAACAAAATCAAGCTGCTTGGAGTAGCCCAAGCCAAATGGGGATAGCCCAGCGATCGTTGTGGCCCAGCTCGCACCTACAGCACAACACACATCCTTTCAGGCCCGATCAGTTCGTGAAGCCCGTCTCACCCTCTTGGCCCGCTCACTCCAAAACCAGCATGCATAGCCCACGCCTCGTGCAAGGCCCAGCGCCAGCATGCGCAGCCCACGCCTCGCGCCAAGCCCATCTTCTCATTGCCTCAGCTCCAGCCCGCTTGCTCCAGCGCAAGCCCACTTCGCACACCAAGCCTGACGCCTCCCAGCCTTCACTTTAAGCCCAGCGCAGGTAGGCTCTAACCTGCCAGCCCTTCCAAGTCTCCAGCCATGCTCCAGTCCATGAGCACACATCTCCAACCACACCCCATGCTTCACAGTTTGCTGCCAAAAGTGAAAGGAAAAAAAAATTTCCCAGTCATATTACCTTGGATGTGTGGCAAAGATAAAATCTCAAGTAGGCGGGAATAATTCTCCAAAGCTATCTCTCCCTCACTGACGAAATTGGAAGCTTAAAACTGGTGATGTGAAGAAAAGCTTGGAAGATCTCTATATTTGTAAGGATCAAAATTCCTTGACCTACAAGGAATCTCAAACCCTTTCCAATTAGGTGTTCAGAAAATTAGCAAGTCAAATACATCCTCCACTCAGGAGCCCAAATCCAAGAAGGAAGCCCAGTTACAGCTGGACAGCCCAACAGATAATTCACATCTCCTACATGCCACCACGCGCCATGCAGAAGCTGTGGGCATTTGCGGGAACCAAATTAAATCACAACCCTAGGTTAAATATTTCCTTCCATTTGGGGATTATTTGACCTAATTGGGAGTTACTCAATTTAATCGGGGGTTACTCAATTTAATTAGGAGTTACCTGATTTAATTGGGATTGATTTGATTCCTACCATAATTAGGGATTTGATTTAAATCAAATCCCTAATTAAGCCAATCTCGCCAAATCAGGGAGGAATAATTCCTTTCAATCTACGGAATTATTACTCTGAAACCCTAGCCTCTGAGGCCCCTATAAATAGGTGGCTACATACAAGGGTTGAGGCACGTCTAAATTCCTACTGAAACTCTGAAGAAATTCCCCCTCACAAACCCTGGCCGCCACACTCTCTCTCCCTCTTACACAAGGCTCCGGCCACCCGATTTACACCTTACATATACATCTCTGTACCCTATTTAGCTATTGTTTTCTCTACGAATCAATAAAACTAACTTAGGCATCGGAATGCCTTTGGCCAACACCCCCTGGATGCGGTCCTCTTATTTGGATCTATTTTGCAGGGAGGCGGCGAAGAAGAAAGGGGAATCTTTCAATCGAATATTCTCGTGGGAAGAAATCGGTCCCACAGCTATAATGTCAAAAACGCCAAGCTCAATTGCTGATTCCAGAGACATGGACAGCACAGAAGAACCCACCAGCTGGATGGCATAGCAGAAGCTTTCATCTTCCTCTTCCTTTGTAATTTCATCCTCAGGCTCAGCATGATTTATTTTGGGATGGCTTTTTATCTCCAATGAAGAAGACATTGGACTGTCTATGTTTACGTTCTAAAACTCATTGCTAGTGGTATGGGTTTACTTATAGCTAGGAAACATAACATGCAATCTAGTTCATAATATTAAGACAGTTGTAATACCAATTTAGTGCTATACTGTTAATATATTTAGCCGAGTTGAGATTCTATATTGTATTTCAATTATTCGGACCATCTATGTTTTAGGTATTACTTCAAAGATTATCTCTACAAAAATATCACTTGATTTCAAAGTTGCTAATTCAACCACTTAATTAAATAGTTGTCATTTTCATGTTACTTTTGTTGGTCACAATTAAATATTTTAATGTTTTTAATTTGTTTTGATCTTTTTAAGTAAAATTCGTAACAAGCCACACAAGATGCCGATTACATCAAGTTATTTCGAGAATCCTCGATAAAAGAAAACTGCCTAATATGTTGTCTTTATTATAATTTTTCCCAAAGTGACAGTGTATCAAGGATGGTACGTACCAATTACCAAACAACTTTTCCAAAAGTGGTAGGTATTGAGTGATTGAATTAATGAATCGACAAGGACCCCGTAGCATGATGAACGCCTAAAATTATGTTACTTTATTAGTGGAATTTGGAAATATGATATTTTACACAGGCATACCGCGTGTGACCTATTCATTTGTGAATTAGACAAAGGCTCTGAATCAAGAAGATTGATTATCTTTTGCACTAATCTAGTAAATTGGTTTTGCTGATTGGCTATTTTAGAAAATGGTTTTTCTTAATCTCTACTTAATTGGCTAATTTTGAATGCTCACCAATATAAATCTTGATCTGATCAAGACATGATGTTTGACATTTTCATCAATGTATCGCTAATTAACCACATGATTCATCTAAATAGTAACCTTACTTAAGATAATGAAATGATCATATGACTAATATGAAGGTCCATATATAGCACCCTCAGTATAGAATTTCACAAGGAAGCACCATTCATTTGTCACAGAGTACTTGGACACACACCAGGGCTAAAGGCTTAAAGCTGTAGAGCCTTTTTGGCTAAGATATATAAAAAATGCATATCTCAATTTAACTTTTGAACTATGTGTTTTGTGTCCAGAAAAGGAAGATTAGAAAGATTTGTTTTACTCGTTGACCAAAGCAGAATGAAAGATTTGTTCTACTGGATAGTTGATCTCTTTCATTGTCTTCTCTTAATGCATAATTTCCAAACCTTTAACCTTAATTAATCCCCATTGTAGAGTAATTAAGAGTAAATCAACCTTAATTAATCCATGTTGACCTCTTTCTTGTATACTTCTATGTACCTGAAAGATGGAGGGTTGGAGGGCCATTCATGCATGTAGTACTTCTCGAGAGGATAGCAATGGAGTCTGAGAGTCTCCAGTAATCTCTCCACTTTATGGCAGATGAAAAAACTCCTTGTTGATAAATATGTGAACATTCTTCACTTTGTCTGAGAGATAAATGTAACTATGGTACAATAATTTGTTTCCGCACCTTGTAATTCACGTCATTACGTCTCTTCTGTTACTTTACAAGGGAAAGATAAATTAAAATAATCTGCCGACAAAATGTTCTGAGTCTTAAATAATTTCTTGCTTACAGACAAGAAACATTTGCGAATATTTTAATAGGCTTGAATTGAGTGTTTTTGTTATTGTTGTGATGTGAGCACAGGCTCGGAACACTTTCATTTTAGTGTGTAAGCTTTTATATCACTTGGCTACTTAAAGAATTCCATAACCCAAAGGTTACAGACAAAACATTCATATCTGATGCCACTAAATCCAGCACCAGTTGCCAGGGCCATGAATTCTAGTTCACTCCTCTCTAAAGTCTAATTGTTTTACTACTGGAATCATATTCAAATTGTTCTTCATTAACTATCTGTGGGAGTCGGCTTATACTGGTTTTAGAACTGCTCAAACTACAAGAATTTGTCCTAAATAAACGACTTATGACTACTCAAGTGTTTGGATTTGGCTTTCTGAGGAAGAAGATAAACAGGGGCTTCCTAAACTGACCGTTTACCCTACAAGAAACTTATTAACCTCTCTTAATTTTGTCTCCTGCCCACCGCTCAGGCCCTCTACACTGGGGACTTACTGTTTGGAAAAAGGACTCACGAGTCAGACCTTAAAGACAGATCAACAAATAACTCAGAGAATAAAAGGGAAGGAGAAGAAGAAACTGAAGAACCTCTACTCAGAAGCTTAAACCAGCCACTTGGGCGGGGATGAGTAGCAGACTCAGACAAAGACCGTAACTCTTACGGCTCTGATACCAAAGAAGGAGATAGAAATGGAGAGAGAGATAGTAATGGAGAGAGAGAACAATGCAACAAATAATGCAAATAAAATAATGCTTATATGAAATTACTCAAAATAGAGATAACTGAAAATAACAACTTTATTTATACTCACAAGAGTTTCAGACAGATATATATATATATATATATTTTCTTGCTTATAGATAAGAAACATTTGCCAGTCTTTTATTAGGCTTGGAGACTAACACCTTCATTTTAGTGTAAGTTTTCATATGCCTTGGTTACTTAAAGAACTCCATAACCCAAAAGTTACAGACAAAACATTCATATCTGATGCCACTAAATCCAGCACCAGTTGCCAGGGACGTGAATTCTCGTTCACTCCTCTCCTTCCCTCCCAGATGTTGTGTCATCATCACCACATCAAGTTGGGAAGTGGTTTTCGTAGCAGTGCTATTCTCTGGCATATCTGGAAGAAGTGCTTCGACAACAATCACTTTTCCATTGTCTGGAATAGCTTTGTAACAATTCTTCAACAGCTTTAGGCAGTGCTCATCGCTCCAATCATGAAGTATCCACTACAAACAAATGTGTCAGAAGACAAGTAGAACAGCTTCATATATTTAGTTACCATTCTTAAACTACTAACAAGAAAACCAAAAATTTAATGCTTGAGAAATCCAAAAATTACCTTCAAAAAAATGGCATCCCCACTTGGAACACTAGCAAACATGTCTCCTCCAACATGTTCCACACCTGCAAAAAAAAAATATATTTAACTTCCATTTTATATATGCTGCATACCACTTCCGATGAAGCAAAAACTAAGATTTCACATTGAATCAAATAAATTAAAGTCCTACCAGGATAGGAAGGGGCATGATTTACGACATGGGGCAAGTCGAAATTGATACCCTTTATATGTTGATATCTAGATGTGATCAGATTAAGGGTCACACCCAAACCACCACCAACATCAACAAGTTGTGTGAGGTTCTTGTCTTCAAGACCCTTGTAGATATGAAGAAGTTTCTTGATGACAATGGTGGTGTGGTTAAACATTGCTGTGTTGAACACTTGATTAAACCTGGGGTCCAAACCTGGATATTCAAAAGCGTGCATGCCATGGAGCCTGTTAAATGGAATTCCTCCTTCAACAACTGCATCTTTCAGTTGACACCTGTGAATTTATTATGTGTAGAAAGTTGGAGTTAGATACCCTATTGGCTATTTGTATTATAATTAGCACAAACTATGCGGTTTGTTTCTTTGATTTGGGGAACTTAATAAAAGTTGAATTATATAGGGCCTTTCTTCTATTATTGGGTGGACCATTAATAATTTTAATAGTTACTTCCCTAGCCAAGATTCCCAGACTGACTTTAATTATGCCATTTTAAGGAGTGAGATTGTCTGTAAATGTGGGTATAAGAGTGAGTCTGCCCCCTTACACCCAAGTTCGATCATTCCCAAGTACTTTTCTGGTTTCCCCATTATACTGATTTTAATATAATCATGTGTAATGCCAATATGTTAATCAAACGTAAATATATAAAAACATAAGTAAAATAAAATAAAATAAAAAAGAAGAAAGGATATAATTAATTAGTGGTAGGTTCAAGAGAGCTTAAACTAACCAGCTTTCCATGAAGACCTTGTCTTGATTCAATATCAACAAGGGGCCCAAAGAACCACCTTCTTCATCATTCACAAAGTACTTAGACACAGGGCCAAGGCTGTAGACCCTCTGAAAATCAGACCCACCATTAGCAGCAACAGCAGAGCAATTAAGAACAGAGTGGCTGGTGAGGAGCCTGAGGATTCTATCCACCATCATGGGTGCCTCAGGGTTCTTGGTGCCAATCTTGGCTGCAATATCAGACGAAGAGAGCTTGGCGCCCGGACCCTCTCTGGCTATGATGTCAAAAACCCCAAGCTTAATTGCTGATTGCAGAGACATGGGCAGCGCAGAAGAAGTCGCCAGCTGCATGGCATAGCAGAAGCTTTCTTCGTCCTCTTCCTTTGTAATCTCATCCTCAGGCTCAGCATGATTTATTTTGGGATGGCTTTTTCTCTCCAATGAAGAAGCCATTGAACTGTCTATATTTACGTTCTGAAACTCATTGCTAGTGGAATGGGTTTACTTATAGCTAGGAAACATAACATTAGGAAAATTGGAATACCAATTTAGTACTATATTGTAAATCAATAACGCTACGGGCACCAACTTGTTTACCAACTTTTGGATACCAACACATGTGGCACATGACATGGCAACCCATGTCATCTGTCATCTTATCTATTTTAATTACATAATTTATTATATAAATAAAAGAATTTCTCACCGAAAACAAAAATAGTTAAATATAAAAAATAATTAAATTCTTTTATTTATATAATAAATTATGTAATTAAAATAGATGAGGTGACCCATGTCATCTGCCACATGTGTTGGTATCCAAGAGTTGGTAAACAAGTTGGTGCCCGTAGCATTATTGATTGTAAATATTTAGCTGAGTTGAGACTCAATATTTTATTTGAATTATTCGGACCGTCTATATTTTAGGTGTTTCCTCAAAGATTATCTTTGCAAAAAACTCACTTGATTTCGTAGTTATTAATTCAAACACTTAATTAAATAGTTGTTATTTTAATGTTATTTTTATTGATCACAACCATGGTCTAAAATATCAATGGTACTGGAAATATCAGTAGTCCAAAATCATGGAAATTTCGATGGAAATATCGGGATATTATCGATATCAATAAAAATTGAATAAAAACCATGGAAATTGTAAGAAAAACTTGGAAATTTTTATTGAAACTTTGGAGGATGTTTATTTAGTCAATTATCTATGAGTTTATCACAAAAAATTGAAAGGAAATGCATCTCATGATGGGTTTAACTGATTTAAGTTGATTATACAGCGAGCTGACAAACACTGTGAGTGTAGAAAATATGTAGTAATTAATGAAAGAAGATTAAACACACCATAATCATTTATATATAATGATTTGCTATAATATTTTACACTTTATACATTGCATGGTAAAATAAATGAGTGATTTAGTACCACATAGAGTTCCTATGAGGTTCAAATTTTTCATTATCTTCATCATCTTTATGTGTAAAGTAAAGTGTATTGTGAAGAGTAGTCATCAAATGATAAATCCCCAAAATAGTTTTGCATATAATTGTTAACATGTCACCCATATGGATTCGAGATTGGTTGACGTTGTCCATAAGCAAAATCATTTGAAGATTGGGTTGCGGATTCTTTTCATGAACTGCTCAATTCCATCCCAAAAGGGAAAGGTCAAAAACTCACATTCTCATGTGAAAATATGATTTTTGCAAAAATAGTTCAAAACAAAACAATAAAAGTATACATATTTTAGCATATTATCAAACATAAGCAACATGGTGGTTAAGGCGTTGGATGAGTGAAATGGCAGGGGTTTGAATCATAGTCTAAAATATCGATAATATTGATGAAATATCGAGGATATTATCGTTTTTTTTTAGTCGCATATATTTCAGAACGTATCCATACACATATAATATAAATATCGACAATATCGACGATAATATCAGAAAATATCGATATTGATAATTTCGCTCACACTTCAGCAATTTTTTGTCATAATATCACTATAATATCAAAAATATCAAAAATATTTATGTAATAGAAAAAGTGAAAAGAAAAAAAAACACGCACACACACACAAAGGGGATTCAAACCTCTGCCATTTCATTCCTCCAATGCCTTAACCACCATGTTGCTTATGTTTTTGTGATAATATACTAAAATATGTATACTTTTATTGTTTTGTTTTGAATTGTTTTTGAAAAAATTAGATTTACACATGAAAATGTGAGTCTTTGACCTTTCCCTTTTGGGATGGAATCAAGCGGCTCATGGAAAGAATCTGAGACCCAATCTTCAATGATTTTGCTTATGAACATCGTCAACCAATCTCGGATTCATATGGGTGGCATGTTAACAATTACATGCAAAACTATTTTTGGGATTTATCATTTGTTGACTACTCTTCACAATACACTTACTCTACACATAGAGATGATAAAGATAGTGAAAATTTTGAATCTCATAGAAACTTTGTATGGTACTAAATCACTCATGTATCTTACTATGCAATGTATAAAGTGTAAAATATTATAGTAAATCATTATATATAAATGATTATGGTGTGTTTAATTTTCTTTCATTAATTACTACATATTTTCTGCACTCACAATGTTTATCAGCTCGCTGTATAATCAATTTAAATCAGTTAAACCCATCATGAAATGCATTTCCTTCCAATTTTTTGTGATAAACTAATAGATAATTGACTAAATAAACATCCTCCAAAGTTTAAATAAAAATTTCCAAGTTTTTCTTACAATTTTCATAGTTTTTATTCAATTTTTATCGATATCGATAATATCCCGATATTTCCATCGAAATTTCTGTGTTTTTGGACTACCGATATTTCTGATACCAACGATATTTTAGACCTTGGTTTGAATCCCCTTTGGATGTGTATTTTGTGTGTGTGTGTTTTTCCATTACATCGATATGTTGATAATATAGTGATATTATAGCGATATTTTGACAAAATATTGTTGAATTGTGAGAGAAATTATCGACATCGATATTTTCCGATATTATTGTCAATATAGTCGATATTTATACGATATGTGAATGGATACGTTCCGAGATATCCGTGACTCTAAAAAACGATAATATCCTCAACATTTCGTCAATATTATCGATATTTTAGACTGATCACAATTACATGTCTTAATGTTTTTAATTTATTTTTATCTTTTAAGTAAAATTCGTAGCATATCACACAAATGTCTATTACATCAAGTTATTTCGAGAATCCTCGATAAAAAGGGACTGCCTAATATGTTGTCTTTATTATAATTTTTACCGAAGTGGCAATGTATCAAGGATGGTACGTACCACCAAACAACTTTTCCGAAAGTTGTTGGTGTTTAGTGATTGAAGTGATGAATCGACAAAGTGGCAGTGCCAAAGGCCCCCATGGCATGATGAACGCCTAAATTATGAACCCCATATGATCAAGACATGATCTCAGCTGTGATGTATATAGTCTGCAGATTTTGCTACTAAATTTAGTTATAGCAGTTTATGAAATAAGGATCTAATTTCAAACATCTTTCACGTTTTCATCAATATATATCGCCAATTAATTTTGAGTTTGATGTTCATATTCGACAACTTTAAGCAACATGGCACCTTCATGAAAATGGCATCCCGTCAACCTAAACCCGAAACCCTTGACCCCAAAAAAAAATTTCATATTTCAACTGGAGGGGAATCAAAATAAATGCTTGGACCATATAAAATGTTGACAGGGTAATGAATTAAAGTCTTAAGGCCCAAACAGAATCACTGCCATGACAAGGGCCTCAGCAAGGTTAAGGCTGCAGAGCCTCTGAAGAGAGCTTGGCATATTTATTGGACCATATCTATGGCTATGATAATGAAGCCACAAAGCACTGAAATTGTAGTTATTATTAATTAATACTAGTAATTAGAAGGTCTGAGAGGGTTCAACAACAACAGCATGGGAAGAGATTATTGAGAGCTTAATGAAATGATTAAGCATGAGAGGTAGTCTTAAACAAGTCCAAAGAGGATCGAGTGTTGAGGCCTCTGTCCCAGAATTTCTCATAGAACTCTGCGTAGGTAAAGCTCCTGTAGAGGGGAGGGTGATGATCATCAACAAGTTGGGGGGCTGGCTCCATCACAGCATCATAGGATGGGCAATAGAATGTTGGGATGGAGACCCTTTCCTTGTCGCAATTCACCACTGCTCGATGGAGTACACTCTTATAACGATCATTACTAACAACCTGAACAAAAAATTCACATAAAATTCACATAAAATTTAGTGAATTTTTTATTATGTTATTAGTCGAGGATAACAAAACAGTACACAATGCTAAGAAAGATTTTTCCAATAAGACAAAGTAAACTAGAACTTGCCCTGGGTAAACAAAAAAGTAAATGGTGCTAGCTGGTACTATTTCTTTATTCATAGTTGACTACAGCCATGACAATCAGTGACGGTCCAATGCAAATTACTGGAACATTTATATACCCATAGGGAACATACGCGTGAAGAAGCTTCTATGTAGTCCAACCCAAAAATTTGTTGAAATTGATTTAATTCAGGCATCATGAAGACCTACTTAAACACGTAAAATATTGTCAATGGGGTCTAACCGAGGGAAAAAAAGACCTTGCTTTGCAGATTTGAGATCTCAAATTCGAACTTCCATGACATATTGATTGTGTGTGTGTGAAAAATTCTCTCCCTTATAATTTAGAGTATCGCTTATAAAAAAAGAAAAGAAAAAACACGTAAGAAGGCTGATGATATTGGTGATGATCAACATCATATGAATTTATGCACTTTTAAGCAGTTTTATCTGCCTGGATCTGGCTGTATTGTATATGCTTATTTTTGTGACATAGATCTCTGCCACTTCCTGCCCTAAACAGTATTCTCGACCCTTCATCATTTTAATGGCTACCCATACTTGTCAGTCATGCAAGCCAATGGTACATATGTGTCAATTTAACCTTGCAAGTTGTATACGAAACTCATCATCACTGGTTGAGGTTGCGTCACGGGTCGAATTCTTTCCTATAAATTATTGAATAGGTTCAATAAATGGGGATTTGATTTTGCTGACCTGCATTTGATCACCAATGTTGACAATGAACGTATGTGGCATGGGCTTGACTGCAACCCATCTGCCCTTGTCGAAGACCTGCAAGCCTGCCACGTCATCTTGAAGGAGAAGGGTCACGACATTAGGATCAGCATGACCAGGTAAGCCATAGGTCAGCTCCGGCTGAGGGCAAGGCGGATAGTAATTGATGGCCATGTGCTGCCCATGCTTCCCCAATGCCCTGTTCAAGTAATCCTTTTCTAAGCCTAAGCTTTCTGATATGGCTTCCAGAAGTCTCTCTGCTAATCCTTTCACATTCCTACAATACTCAGCCACATCTTCCCTGCAAAATTTCAAATCTAATTAGAGAAGGCTCTTAATCTTAATTAATTTGCCAGATATTTGACATATTAGGTTTTAAATATGGATCGTACCTATATTCTAACAAAAGTTTACCTAATCAATATAGATTAACAGTCTCGCAACATAATTAACATATTAAATATATGTTACATTATCATAAGTATTTGTCTGACAACATAAATTTCGAACGCCCGACCTGAAAGACGGAGGGTTGGAGGGCCATTCATGCATGTAGTCCTCGAGAGGGTAGCAATGGAGTCTCAAGTAATCTCTCCAGCTGGAGACCGCCTCAGTTTTGACATTGAAACTGGTGGACAGTCTTGTGGTCTTCAACGGGTCGTCGGAGAAACACTTGAGCCTTTCACTTTCTGGCAGATGAAAAAACTCCCTCGCTACTTTTAACATGTTGTCGATCACGGCCTCTTCAATTGCATGGTTTTGGACCTCAAATATTTTAATTTTACAATGAAATAATTAAATTACATTTTTACCTTAATTAAAAAGAATTTATTAATTGTGTGTTACCTGAAAGAAACCATAATTTTGACAGGCAAGGCCTATCTGGTCGATTATTTCATGGCGCCTCGAACCGTCGAAACCGTGGAGATTGATGAGAGGGATAGAGTGATCGGGGGGCATGACGAGACTTGGACGATCATGTACAGGCCGGACATAGTTGGAGGGAACACAAGTCACACCAGAGGCAAGATCGGATAATAATTTGGCAGCCATTGTTGTAACACTACAAGTTTTCAAAGTTTTCAAGGATCCCTGCTGCTGCTTGCGCTTTGATCTCCAAATATTTCTTTAAGCTTTACCAATATATGAGGTGGTCAGTGAATACCTTCAAACGAGGAAAAAAAAATATTAAAAAAAGAGAATAAAGAAAAAGACAAGAAAAATAAGTGAAGGGGTGTAATTACAGGATCCTCTTGTGTGTTTTGTCCATGCTTAGATATAATGTTACATGTATCATATTTACTGATCGAATCCATTATTAATTCAAAATCTGATAAATATAAGATATCATTAGATTTCAAATTAATGGTGCAAAGTAGAGTTTTATTCTTTGATATTATCGCATTATCACTGGCGTGCCAAATCTGAATATTGTATTTTATATGTAACCTTAGGCATGAATGAATGAACAAGTTTGGCAATGTCTCTATACAAAATCAGCGTAAGTATTTAATATTGCTATACAATCTAGAAAGAGAACATTTCAATGATCTTTTTAGGTAATTTGTTAGTTTAGTTTCAATTGCTATAGAATTTAGTAAGAGAATATTTCAACGAGTTTACAAGTAATTTAATACTTTAGTTTCTGTTTCTTTGAGCCTATCCTATCTGTTTTAGAATTATTCTATAAATGTGGAAAATTCATGAGCTATCCTTTAATTATTTATTCATAGCTCTTATTTTAAAGTTATTACTTCGCAATTTGTAAAATCTAAATGAATAATGCTACTCTTACCATCTTTGTGTACCACATTGTATGACAGATGAGATGAACAACCACATCAATTAAAATTAATTTTACATTTTCTTTTCTTTTCTGATTTATTGACACTTTTTAATTGATGTAGATGTCCACTTCATCTGCCATATAAAGTGGTATGAGAACGGGATATACAAATGTGATAAGAGTAGCATTACTCTTTGTAAATCTAGTCTCTTTGAGTGCACTTTCTTATCCAACTCGTTGTAATTAACGAATCTCCACTTGCAAAAATAATCTTTAAACGGCGGCTCAGAGAATGAATGATTATGACTTAATCAAAACAGGATGGTATTGTCCTAAAATCAAAGGTTTTTTTTTAAATATCTTTTTGGTGTGTTATATAGAGTTATTTGACATACATTACGAAATATTTAATTAACTCCGCCTTTCCATTCAACACTAACTCCGCCTTTCCATTCAACACTAACTCCAAAGACCCTTTCCAAGTTCTAATCGCTCTTCATCTGTCTCAACTTCATGTGTTTTTTATTTGACAAAAAAAAATCCTGTTTTTCAACACTTTACACTTCCTCCACCTATTCTACATTTCGACCACATAAGTACGCTCGCACCCAAATTATTTTAGAAGCATCTAAAAATGGTAAAAGAAAATTCAATTTAGCTGCTTCAAATAGTCCATGGCATCCGCTAGGATGGTAGAAATCCTCGCAGAGGTGGGTATCCGGTACGGGAATTTCCGAACTTGAAAAATCCCCGACGGGTATGGGGTGGGGATGGTATTGGCGTCCCCATCCCCGAACTCGACCCGAATATATATATGTTTATATTTAAATAAATATATATATAATATCTATATATATATATAGCAAAAGACAGAGAATAGTGAAACATTCAAAATGCCAGAAAATGCCTTTGGTTAATTCAAACATTAAGAATTAAAATTATTAATTAAATGAGGATAATATGGTAAATTCACATTTTTTCATATTAAAAAATTAAAATTAAAATTAAAAGAAAATCATATCATGGATCCTATTTTTATGGAACACAACTACCCATTATCTTTTTTAATTCTAAAATAAATTTAAATTTTTATAATAAAAAATGCCTCTCGCAGACGAGGAAACATGTGCAGAGCGGCTAGTATATATAAAGCAAAAGGCAGATAATTGTGAAACATTTAAAATACCAGAAAATGCCCTTGGTTAATCCAAACATTAAGAATTAAAATTATTAATTAAATGAGGATAATATGATAACTTCACACTTTTTCATATTTTAAAAAATTAAAATTAAAAGAAAAATCAGATAATTGATCCTATTTTTATGGAACACAACTACTCATTATCTTTTTTAATTCTAAAATAAATTTATAAAAAATAAAAATAATAAAAACTCTTGCAAGCGCGGAAGCACTTGCAGAGAGACTAGTATATAATTATAATATTTATATTTAACCCTAAGTTAACCTTCCTCTCCTAATTCTCCCTAAGAATAATGCTACTCTTACCACATTTGTATACCACATTCTTATACCACCTTATGTGGCAGATGAGGTGGACAACACATCAATTAAAATTGAATAATACTAGTCTTACCACATTTTTTATACCACAAGTTTATACCACATGATGTGGCAGCTGATGTGTACATATCACATCATGTAAAATACTAGTTTCTGTTTTTCTAATTTTATTTATTAAAATACACTTCGTTCATTTAATTGATGTGGCATATGATATGGACATGCCACATCATGTGATATAGAAATGTGGGATAATAATGTGATAAGTATAGCATTACTCATTAAAATTAATTTAAAGTTTTCTTAACTTTTATGATTTATTGACACTTTTTAATTAATGTGATTGTCCACTTCATCTGCCACATAAGGTGGTATGAAAATATGGGATATAAATGTAGTAAGTGTAACATTACTCTTCCTAATCTTCTTTGGTCTCCAGCCACACTTCTCTCTCTCCCCCTCTCTCTACTCCTAATTCTTCTTAATCTTCTCTATATCTCTAGCCTCAAGTCTCTCTATATTTAAATTGTATCTCAGGTCTTGATTACAAGTCCGCCGTGATCTTTTTTCTCTATTTAATATGTATGTGCTTGGCAAATGGCTTCTTTATGTGCAGAGAGAATATTGTTTAAGTTGAAAGTCTCAAATTCATAGAAAGGCCTTTGGTGGAGATTTGTTCTCAGGAGAATCTTGTCCACCTGCTTTGTATTCATTTGATTTTATGCATTAAAAAAAACATAGGGGATTCGGGGTGGGTATGGGGGATAGTCTCTCGATGGGGACGAGGATGGGGATTCCAAGAAACCTATTAAACAGAGATGGGTTCGAGGACGGGGACGGGGATGGAGAGCAGAGATGAGAATGGTATTGTCATACCCGGCCCTTATCCGACCTGTTGCCATCCCTAGCATCAGCCTAACAACTTGATTACCATAAGAGACCTTTCCAATGTCACATTTTCTTTAGATATATATACATTTTCTTTGTGGTAGGAACCTTCCAACCAAATCAGTTTCATTTCGTCTGCAACGTCAACTCCTCGAAACTTAAAAAATCAGTCGAAATTTCAAAATACTACAAGTATCTTCAAACATTTTACCATAGTTGTTGATTTTGTTGAGTTAAATGCTAGAACTATTCCTTTGATTTGACCAACTAAAGTGGCGTTTGATATCCTATTTAAATTGGAAATTCAAAAACTTTGATTTTTCTTAAACACAAGGAGTTCTAAAATTCATTAAGATTCAAAAACTTATTTTGGTATTCTATTTGGTTTTTATGTGGTTCACCCCATTCCGTACACGATAGACCGAAATAGTCCCTTTATGAAAATTCCTAGTTTCATTATTTTGTTTTCAATTTAACTAATTGTGTCCCTCTGATAAAGAAGGTGTGAAAATTTGCCAAGAAATTGGAGGACTATGACATCTGCGGGAATCGAATTCCACTTTTATGTTCTTCAATATCTCATAAAAGGTCAAGCTTTAACTTTTGGTTTCAACATAAACCAATTTTCAACATTGCTGATGTGGCACTACCTAGAACATTAACTTTTCTAGATGGTTAGTGTATGGTAAAAAAGTCAGGTCCCATTCAACAACGTTAGAACTTTTTTCAACTTTTTTTGTGTGGGTAATTTACGTTTCAACTTTTCTTTCAGTCTTCCATACCGTCATTCTGATGCCCCTTAATCTTGAGGTCCTGTGTAAGTGAAAAACTCTGGGGTAATACATCTCTTGAGAATAGTGCATGAAAGGCCAGGCGCCCCTAACAAAGGTATAGTTAACATGATAAGAGAAAGATGAATTCGAAAAACAGATTGGACAAAACCGATCCGATGCAAAACATATATGTTCAAATACCTCTTCAGAGACCTCTTTCCATGAATCATACATGTTGCTGACACATCTACAGCGACGTTGACTATACTCAGCAGCTGGGTGACTTGTATTAGGCTCTTTTAGTTCTTCCTTCCCTTTCTCGTTCTTCTCTATTGCAGCTGTCTCGTCTTCGCTGTCGGATGGTGTGTTGGAACCATATGAGGAACGGTCAACCTGCTTTTGTTTTTTGGTTTGATAAGAAGCTCTGAAAATAGATGAAAAAAATACTAGTAGAACCAAACAATATAAAAGGAAACCTGTTTTCTGCTCTTTGCATGGTTTGAATCATGAACTTCTTCAGTTGACGCAACGTCCTTCTCATCATCAGTATTAGCCTTTGCAATGTTTGAATGTTGAGCTTCCACAGCTTCCGTGTGTCTTGAGTCCAATTGTTGATCCTGCAAGGAAGGAATTTGCAGAGAACTCTCTCCTTTCTCTCTCTTGGCTGGAGGAGCTTGACCGGTATCCATTGATGGAACTGGAACCCCGGTCATAGAGATGGGAGAACATCTAAAGTCAGTTTGACGAGGAAGCAGTCTATGGACTGCCGACCAAGCAGTTGCAGCGGTTACAGTGGCAGCAGCAATTGCTGCCATACTTGGAGGGTCTTTCCTATTTTTAGCATTTGCGTAAGGCCAAAATGCGGCTGTGGAGCTAGCCACAGCATGGGCTGCAGGATTTTGTAACAGAGAAGACACAATAAGACTTGAAAATTTCTCACCTTGAACCAACTCCTTATGAAAAGCATTATTAGTGTTCCCCGACTTTGGAGCTCCACTTGTGCCATTATCACCAACTATCATTTTGGCATCAATTTTCTTCAAATTCTGATTTCCTTTAAGTTTAATAGTGACATGAGATTCATTTGTTGCATCCCTTAAAGTGCAAGCATTTCCGAGTGCTACCTGTGAGGGTATGGAATTATTGTTTGCAGAAGAAACAGAGGAGCAATGACCATCTTGGAGCAAGGTGAAGACTTCTGCCCAGTTGGCTACCTGATTTTCTGCATCATTTGCCTTTTCTTCTCCAAAGAGTCTCTGATCATAAAGAAGTCGTAGGTCAAGTAATATTACATGCTTAAGAATAGAAGCACGAGAACAAGAGACGGCTATGTATTAGAGAAATATATGATAAAAATGATAACCTCATGAAGTGGTTCTTTCTCCAAGTCCACTACTTGTTTATAGCATGAAGAAGACGCTGATGATAAAAGTTTTCCAACCTTTGCTCCCACATGCAATGTGGCACATGTCGATGCAGCTGAACTAGACTTTCGAGGATAAGGATTGCATGGTTTTCTTTTGGGACGTGGAGGAGGAATATCAATGCCAATTGATTGTCCTATGGGAACGCCATTAACGTGTGCCTCCTTCTCCAGCTGGTAGTGAAACAATTTCTTGTCAGTCTTCATATTTAAATTTATATAAGATTTACCAGACACCAAAACTAGTGGTCTGAGAGAATGGAGTGGAATATCTCAGATACTCTGGTGAAAGCTCAAGCATCATTAGTTAACTTAAACCTATATTATGTACCCAAAAAAGAAGGATGTCTATTGATACCCTCAAGAACTTGCGCACAGTTAGCCTTACTATAGGTTGCCAGTGGCAAAGAGGTTCCAAATGAGGTGCGCCCATAATCTGTGGAACTTGATTGCATCTAACCTAGCCCACCAGAGTTAGTGTTGTTGAATTACCAATTAACTTTGTATATGAAACAAATGGCGATGAGATTCATAGTAAGGATATAACATCAAGTAAACAGTATAAAACCTAAAGTGCAAATTAAAGGATCAATATTTTTGGAAAAACCGGCAATAGGCCGGCGGAATCACACATCTCAAATAACCAAGAGGTGAGAAGATACCAATTGACCTTGGAAAAGAATTTCTGAGCGTGACTCCTGATCTGCACAGCAGTCTTTGTTCCAATGTGTTCTGCAAATCAAAAACAGAAGTATAAGAAAAAAAACATTTCAAGTCATTGGTAAAAAGATAAATTTAGCAGATTCAGCTGAAGGCTAACAAGAAACTCAGACTATAAATGCAAACGAATCGACTTCCAACCCTTTCACAATAGCGGTAAGTAAAGAAATGAACAAATGGGCTAAGATAAAATCAAAGCTAATGTGTCCTAACCTTCAATGCGCTGCCATGCTCGGCCATAGAGCTTCAGGGCTTCAAGAAACTTATTATGCTCCTCATGTGTCCATCGCTCTCGCTGCTTGGTAATTGTATATGGCTTTCTTGCCTGCCATCAACAAAAATCCAGAAATTCAGCTACTTTGCTGTTACTAAACAATTTCAATTTTAAGTTTAACAAAAAGAGAGTCCCAGCTCTGTTACCTTGATGACCAAATCTTCCCTAGATGAGTGTGGTTCCATTACTAGTCAAAAACAGCTGAGAAGAAACCAAGGCACAATTAAGCAGTTGATTTTTGTTTTTGTTTTTTTGGTAACAATTAAGCAGTTCAATTTCAAATGCACTGAAGCTATTAGTGCAAATTTTAGCCATCTGCTCAGTTGCCGAGAACATGAAAACAATAAAAGAAAATTAATTTTGAATGTTGAAATATGAGCTTCTTCATCATTTCCTCAGTTCAGATGAAGTTTATCAGTTCTCTTCTTCATCAAATTCGAAGCTCAAGAGCTCAAAATCATTACACATTTATTTATTTATACTTAGAATTTTCTGATCAGCAACCAAACGGAGATTGAAGAACAAGGCCAATCAATCCCCAAGGGGAGAGAAAGCGTACCTTCTGAGAAAGCCATGGCGGATTAAGAGCTTTCGAGAGGACGATGGATGGTGACTGAGACTCCAATAGCTCGCCGGCCACTCGCCGGAGAAGGCATAGTTTTCGTTAGTGGATGGGAATGGTTCAAAAATCGAAGGCAATCGCACAAACTCCACAGAAAGAGTATATAGAGGCATTGAGTTTGGCTGGGGGAACCATCTCAGCCTTAGGCCCGCCATTTGGTTCGGCTAAACCAAACAGACGGATTGAACGAACTTTTCTGAGTTTGGCAACCGCTTCCCAGAGCCTAAAGTCAAAAACTATCAACAACAAAAATTTAAAATTTGGTTTAATTTTGATAAGTGCTAAAAAAAATCTAATTTTATCAACATCCACCACTGATAACGAAAAACATTGAAGGAATCACATAAATATATGTCAAAATATTTAGGCAAATATTAGTATAATATCATTATAATCTTACAGAATTTTTCTTGTAGTGCTGTTCCTTGAGATGTTCATATGTGCACTAGGAGATGAACTCTCATGCAACAAGAATATCAAATTTTGTTATTACAGTCAATAATACAATGACACGTGGGTCTGTGGGATAATTTTTTCATGTGTCATTGTGTTATTAGCCAAAAATAGCAGAACAGTACTATTCCCATTACAAGAAAGTTTTTTTTCCAAGTGTAGGTGGTCGCTTCCACCACATAATTTTTTTCAAGCTTAAGGTAGTTAGGGTACTAAATGCATGGTAATGATATCGATTGATACTTAAAAGTTCTCACACAGCTCCATTTGGGCTAATAAGAACCCGCCAAGCTCACAACATGGACAATTTTGGGTCCACTAATGCACATGCGGTTAATACATTATTGATATTGGACCAACCATGTATCGATATACTGTCGATAAATTGATTGAACTAGTTGAGTTAACCACATTGAAGAATCACATATATGCATGAAATACGAAAACCAGAAGATAAAGAATTAAGAAGATGAACTCCGCCTTGTGTAATAGGTAAAAGTGTGTTTTTTCAACTTCTAAAATTATGTTCGTTAAATATTCTAATAAAAATACTTCGTAGAGAGACCGTTATACATCTTTCTTTTCAATATCAGAAGAGGTTTTAAGTTCGAATCTCCCCGACTTTGTTGACAAAAAGAGAAAAGGAATTCTCAATAGATAAATACAAATGAAACTTTAACTTCATTTATCTAGAAGCAATAAGTCATTCAACATTTGCTCCTGAAGAATAAGAACCATGTGTACCTACATCACATCCACTACTATTTCTTGTGAATTTTACTTTTTCCAATCAAATTATTTGAGGCTGCTAAAGCCTCCTCACGAGACCAGCACGCCAAGGTATCGCGATAGGTGTCCCACAGGTTGCGGCTGAGTTGCTTTTCCCTCACATTTGCACCTTTTTCAATCTTTTTAAATATTTTTATTATTTATTTATTTTCGCCTTGAATCTCATCCACAAACTCTCTTAGCCGTGCGACCTGGGTCCCAGATGACGTGACATTTCCAGAGGAAAGAAGGGAACGTCCGGTCCGGTCGTATGGTATGGACCAACGAACGAGAAACATGTAGCAATGTAGCATCGTTCTGATCCGCCACGTGGGGAGAGACCCAACCGCACGAAGCACCGGTTCGCACACTGCGGTTACAGTCCGGTACATTTTACTGAAAACAACGGTGGTCCGATCCCATACTTTTTGGTAAATCAGGCCCATGCCGTGCAGGTCGTGGAGTTGATCGTGGCCGTTCGTTTGTTTGGCAGCCAAGTTTCCCTCCTCCTGCTTTGCCGCAGCAATTTGGCCACGAGGAATTTTTCAAAGAGGAAAGCTTCTGTTTCACTTTCATGTCGGTACGTTACTACCAAGAGCAAAAACGCTCTCTCTACTGTACCCTACCATAAAGTATGTGAACTAATATCACGACATAGCAGTGTTATGCTCTCACACTCAAACTTTTTTATTTGAAACTTCCAATCCAAGTTACCTAACAAGTTTGGAATCCCTTAAATCATTCACTTCGCTAAGCATTCGGTTGTTAGATGTCGTGTTAAGCCTTTAATTTGTGTTCGTTAGTCGCTCCATTTTATTTGAAATTTTTGTAAAAATGTAATTATATTCAAGCTAATCAAATGTGTGAGAGATGTAATTACAATCATATGATGATGACATTGTTAAGACGAAAATAAATGCGTAAATGTGAAAGTTATCATGCTAAGATATGATGCATGTGTATCACTGTTTTTTACCAAACTCTCCATTTCAAGTACTCTTTCATTTTGAATTTCTAGTGATAGCTCTCAAATGCGAAATTTGTAACTCATGTAAATAATTAATCTCAAATAGAATTATGTTCAAATTCTTTCTCAACGAGAACCTAGGAAGTCAATAATACATCTTTTATCTTACAACTGAGCTATGGACCCATTGGCTAGTCCAAAACACAATTGAGTTCAGCATTCTTGAAATGTTAGAGAAACTAATCATGTACAACGTTTATCCAGGGACCTGCCTCCATTAGGTTTAATTAGTCATGTTTAAAAAAATAAAAAATAAAAAAGATCTTTGGGAGTGTTTGGTATACCGGATTAAGGGTATGACTAGACCACCCATTTTCCTCATTACCCATGTGGAAAATGAGCTTGTTTTAAGTGACACTTAGCTAACTCAGCTTTTAGCTTTAACCCTATCTTCACCTTTTCTTCCATGGCATGTGGTTTGGTTCTACTAAAAACCCTAAACCCAACTCTAATCACTTTTTGTTATGGCCGATAATACCTCTTTTGCCCCTTTGTCAAGTAGCTCTTTCTCAGTCACACGAGGACCTACAAACCACATTATATGTAAATTAATGGCCTTTTGTTTTAGTAAAATTTATGAACTGTACTGAGATGAAAAATTAGCAAGATTTTTCCACACAGAGAAATTCCTCGTGTTGGTGTCCATATCAATTCAGCGGGTGCATAATCCTTTGTATTGTTTCTTTTTCAATGCAAGAAGGGAACATGTCACATGCCCGCCCAAACTCATTTCAGACTTATGCTTTTGTTATTAAAAAAAATATTTAAAAAAAAAAAAATACTTATGGCAATTGGTTAGAGCAGTGAATTTGTTCCTTGTATTCAAGTTTGAGTTCTCTATATCGTAGTCTATATTATTGTTTGTATTATGCTTTTTTAAGTACCAGTAATTGGGGGTATGAGAGTCTACACAAATATTCATTGGGTGCCAAATGATTTAGAAACTCTGTTCACATGAGTAAGAGGAAGAACTCAATATCCTACTAGCGTTTGTATTATGCTTTTGTTTTTATGTTTTTAAAGTCAAACTTATAGTCAATTGGCTAAGACAACGAGTCCGTTAATTAGAATTGAAAACTTGAGCATGGTGGCCTAAAAATTTGATTATTAAAAATAAAAATAAAAATGGTCGCCTAACAGAGTAACAGCCGTGATCAACTGTGTTACGTGCACGATCCTCTTGATTTACCAGAAATGTATCGGGTCGTTTATTTAAATACAAAAAAGGTTTTGGATCATAGCCGCACGTGAGAACCTTACCTACCGTGTGCCTCTGTGCGCTTTCACACCAACGGTCTGATCTCTTTCCATGTGGCAATCACGTTCGTTAAAATCCATCGTCCTCGTCCATTGGTCCGTATCGTATCTGAACCGGACATCAACTGTTTCCCGGTTTTTCTCTCCCCTCCCATACATTTCAAACGCCACGTCACCGGAGGGCCCACAGCGCACAGCTGGATGCGCTTTTACGAACATAGCCTCAGCGCGGGGAGTTTGTGGTTGTGGCTGAAAATCGACGGTGAATTTTTTTATATTTGTTTTAATAATTAATTTTAAAAAAAAAGAAAAGGAAAAAGCGCATGTGTGGGCTACAACTAACGCAGCCGCTAAATTTGCGACACGTGGCGTGATCCTAAGGCACTCTCGTATCAAGTAGAAGGCTTTAAGGCTTTGACAGCCTCAAATAATTAAATAAGAAAAAAGAAAATGGAGGGGAAATAGTAGTGGCTGAGATTGCTCCTTGCTCACAACAACTGGAACTTCTGGTGTGTTGGAGCTTTGGTATTAGGTCTCTGTGCACAGCTCCCTCTGTCAAGCCAAACTCACTGCCTTCTATAATATACTCTTTTCTATTGAGAGCCTGTGAAACTATCTTTGATTTTTGCCAATCGATTTTTCGAAGCCATTCGGATCCAGCTGCCATTGCCGGAAACTATGCCTTCTCCGGCGAGTGTCCGTTGAGTTGATTGAAGTTGAAGCCAGTCGCTGTCTTCGTCTCGAAAGCTCTCAGTCCACCATGGCTTTCTCAGAAGGTACGCTTTCGATTTCCTCAGGGATTGATTGGCCTTGTTCTTCTCCACTCTCCGTTTGGTTGCTGATCAGAAAATTCAACGAGCTAAAAAAAGTTCAAAATATAAATCTATACATGCTAAGGATGAAGAAGAGGACTGATAAAGTTCATCTCAGCTGAGGAGGTGGTGGCGAAAGCTCATGTTTGGACAATTAAACTTAATTTTCTAAATTTTGTTGTTTTCATTTTCTCGGCAACCAAACAGATGGTTAAGATTGCAGAACAAGGTCTGTATGAGTCAGTAATAGAAATGGATGTTGTTTACTGATCAAACTTTCTCTCTCTTCTTGTTCGCCTTTTTTCTTTTTTCGTAGTTAAAGGTTTTGGCGTGTTCCGGTTCGTTTTGGTGAGGATTCTGAATAAGGAAATTTATTTTAGTTCTTTCGGTGACGCGTCTCTCTCTCTGTGATGCGCGGTGGAGTCTGAAATTTTCATAGATCAGTTCTGTTTTCGATTATTGGTTTCTATAAGTATCATCTAGTTAGCTTCAGTGCATATGAAATTGGACTGCTTAATTCTGCTGCTATAAAATCAGAGACGGATCTCTACCGATTGCTGTGGCTTGTTTTCTTTTTGCAGTAACATCACCTTCTCAGCTCTTCTTTAGTAGGACAACCAAGACGGCTTTACTCGTTATAAAGCTCGCTGCTTTCATAAATGAGAGAAGGTCCTTGTTCTATCCCTTGCTCGTCAGAGAGGATTTGAAGCAGCGCAAGCTGCGCAGGTCCGGTAATGGACACACAGTCATCTGGAGAAGATTTGGTCATTAAGGTAACACAGATGGACTCTCTTTTGTTAAATTTGGAATTGCCTAGTGAAGTCTAAGTATCTGAATTCCTGTGTTCCTGTTATTGGTAGGCGAGAAAGCCATATACTATTACCAAGCAACGAGAGCGATGGACAGAGGAGGAGCATAACAGGTTTCTTGATGCCTTGAAGCTCTATGGCCGAGCATGGCAGCGCATTGAAGGTTAGTTTGAATTTTGTATTATCCCTTTTGTTCTTTTCTTTACTTTTATCTGTTGAGAAAGGGCTCCAAGTGGATTTGTTTGCATATAAGTGTCAATTTCTTTTTAGTCTTCAGCTGAATCTGCCAAGTATCTTCTGTTAGCAATGAATTGAAATGCTGTTTCTTGCATCTTTTTTGTTTGCAGAACATATTGGAACAAAGACTGCTGTGCAGATCAGAAGTCATGCTCAGAAATTTTTTTCAAAGGTCAATTGGTACCTTCTCTTACCTTATGCTTATTTGTTTTTTTTTTTTTTTTTTTTTTTTTTTTTTTTTTTTTCTTCTATTGCTTGGTTTTCCAAAACATTGATCCTTTAATTTGCATTTCTAGGTTTTTATTTTTTATGAAATGCTGTTGGTAATTTATTCTATCATAGCTGCATATTATAGTTCCGTTGCCGTGACTATAACCATGATGTCATCTCATTTAGCTATGAAAAACTATGAGGCCTTTTACAGACTCTTGTAAATGCTACTCTGGTAGAATGCATTTGTTCTTTCATATGATTGCTAGCCATGCTAAATTCGATAAAAAGGATGGCCCTGTGCTTGAGGTTCCGTCAATGCGAGGTCTGGAAAGGGTAAGATGTACCCACCCATACCACTGTTTTCAAAGAGGATGCTTCCACAACTAAAACATGCAACCACAAGTTGTTTGGGGCAAGCCATACATGGAACTGGCTGAAATTATATCTTGAAATTTTCAATGTTATGCATGATAAACCAAATGTATGCGGAAGTGACTGAAATATAATTTCAAATTTGAACACAAATGCAGTTACTAATTTATTAAGTTTCTCTGAAGGCTTATTTTTATAGAAAATGGGTAAGGGAATTCGGTTTTGCTGCAGGGTTTCTTACTGGTTCCTATCCTTTGGCTGAAAGAAATCCCTGTAGAATATGCCCAAAAGTATATGTCAACAGAAAGTTTGAGAAGAAATTTGTGGTAGCAAATGTTGGTTTATTGTTATGATGCTGTCAAGGAGATTTCATCAGTATACGATAGGGCCAATTTCATCTGTAGGAAAAGATGTACATGCCTTCTGCAGTTAGGAAAATATCAATAGATGAGTTGTGTGGTTCTTTCATAATTTCAAGATGTCAGTCATGATCTTACTAAATGTTTCCTAGTCATTCATTATACAGGAGGGCTTGACCTTATAGAAAAGGGCGCCTTTGGGAGTTTTGAAAGGTATATTGGCTGCGCTCATATGATTATACCTAGTGTAGCATCCGTACAGATCAGTAACTGGGAAAGTTATTGCAACATACCGTTTATGCGACAGGCCCACATTGTGGACTATAGTATGTACACTGATTTATTTTCTCAGCATACTTGGAATGATGTTTGTTTCTAGAAAATTATTGCACTTGTTAGATGAATTAGCTGAGATTGACTTGTCTACTAGGCCTTTGATTGATCATCATTCATCATCTACAAGGACTTTGATTAGGAAAATTTGATTTCAGGATTAGTGTGGATGGAAGGGCACATGATTTTGTACTCTGACTACAGTTCTGAGTGAGTAGCTTAAATTTAAAGACATATAGTGGCTCAACTTCAATTGATATTCTTAGGCTTCAAAGAAAGAAAACTTTACTGTTGGGTTTAAAGGTGAAATGGAGGCTACAGACTGGAGCATATAGGTATTTTGAGCATTTTATGGGTATAACTGTATAGGAGAGAGAATTTTGGTTTAGGTACGGCTAGGAAAAGTGTGGAACTTGGTGCTATCAGGTGCTGTTAATAACGAAAGAGCAATGGAACTGGTTGAAATTTGATAGAGAAAAGATGGTGTCATGCCAAGGTTGGGGTTTTAAGGTTTTCAGAGTGATACATAGGGTTTGCTTATTGGCTGCTTCCAATAGAGTAAATATTGAAAAACTGAAGGAATAAATTTGTGAGAAATTATGGTTGATCGCAATTGGGTTTTTAAGGTTTTCAGAGTGTTACATAGAGTTCACTTATTGGCTGCTTCCTTTCAAAAGACAATGGATTGATATTGCAATAGAGTGAATATTGAAACACTGAAGGAATAAATTTGTGAGAAATTATGGGTGATTGTAGTACTTGCACCCAAAGAAGGATGTATTTCTTGTATTAAGTTTATTTTGAAGCTCAAATTATCTCTTAAAGGCTAGATATGTGATGAAGTTGGCATTTTGTAGTGCTTGGAACTGAAGCATGCCTCCACCAGTGGTTGATGGGTTTCACTCATTGTTTATCTCATGTGGCTAATACAAAACAAAACCTAAAACTCCGTAAGTAAGAACTTTATTGTGTGGAGGGTGAAAATAACTGGATTCCACCAGTTTCTACTGGTTGTTCCCCTTTTCTTTTATAAAATATTTATATCATTTTTTATCTGGATTGGCATTTGGAGTCAAGGCAGCAGACGTAAATAGAAAAATATTTACTGTAGTACTATCATTATACTAGATTTCATAGCCACCCCAACTCTGGTAGAAAGAGTAAATATGGTTTACTGGTTGTAATGTTTTATCTGTACTCTGAATCTTAAGGCGCTATTTGTTTGGTTTACTTATTATAGAAAATATAAAGAAAAGAAAAGATCATATACAACAGTAAATTCAGGTGGACCATGTTAGATGTTGTCTTAGATAGGTTAGTCCCAATGAATTAATATGCCATCGAGTTCCGCTGATGATTGATGGTCCTTATTGGAATCTCTCATTGGCAACATAGAGTGAGGCTAACTGTGCACAAGTTCTTGAGGGGATCAATAGACATCATTCTTTTTACGTTACAATGGTGTGGTTCCATAATGGTCTTGCTTGGAACTTCAGAGCGAAAAGCTTTTGCACTTATGCATGAGTTTCCAGTGTAATACCTTTTTAGTGGCTCACTCATGGAAGTTGGAAACAACTTTCAGTTTCCAACCACCATCCTCTTCATATCAACACTACTAGACCATACCATGAGGTGATTATCCTTTTTCTTTCTCCTTTCCCTCCTAGAGTACAGATGTCTTAGACAGCACATTACATTGATATGCACTGGTTTCTCTACACAAATTCTGCACTGTTTTTTAGGTCCTCATTTCATATAGGTTGAATTAATGATGCTTGAGATCTTCCAAATTCATCAGACTATTTGAGACATTTCACTCAATTCTTTTGGCATCTGACCACTGCATTTGGTGCCCAATAAAACTTGTATTTAACTTCAAATATGAATTCTGACAAAGAAGGTTTTGCTTCCAGCTGGAGAAGGAGGCACACAATAAAGGTGTTCCGGCAGGACAATCAATTGACATAGATATTCCGCCTCCACGCCCCAAAAGGAAACCAAGCAATCCTTATCCTCGAAAGTCTTGTTCAGCTGCTCCTACATGGGCCACATCGCATGTGGCAGCAAATGATGGAAAACTTTTATCATCAACATCATCTTCGCATTGTAAACAAGTAGTGGATTTGGAGAAAGAACCACTTGATGAGGTTATTATTTTTATTATATATTTTTCTGATACAAATACATTTCATGTTCTTGCGATTCCTGTAAATAGTACTTAACCTGCGACTTCTTTATCAGAGACCTACCAAAGAAGAAAATCCAAGAAATGGAAAAGAAAATCAGGATGAAAACTGCTCAGAAGTCTTAACTATGCTCCTAGAAGATCATTGTTCCTCTGTTTCTTCTGCAAACAAAAATTCCATACCCACACAGGTGGCACTAAGAAATGCTTGCACTTTTAAGGAGTTTGTGCCCCTGAAAGAGGTAATAAGTCAAGGTGTAACAAATGATTCTTATGTCACTACTGAACTTAATGGAAATCAGAATTTGAAGAAAAATGATGCCAAAAAGATAGTTCAAGATAATGGTACGAGTGGAGCCTCAGAGTCAGAGAACACTAATGCTTTTCATAAGAAGTTGGTTCAAGGTGAGAAAGCAGATTATTTGAATTGTGCATTGCCAACAGATGGGATGCAAGGAACTCAGACCTACCCGAGGAATGTTCCTGTACACGTACTGGATGGGAGCCTAGGAGGATGTAATCAAAATACTCCATTAGATATGTCATTCGCGGATACTGCTTTTCATCCTATGGGCAAGGTTCATGGACAGCCTAACCTTTTTGCAAATCCAACTGCATCTACTACTACTGAACATGAAAGTAATGCATCAAGATCTTCTGTTCACCAATCATTTCCAGCTTTTCACCATCCCTTCACCCCATTACACCATGGTCAAAAGGATTACCAGTCATTTCTGCACATGTCCTCCACATTTTCAAGTCTTATTGTGTCTTCTCTGTTACAAAACCCTGCAGCCCATGCTGCAGCTAGCTTTGCAGCAACATTTTGGCCTTATGCAAATGCAGAAAATACAGAAGATTCTCCGGCATGCCCCCCTGGAGGTTTTCCATCTAGGCAAATGAACTCTCCTCCAAGTATGGCAGCAATTGCTGCTGCCACCGTAGCTGCTGCATCTGCATGGTGGGCATCCCATGGATTGCTTCCCTTGTGCGCTCCTGTTCAAACTGCTTTTAGCTGTCCTCCTGTGTCCATGACTGGGGTTCCATCAATGGATATTGGTGAAGCTCCTGCAGCCAATATAGAGAGAGGAGAGAATTCTCTTCAAATTCCTTCTTTGCAGGATCAACAAGTGGACCCAGAACACTTGGAAGCTGTGGAAGCTCAAGATCCAGCTTCAAAATCACCAAGTGTGTCATCATCACACTCTGATAACGGAGGTGCAGAACCTAATATTGTACTTAAAGCTGCTGCTGATGAGAAGGTGGTAGCATCAACCGAAGAAGTTAATGATTCAAACAATGCAAAGAGCAGAAAACAGGTTTTCTTTGATATTGTTCAGTCCGCATAGGATGGACTACTAGTCCTGCTTTCATCACTCTGTACTTTTCTTCCATTTTCAATAAAATCTTGTTTTTTTATTATAAAAAAAATAAAAAAAAAAAAAACAAAAGGTTGACCGTTCTTCGTGTGGTTCCAACACACCTTCCAGCAGCGAAGTAGAGACAGATGCATTAGAGAAGCAAGAGAAGGGGAAGGAAGAACTGAAAGAACCTGATCTAAATCACCCAGCTTCTGACTCTACTTATCGTCGCAGTCGAAGTATCATCAACATTAGTGATCCATGGAAGGAGGTTTCCGAAGAGGTAGCCCAACATAGGGATTGATTTTGATAAATCTGTTTTTGGAATGAATTGTTATCTGATCATGTTAACTACCTTTGTTAGGGGCGTATGGCCTTTCAAGCATTATTCTCAAGGGAGGTATTGCCCCAAAGTTTTTCACCTCCCCCCAAGGACAAAGAGCATCAGACCACTACAGAAGAAGGAAAGCAGAATGCTGAGGACAAAGGTGAAGATGCATCACTATTAGACCTAAACAAAAAGACATGGGTGCCATTTTCGTGCCACCTGGAAGTGGAGAAAAATGTGTCACCCGTAGGAGACAACAATGCAGAGGGGCTGCTGACAATAGGACTTAGCCAGGGAAAACTTAAGGCTCGTCGAACAGGATTCAAGCCTTACAAAAGGTGCTCGGTAGAGGCCAACGAGAACAGGGCAGCCAATGCCATCAGCCACTGTGAAGAGAAAGGTCCCAAGAGGTTACGCTTGGAAGGGGAAGCTCAAAATTGACATTTGGCATTGCATTGCAAATCAAAGGAAACCTTTGTTGTTGCAAGCAATCTAATAGTTTCCCCTTTATTTATATGTTGTTCTTTTGTGTTTCATTTCAAGTCCAGCAGATCAGAAACTTGCCTTGGTGTGTACCATATATAATCTACATTTGCTGATTAACTATCTTGAACCCTTGGAACTGCGCTTGAAAGATTTCCTTAATTAGACTTTAGCTAAGAAACATTTTAAGTATTTGATGGGACTTGATATGCCCAGTTTCCTTGGACTCTTGTCTAACGATTTTACTCTAAAAGAACCTGCAGGTTGCACAGAAACCCCTGTTGTTCTTGCTAGTTCAACTTATGACACATTTTGTGATGTGATCAGAAGCTTTTGCATGCATGATCTATTTTTGGGAGATTCACTATTATACGCAATATATGAGTCCAAATTATAAAAAAATCATATATGAAATGGACTTTAGAAACATACTCAAAGTCCATTTACAACATAACAAAAATGTTTTTTTAACTTCTTTTAAATTACAAAACTACCATTGATTTCTTAAAACAAACTCAACCCCAAAATCTCATAAAAAAGTCTCAAACACTCAATAAGACATCAAAGTAATTTAATAATCAAAATTAAATTCAATAAGGCCGACTGTCATTTTTTTAATTTGTTTATAAAAATTAAATGGTGTATAGTTTATTTATAATTTTAGTGCTAAGAATGGGTATATGACTAAATATCTTTTTTTTTCTTTTTCTTTTCAAAGCCTAATTATTATTTTCTTCTTGTTTGTGGGGCTTCAGCTCCCCTCGGTTATTATGAGCCTTACTCAAGTTACATGGAGAAAAATATTTTAAAGTTAAACTCCCATTGTAAACAAAAAGATACAAAAAAAAAAATAGTAATAAACGTGAAATTCGGCATTTACTGACCACCATCACCATCCATATTTACAGTTTTTCCCATATAAAGAATGGAGAAATTTATTTACAGGAATTCATGCAATAAGGGTGATCTTGTGTCCACAGTGCCTGCAGGCTATATTATATACGTTCCTATTTAGCTGATATATATGTATATAATATATGTCAATGCTAGTCATCATCACTCATATAAATAAAGTGATGTCTCATTATCATCCCCCCAAAGTTCAAAACTGCTTGCTGATCTTGCCGTGATTTACCCCATACCCGTAATATGCACACAAAAAAGCCGGTTTTGTCAATGGCTGTACACGGAGGGTCATATTTACTTAGTCCGGGAGTCTGGAGATTGCACAGGAGCAGGCTGCGACTTGAGAAAGTTGATACGACGGGACTCCAAGTTTACAATGTACTGTTGGATTCGCTTCTTATTGGCAGGAGTCAACGAAAATGGCGGGTTAAGTGGCAGGGACGTTGCTTCTCCCGCAATAAAAGAAAGCAGAAGCATAGCCTTCGAGTACAATTCTTCTGCACTACTCTTGTTCTCCATGTACTCGTCTACCTGGAACACAGGCAAAATTTATTTGGTCAGAGATTTTGTAATCTGCAAACAAGATTACAGATGTAACATGAAAAAAAAATGGAAAAAAAGATGGAAGCACACAAGGAAGTTTACTTACAGCACCATTTGTTCCAACTACTAGTGCTTTTTGGAAAATAATTTCCATCGCGTCTGGCACTTCAGCAGCACCTGCAATATATATCACACATTAAGGAGCAAAAGTTCAAATGGAAAACTAGAAAGCATTATCACAGATAGTTTCTTGACAGCCTAACCATCCATATCTTGGATACGATAGGATAACTTCTCTGCCCGATCAAATGCACCAATAAACCCTTGCCCTGCCCACATTGAAACAGATGAAGGCCTGCTAAAATCTACACTTCCTGAGGCGTTTGGTGACAAACCAGCACCTCCCTGCACACGTGAGGATTCATTTGCTGAACTGCCTTCGGGTAGTTCCTTCGCGTCACTCCAAGTGCTGCAAATTTGAAGAGCTTTTGTCCATATGGCCAAAACAACCAGTTGAACTGAAAATGAGTCTAGAAACAGTCCTGCCTTATCCTGCAACCAAAAGTAACAATTACCTTGATAAATTCCAGAAAAAAGTCAAGAGCCGTTGTCTAATCATGCTAATATAATTAAGCGACTCCTTGTGAGGATTCTGTGTGCACTCATGTGCGTATGTTTGTGCATGTGTGTGTGTGTGTGTGAGAGAGAGAGAGAGAGAGAGAGGGAGTTCTGTACAAACAAAAGAAAAATGAAAGTACACTACTGTAAATAAAACATCATGATATTTTTTTTAGAACACAATAAAACATCATGATATTGAACAAAGTAAATTATGTTTGGTGCAGGAGAACTGAGTGATGCACCTTTTCCTGAGACAGATCTGCAAGAACCTGAGCGTACTGATGTAACAGATGGAGCCTAGTAGAAGGATGCAGTATAGATAGTCCTTGCACTTCCAGTAACAGGGTTGATCCACAAGATGTTGGTGATTTAGCGGATCCACAAGTTTGTGAACTTTCCACACCAATAGAACTAGTTGCCTGCTCCTCTGTTTTCTTTGCAACTGATATATCATGATCATTCTGCTTTGAACCACTGATAGAAGCTCTCGTAGTGGAATTAAGTTGCAGGGAAGTTTCAAGGTAATAAGAGAAACTCTCCATTGACGCAAAATGAGGATTGACCATAACATAATCTTTCTCAATGGACTCCATTGAATCAGAAACTGTAGAGGCAAACCAAAATAAATAGTTGAAACAAAGCACAAGCATTCAAAAGGAATTACAAATTGAAATACAAACCTCGAAGGTGATCCTGTATGTTTGGATCTTGATTAATAGATTTCCTCAGCCTATCACATGCAACATCTTGCACAAGCCCTTGAACACTCCTAGTGCTGGATGTACTGCCACAATCTTTTCTTTGTAACATTTTTCTGTCATGTGCAGATGGAAAATCTGAACTCAGATTTCTGCTAGATGAGTTTATGGGATGCTTGGAATTCAATTGCAACCTCTTATCGGAGACAGAAGAATTAGACTGTTCAACCATCGATTTAAGCGGTGGAAGTAGTGAAGTGTGTTCAACATTCTGAGGAGCTGATTCAGTTTGACTGCATATATATATGAGTATATAAATACCTATCATATCATACTTAACATATACCCAAATTGTACAAAATGTCAAATGTACCATAATCAATGAATAACACAGTTTGAAGGCTGTGGAATGCTTTACCTAGCTTCTCTGAGAAACTTGTGATTGAAGAACTCCGTAAATGATAGTCGCTCAACTGCAAATTCAAGTTTTGACTTTTAAATTGTAGTTTTGTGGAAGGGTTAACTAAATTCTTGATATTCACATGACAATATGAGTAAATTCTCACTCTTGAGCTGTGATTGTAAATTTTAAACACACACAAGCATAACACCGGAGACACCTTAATATAGCAATCATGACCTGGATTTTGACGTAACAGGCTACTGCAAAGATCTACACAATCTGCATGCAATTCTTCCAAAGCACCTTGTGGAAACCGCACCCCAGTAGATGTCAGAATATTTTGAAAAAGCTGTATATAGCAAAAATCATTAAAAGACACAAGATAATCCTTTCAAATATTTGCATAATATTTCACACTACTAGTCCTTATTTGGGTAGAAAAAGTTAGGAAAATTCTAAATCTTTACAACTGAGGAAAAAAAAAGTTAAGATTTCCCCTGACCTGAAATTGACAATTCCCATCAAATGGCGGCTTCCCAGTCACCAGCTGAAACAAAATTGCTCCAACACTCCATAAATCAGCCTGCAAAGACCATAATGTTAAATTAAAGATGACAACAAAAATGGCAAAGATACCTACAAGTTTGTCAATAATGTCACTTTCACATTCTATCACCTTTGCATCATACTTTTGGTTCTGAATAATCTCTGGAGCCATGTATAATGGTGAACCACATAGTGTGTCAGCCAAGTCTTGGGGCGTGAGGGATCTGGCAGACAGATGCATCCAGGCAATGCCCAAGTGCAAAACATATTTAGAAATACTTCTCACCAATAATTTACTTTCAATTATTGCTAGAAAGAAGTGACCAAAGCTTTTAAACTCTTCCTGTGAACTCAACTGCTTCAGATAATTTTTAGCAAATCGAATTTTTGCTTTAGATAGGATTTGCGTAATTTTAATAAACTTCTCTACATAAACATCCAAACAGTTCATCCCATCTCAAATTTCTCACAAGTTACAGTAAGATATCTGCATCTCTCAGTAGTAGATGTTACTTTCATAAACCACATGTTATGAACGAAAGGTTTGAATAACAAAGAGAACTCAGAGGCTGATGTTCAACAAAAAAAATATTCTTATCACATGGTCAAGTTGAGAGTCAAACAATAGAATGAGCTTTTGGCTAAGCATCACACTACCAATGTAAAAGGAAATGACACAAGAAAACTTTTATTGGGTTCTTCTCGGCAAGCCAAATAAGTGGGATAATGCTGTACTGGCATTGGTTGAATATGTTAGTTATGGACCACTCCATTATGAAACAGTTGTCATAGCAAGACCTCATAAAAACACCAGTAAACTAAATAAGTACACCATTTACTATACAGGCGGCAGACTTTTTACTTCAGTTGCAGCATTAAGTTCACAATCAATATGCAAAATGGCAATGCAAAAAGATTATTAAACTTTTACCTCGCAAAACCAAAATCCCCTATCTTCAGTAGTGGGGTTTCTTCAATGGTTGTTGACAAGAGTAAGTTCTGCAAGTTTTACCAGAAATCGACAAGTAAGTCACTAACCAAGCAGAATAACCGCCAAATTTGTCGAAAGTAATCAACAATATAACGCCAAATTTGTCAAACTAATTGACAATATAACGCCAAATTTGTCAATAGTAATCGACAATATATCTATATCTATATATGTATATAAATCTTCTGAAGAGAGACAGTAATTGACAATATATCAAACGTCATTAACATATCAAACTTCTAGCGAGTCACGACTTGTGACCAAACAAAAAGCATAATTCCCAGACAATTTTGCAAGTTATGCTGATTAATGTGCCTATGATAAACGCCCTCAGGATTAGCTCACCTACAATTGACTTTATGGAGAACATATAAAATTCTGGTTCATCATGAAAACACAGTACCTGTGGTTTTAAATCCCTATGAATGAGGTGCTTTTCTTGAAGCACTTGCAATCCTGCAGCTGCTCAGGGAAATCCAAATTAAACACGTTAAAGTCCATTAGTATCTACTTATCAGAAGAAACAGAGGCAAAAACAGAACAGAAAAGGCAAACAATCACATTTAAGAACATTCCCATTAGCCTAATCATAAATGAAAATCCAATCATCCAAAGATTATTTCTAAGAAAGAACAGATACCAAACTGGCCAACCATTTAAAAAGTCTATAAAAAATTTCCAATTGACGAACCGGAATTTAATCCAAAAGTCATTGAGCACAAACCCAATCATCTAAAAAAAGATGAATTTGAATAAAAACTCAAATTAAAAGCACAGCTGAGCAGAGGGAAAAAAAAAATACCCAATTGTCTCATAAAGTGCTTGGCAACATTTTCCGAAACTTTCCCATGTCGATGAATATAAGCAGCCAGGTCACCGCCGTCACAGTACTCCAACACAAGGTAAATTTTGTCCTGGGTCTACAAAAGAACCCCAACCACCGTCACCGACATTACACACAGATATAAATATATATATATATATATATAACTATATAACTATATAACTAACAAAAAAAAACCTCCTCGAAAAAATAAAAATAAAAAAGGTACCTGGATGGCCTCGAAAAGGCGAATGATGTTGGGGTGGTTGATGGTGCTTAGAATGGAAATTTCTTTGAGTAAACTGTCGCTGACTTTTGGGCTCAGCTGTTTCTTGTCAATTTCTTTAACAGCAACTTCAATACCCAGTTGGCGATGCCTTGAGCGCCAAACCACCGCGAATGAACCCGACCCGACTTTTGGGCCCAGTATGTAGTCTCCGATAAGGCGAGACTGATTCGGGTTTGGGTCCCGAAAATCCATGTGTGCCGTACAGTCTACAGAGTCTGTCTAACGCTTGCTGTAGAAGAAGATCATTGTCAAAATTTCAATTTCAATTGTGGGTTTTGTGTAAAGCTATGAACTTGATATGAGAACGGTGCAGATGGATGCTGATGATGACGACGATGATGATGCAGGTTGTTGCGGAAGTGGGAGTGGAGGTTTTGTTGTATTTAAGAGGATAAAGGGAACAATGGTCATATTGGAATTTTTGGAACCAAAAACCAAAACCAAAGGAAGAGAGAGACTTTATTTACTTTTTGCGTGGAAAAACGACGCCGATTGTCAATGAGCGCTTCAAGCACAGCACAACACAGACAGAGAGAGAGAGAGAGAGAGAGAGAGAGAGAGACAGAGATGCTGAGTGCTGAGTGGATGGCTTTAATATCAGCAGAGGTTTTGAAGTTTCCCTACTGTGGTAAATGCTCTGTTTATGTTTCTAATTGTATTTGCTTTGGGTTCTAATTATATTTGTTTTGAGATTTTACCTCATTCAGAGCTAAATAATTTCAAGAAATTTAAATTATTCAAAAAATAAATAAAAATTAAGTAGCTATTTTGGCTAGAAACCAACCATGACCAAATTTTCAATCCTAGTCCAGCCCTAATTCCTATGTGATTGGGACCCTGGCCCAGATTGGAAATCCCTCTGGTCATATGAATACAAAATGCTAAAACATGTTTGATTTTAACTTTCTTGCGTATTGGTGTGAGCTCAGTGCACTTGCCCATATCTTAGACAAATATACAAATTCAGAGGCCCACAGGTGTCCTGGTCCAGATCAAGATCTCATAAGATTAGACCTGCAAGGAAAGGAACATCAAGTTTTGGATTCCCAGGAGACCTGAATGTTGTAGTGGATTTTGTTTTGGAACAATGCAATTCAATTTACATAACTAAAAGAGAGAAAAACCCACAAGATGGTTGTTGAAAATTAATGAGCATAGAACCAAAAAATAAATAAAAATTAATGAGCATAAATTGAAAAAAAAAATTAAGAAGAAAAGAAAGGAGAACAATTTACCTAGCCAACAATGGGATGTTTTATTATACAATGGATAAAAGTTGTATTTTTATGTGAAAACAAAGGCTAGGATGACAAATTTGAAACCATTAGGGATTTTTGAGACCATTTGAAGAGGTTGGGCTAGGCAGGGTCACTTACCAAGCCCAAATTGAAGAAGTTTATTAACCATGGGATTGTTCATGTCCAAATGGATTGTAGTAGGACCCAAAAAGGTAGAAGCTACATAACCATGGATGAGTTGATAACTATTCATGGCTATATGATACACTAATGTTACGATTTAATGTTACTAATCTTTGGTGATTGATCTCATTGCCAGCTTAAGGGAAATTTTATTTGATTTGTAAATTAGTTAGTGTAGTCCCCCTACAATTGTTAATGTTAGTAAGAAACATGAACAGAGCTAGGTATAGGCCTGAGGTTGTCATGACATCTCAGCCTCTATACAAGTCTATTCCACATCGATAAGAAAATTATCCCTTACTTATCAACCGTTATTACAGTGATTAAGTGCAATAACAATTGAGTTCATGAATTTCTTTTTTCTCCAAACTGATTTTTTAAAGTGTTTTTCAGTTTTTAGGGGATTAATTATGAGGCAACAAAGACCTCTACACTTACAATATAAACTAAGTACACTTATTCTAGCAGCCCCCAACTTGGTTTCTTTGCTCAGCCTAAACACTTTTGAGCTGGGGAACACACACAAGATTGAGCCACGTACCCCCAACCCAAATTTTGTCATCCCAACACAAAGAGTTAGGTCACAACTCAACTCACAACATGAACATGAGTACCAAGAAAGAATGCTAAACCCAAAAAATTATTTTCTCATTTTTGACCAAAATTTCAAAAATTTGGCTGAGAGAGTGAACTCAACTCAACTGTGAGCTTGCACAGATGTCACAGCCTTGTTGCAAGAAACGCGGCTATGAAAACCCACCAAGCGTGGCATTGGGGCTTGAGATCACAACTTGGTTGCATAGTATATAGCAGCAGATACATAATTTAGCGTCTTTTTAAGAGCAAAGATAATATTAATTTCTATTAATTTTGCATTAAGATAATATTTATTTTATAATGATATTGTATTGTGTGGATCTGACATTCCGTAATTCTCAAACTACATACTTAATTGTACGTTAATGCCATTATAATACCAAAATCTCGAAGCCCATGCAAATATTATATAAATATCTTCAAATCTTTTATATTTTTTATATAGGCCCTTGAAGTGAATCGGAAAGCTCACACTTTGGCCACGCTCACAGAATGCACAGCATTCCATATGAAGATACAGTACGAACTGTAGCCCATTCCACAGACCATAAATCGTCTCCTCTTTTTCAAACTCCTAAGCTATACTACCCTCAAAACCCCCCTTACATTCCTCATCTTGCCAAGTCATCACCTAGCTCTTAGTCTCCGTGGGCCCTCTCGAGACGAGAACAACTTCTACATGTTGTTTCTATCACATGACAGTGCCGAGTGGTAAGACAATCTAATAAGCACCATCTTTTAATTGAACTACTCTGCCACTCATCATTGTCACGTGGTTGTTTGACATGGCAGAACATGAGTTTCAGTTTGTATTGAATATATATATGTATGAGTGATATTACACTATCAAAACTCTCTCATTATTCAACTGCCACTAACATATAAGCATTGCAACCAAATGGCTATTTACTAGGTACAGTCTCATCAAGCCTTCAGTCTTCTTCTTCCTTTAGTACATCTTTTTCCTTCCAAATATTCTCTACACTAGTCAGCACTTTCAGTACTGGCCATGTTACCTCTATATCTGGCTTCCTTTCTTCTCCTTGGACTCTTTAATTTCTTATCAATTTCTCATTCCCTCCATGAACTCCAGAAACTAGAACAACCCAATTTGCTTAACAACCAGCTGTGCCATGAAAATGTGGACAACTTCAACTACCATTTCCATTTCACTTGAACAAGTCTTGTAGTTCAGTCTCTGATGCTTTCCATCTCTCATGCCTAAACTCAGCTGCCCTTTTCCTCAACATTGGTTCCGAAAGCTACCGGGTGCTAGAATTCTTCTCTGATGGTCTACTAGTGGACTTTCCGGGCTCATCTTCTTGCCGTCAGTACAATGACTTGAACTCCTTTGATTTCTTGGGAAATGACCACTTTGGTGTCTCAGTTGAGAATGTAATTGGTTTGTATGATTGTGAGGACTCTTCTCTGTGCAAGACAGAATGTGAAACAAATGATTTGCCTGGTTGTGACGGCAATGTGAATGGCTCTCCTGCTTGCTGTTACCCTCTCTCTGATCATAGTGTGTGGCATTTCGGCGAAAAGTTTTCGGTGTTTTCCAAGTTTGGATGCAGAGGATTTTCCAGTTGGGTTGTTCAAAGAGGGTCCAACTTGGGAAAACGAGGGGTAAAATTGGAATGGGCAGTACCAAAGAACTCATCCAAGGGAGTTTGTGCTAGCAATGCTTACATTACCAATGCCACAGTGGTTGAAGCAGGGGTGAGGTGCATCTGTGAAGATGGGTTCCTTGGAGATGGCTTTGCAACTGGGGAAGGATGCATCAAATGTGAGTATTTATTAGGACATTTTTATAAATCATCAAGCTTTTCTCATCAAGTTTGTTTGGTAGCTTCATTTTGGGCATGATTATATCTGCTTGTTAGGTTATAGTTTCCATAGACGATTGATGTCATGTGGGCTTGAACTTTCCACTTCTGACTTTAAGAAACAAATTCTGACAATCTATCAGATTGAATTACTCTGTAATACATAGCTTATTGAGTCATTATTGGTGCATTGTACTTAATTAGTGCATATGATTATCTTATGTTAGTTCTGTGTATGACATGATTGTCATCGTGATGATGGAGGTAACTCTAACTTATTAAAAGAAAAGTTTCACATATCCTTCTTTCTGCAGATTTATTTTATAAAAGATCCTACGTATCACAAGCAAAGGTTGAGACTCTTGCTTTCTGCATTTCTTTAGATCATCCTAAAAAAGCCTATGTATGATTTGTAGCCTTTGTAAAGATAAAGCAGTTTGATATTCTTTAATCAATTGTATGCCTTCAGAATAATTGTTTTGTTTAATTTTTCTTTTCACATTGTTGGTGTGGCTGAAAACTCCAAGCCGCCACTATATTTACGGCGGCATCATTTATATTTGGAATGCCTTTGACAGCCTGCATCAAGGACAGAAAGGAAGCGTATGGGAATGATTGCTTGAAGAAAAAGCGTGGTGGAAAAAAACTTGTAATTTTAGCTGGTAAGTGACAACAAAATAAGCAAAATAAACCCATGTCTGCATTAAATCTTCCTATGCATTGTTGTTTGGCTACTTAATCTAGCAGTTAAAAAAAAGTATTTTCAATCGTATCAACTCCTCTCTTTGAAGAAATGAACTATGACATAATCAATCATAAATTTCCCTAAATTTGTCTCATCATTCCCTTTGAGTATAATATCTTGACATCTTGAACTGCAGGAGTTCTTGCTCCAGTTTTCATCATAGCCTCCTTGATTGCACTGTTGTGTCTACTAAAGCGTCCTGCTAAACCGGGGACATTTGATCCTGCCCAGAAACCCCACTTTCAAAGCACCATATCATTCCGGAAAGCTTGTAGGACCCGGCTATTCACTTACCATGAGCTAGAGGAAGCTACCAAAGGATTCGAAGAGGGTCAGAAACTTTTAAGTGGAAATAATGGCACTATCTTTGCTGGGGTTCTAGGGGATGGATCGCACATTGCTGTGCACAAGGTAGAATGTGAGAATGAAAAAGACCTTATTCAAGTCCTATCACAAATCGAGGTTTTATCTGCTGTTCTACACCGGAATATAGCCCGATTACTTGGATGCTGTATTGACTTGGCCTACACTCCACTACTAGTATACGAATATCCTGCAAACAGTACCCTCGAGGAACATTTACATCAGAGAGGAGGACAAAATGTTGCTCTTGACTGGTACAAGAGGCTGAGCATTGCTGCTGAAACAGCTAGTGTTCTTGCCTTTTTGCAGTATGAGATTTCTCCTCCCATTTTCCACTGTGACCTCAAATCTGCTTACATTTTCATTGATGAAAACTTTTCCAGTAAAGTTGCTGGGTTTGGGCTACTGATTTCAAGTCTTGGAGATGGTTCTCAGTCACACAACCATGAAGATTCACGTTTTCACAAAAACGATGTGTATGCTTTTGGTGTCATGCTTCTTGAGATTATTGCAGGCTCAAATTGCTTGGACTTGCCTACAGTAGCCCTGCAGAAGATAAGGAGTGGCAAGCTAGAAGAAATAGTGGATCCACATCTCTACTATCACGAGCAACCTTCGTATAGGCGTGAGCAGATAGAGATTGTTGCAGACCTTGCCATGAGGTGCCTGTTGTTTGGTGGAGATGGAAAGCTGGGAATGTATGATGTTGCCAGGGAACTAGTACATATTAGAAGAGACAGCAGTGATGGAGGTAGCAAGAGGGGGCCTGCACTAGAGGAAACATTTTCAAACTCCAGCCTACTTCAGATGATATCCATGTCTCCTGATTCAACATATGTGCCTTGAATTTGTTCAGATCGGTCCTCGAAACTGCTGCTCAACAAATTTGGCTGTTCATTTTCACTTTCCATAGAAGTTTTACATGCACTCTTGTTACTTCTATGTGTTGTACATCAGCTGAAGTGAATCAAAATAGATCAAAACTTCAAAACTTTGCATTGCATATATAATACACCTGCCTGCCTGCATGCCTATGTGCATCAACAGAAAATCTCATCATTTAATGAATATACAGAGTTGAAGAAAGTCTAACCCTAATCATCATTTATTTTTATAATAGAAAAACAGAATTATGACTTTATATAAATATTACTTCTGCAAGACAAATGTCTCTAAAGAACACTGGTGGACTCGCTTTCTGAGTCTCAGAAGCAGTGGATTTGGACATGCTAATTCATAGAAATCGAACATAAACAGTATGCAAAAGTGGTATTAATTATTATATTATCATAATTAATTAGGGAGATCGTCCAATGATCCAATAGGAATGTTAATCCACCAGTTCAATGGTATAATGTTTTTTTTTTTTTTTTTTTTTTTTTTTTTTTTTTTTTAAATTAAAAACTATAAATTTATTTAGCAGTTCAAATTTCATTGCATTGCCCATTGGCTGCAAACCAGAGCAATCTATATATGGCCTCATGGTTACCCTCAAGAAGCAGAAATTAGTAAGTAGCATGCAACACCCTGACCATGAATCTGAGAAAATAAAGCTAGAATGTCCTATAACTAACATGAAAAATTAACTAACTTCCAAGGTTCAGCCTAACAGGTAGGGTCTGCAGCTACCTTCTCTCTCAGATAGACACGTGTCAGTGCCTCAAAGTTTTGACCAATCCCTGCCTCTCTTTCCCTCCCAACCTACTATAAATATGAATATCATCCAAAGACTCTAATCTTAACACTTATTTGCTCAACTATCTTCTTTCTTACAAGTTTCTATCTCAACCCCCTAACCAGTCTTAAGGTGCGTATGCTTCAACCTATTCTTTATTATACCATACAATCACTATCACACCTTTTTTTGGGGTTCGTGTTATTTAATCTCATAGATCCTTTTTTTTTTAATGTCAATCTTTGTAAACCAAAGATGTTGTCTCGGGTTCGAAATCTCCGATCTTTCTTCGCCTTTGCATCTTTAGGATGAGGTTGCACGTGAGAAAGGGTGTTAGCTCGATATGCATTGTTAGTCTATTCATTACCAATTAAGCTTTCTAAGTCCAATAATTGTTAAACACCTTTGAACCACAATGAACATAACTAAACTAGCTAAGTAGCTATCTTATAAGCTGGAATTTTGTACGAAAATGTAAAATTATGAGGGGCTGCACATGTTGATTTACCTCAAATCTTCTAGTAATCTTGATGCCTACATCTTCGTCACCTCTCCTTCAGCTACCATATCTAGAATGGTAATGGATAATCCTAGACCATGATTTATTGATGTACGGTCAAAATTTTCTATTTACATATTGCTAAACATGGACAGAGCAAAGGAGATAAATATCCTAGTTGTTGTTTGCATGTGTTATTTTACATTTTACCTTTTGCCTGCCTACGGTTAGATGGCTGATGAAGAAAGTGAAGTTCAACCAGTACCACGCCAAAAAGCTCCCAAGTTAAATGAGAGGATTCTTTCATCTCTGTCGAGGAAATCAGTTGCCGCACATCCGTGGCATGATCTTGAAATTGGTACTTGTAATTTTACCATGATATATCCCTGCAACATCTTCTTTGCTTTTTATCTTCTTCTTTTTCTTTTCCCTGGTGCCACGGTACCATTTAAACAGGAAGAAACTAATCATGCTGCAAATTCTTGTCTCCAGGACCTAAAGCTCCCTATATTTTCAATTGTGTATGTACCCTCTCCAACTTATCAAGTCACTAGCATAAATTGCTATTGAAGCAAAACAATGCTACAAATTGAATTGTTTTTTGGGTTGGTTCAGGTTGTTGAGATAACAAAGGGAAGCAAGGTCAAATATGAACTTGACAAGAAGACAGGACTAATTAAGGTATGAAAAAACAAGGTTATATATATATATATATATTTATTTATGTTAAGATTGTTGTTCTTAATATTTAAGTAAATTCTCAGGTTGATCGGATTTTGTACTCGTCAGTGGTCTATCCTCATAACTATGGTTTCATCCCTCGCACCTTGTGTGAAGACAATGATCCACTGGATGTGTTAGTTCTCATGCAGGTGAGTTTTTAAATTGTAATATTCATCTGTTCTGTAAATTCTTGATAACCAATTCCTTCGACCGGCGACGGAAATTGGAACAGATTGCCAAACAGACAAAATGCTTGAATGCATATATTTTTCACAAAATCTTGAGTACAAATATTGAATTTCATAGGCATTAATTTGTATCTTTGAACTTAAATAGGAACCTGTTCATCCGGGTTGTTTTCTGCGAGCCAAAGCCATTGGACTAATGCCTATGATTGACCAGGTTCTCTTCCACAGCTCTCTAGCAAATTGAAACTCAACTCCTACTTTTTATTGAATTTTGAGCACTGACTTTGATGGATTCATCCAGGGAGAGAAAGATGACAAGATCATTGCAGTCTGTGCCGATGATCCAGCTTATAATCACTACACTGACATCAAAGAGCTTCCCCCTCATCGCCTTTGTGAGATTCGTCGCTTCTTTGAAGACTGTATCCTTTACAATCTTGCTCTGAAACTTAATGCATTACTTTATAGATGTTTAAATGTTCTTTGGGAGTTGTTACAATTTGAGAAAAACTGCACAGTGGTTTCTTAACATATTTCATAGACAAGAAGAATGAGAACAAAGAGGTTGCAGTTGACCAGTTTTTGCCTTCCCACAATGCTGCTGAAGCCATCCAGTACTCTATGTAAGACTTTCTACAAAGGGGAAATATACAGTCAAGAAAGAGATACAACTTTTGTATCTAAACAAATCATTCAATTAGGCCCAAAAAAACACCATGCTTTACTCTCCTGACTTGTAATTTTCTTGGTGCAGGGACCTTTATGCAGAGTACATAATGCTCACCCTAAGGCGATAAACACATACAGGCTACAATATTCCACCAATTACAATAAGTCATTTCATCAATGATAGATGAAGATTTGAGGCAAAGAAACTTCAAGTTTCAGTTTTCGTGTTTCGGATTATGATTGACCTTGTTCGGTTGATTAATCAAAATGACCAGACAATTTTTGTTACATTACATGTTTAAATTTGATTGTATTATAAATTATAATCATGGTTTAGAGACAACTCAAAGCAGTACCATGTTCAAATGTTTGTGGCTTTAGAATTTGTATAAGAACAATTATAATCAATTTTCTTTTCTCAATTTGCTTATCTCCTTTTGTGTTTTGTAGTTTAGAGAAGGAAAATTTCGAGATCCAATTTAAAATCGATGACTTATTCTCTATTAAAATTTGCACATGAAAGAATGGAAAGCTGTTAAAATTTCTGGTAGACTCATACTTTCAGGAGTCTAGATTTTGACAATAAACTAACCCACAAAGCAAAAACCCAACAGATAGTTCAAAGACACAAGTTGGAAAACAGAAAGGTAGACTCAATATCTTGACTATCTGGTTAACAGATTGACAATCCAATGCATAGAAAGGGGCCATAATCGCATTTACCAGCTAAATAAAGCATTGATGTTGCTGAAGATTACAAAATACAAAAAGCATTGCTTGCCTTTCTACTTTTGCACAAATTTGCAAGCACTATGTACATCTTAACAATAATGCTAGAGATACGGTTTTCAAACACCAACTAATCTTACAATTTCTTATTTGCTGTGAATAAATAAAGCTCAACAAATGAAACATTAAAACATCAATTGGTGTCCAAAATTTGGTATAATAAGTTAATATATCATGTATAATGTATTATTGGCCTTCTTAACGAGAAAAACTTCGATATCACAAGAATAACGCTTGGCATAGGCTCTCTAAGACATTCATAGAGCAAAAGTCCAATCTCTTTTGGTATTACTAGTGGCAGGGCCACCCACCCTAATTCCCACACCCTAAAATGCAAATACATCAAACTCTTGGACACAACAGCAAGATTAACGGAAACTAAATTTAAAATGATATCAAAAGTAGTGATCTTAGAATCCCAACAACTACAACCTCCAAAATCATGTTCATCTCCACGTATTGAACTCTCTAGTGACACAAAGTGTTAAACCATATACAACAAAGTTGCAATATTTCTTTTGCAAGACAAGCCCCTTCCAAAGAATGCCTGTTGGGCTCGATTTCTGAACCTTAAAAAAGCAGTGGATCTAGAGTCTAGACATAGGCAGCAAACAAGTATATAGAAATGCAAAAGTAGTGCAAATATTAAAATTAAAAAGAGGATTTTTACGTTTGAAACTTTCCAATGATCCAATCTGAATTGCTATAATCCGCGTCACATCCACATGTTATGTTCATGCTAGCTAGATAAATACTGAGATTCGTTTTGACTTAATGAATTTAATTTTCATATATAACATAAATAATAAATAATAATAATAATAATAATCACCAACAAACTTGAAGGTTCAACGTGAGGGGCAGCTACCTTCCCTCATGGGCAGACACGAGGCAAAATGCCTCAAAAGTTTTGACCAACCCCACCTTTCTCTCCTCTTTTACCTCCCCACCTACTATAACTATTATATTCATCCAATCACTCCAACCTTATAGCTCTCACTTCTCATTTGCTCATTCCATCCTCCCTTTTCTTAATTTCAAGTTTCTTTATCAAACCCCAGCAGCCCCAACAGCAACAGGCCACTGAAGGTGTGTTTCTGTGCTTCAACTGATTCTGTATTTTGTTCTGTCATATACCATGATTATAATCAAAACCCTTTTTTTGTTTTTTTCAAGGTCTTTTGTTAATGCTTCCTAATCTTGTAAATAACGATCTTGTCTTTTATGGGTTGTCGGGAAGAAAGGAAATTATGAATGAATGAAGCTTGGACTTTTGTTCAACACATTTTTCATCTAAAAAACGTGTCTTTGATTGGATACAGAGATTTAAATTGACCTGTTAATCTCTAATCACACTGCATAATCTCTCTTTTAATTACAATATTTAGATTGGTAATTTAGTTTTCCTTATTTTTTGAAGTGTTCATTGTTTCTCGATCAGTATCCTATTTGTTGTTTGCATGTTTGATTTACTGCTTGCTGCATTTGACATTTTCCCTTTTACCCTTTTACCTGCCTGTGGTTAGAGAGATGTCTGAAGGAAACGAAGAACCTAAACCGCAAAGAGCTCCCAAGTTAAATGAGAGGATTCTTTCATCTTTGTCAAGGAGATCAGTTGCTGCACATCCTTGGCATGATCTTGAAATTGGTACATATGATTTGACCATGATAAATCTCTACTTTTTACTTTGCTATCTTCTTGTCCTGGAAGAAACTAATCATGTTGTAAAATCTCTGTCTGCAGGACCTACTGCACCCCACCTTTTCAACGTTGTATGTATCCCCTCAAACTTCATCAAGTAACGAGCATAAACTTGGCATTAAGCCAAAATTAGTGAGAAGAGGGAATTCATAAAAGTTTGTCAATAAAATACTGCATATTGAACTGTTTGCTGGATTGGTTTAGGTTGTTGAGATAACCAAGGGAAGCAAAGTCAAATATGAACTTGACAAGAAGACAGGACTGATTAAGGTATGAAACAAGTTCACAGCTCCACAATTACTTTCTGCATATCTTCTCAACTTTGATATTAAGATTGTTCTTAATGCTTTAAATAAATTCTCAGGTTGATCGGATTTTGTATTCGTCGGTCGTGTATCCTCACAATTATGGTTTCATCCCTCGCACCTTGTGTGAAGACAATGATCCACTGGATGTTTTAGTTATCATGCAGGTGATTTGCCAGATTTTCATAGCCATCTAATTTTAAGAAAGTTCTGTCAGCCAAATTCCATTGAGTGGTGATGGAAGTTGGAACATTATGTCAAAGGGACAAAATTCTTGAGCCTATGTATTGATTTAAATCGATGAATTAAACAGGAACCTGTCCTTCCTGGTTGTTTTCTGCGAGCCAGAGCCATTGGAGTAATGCCCATGATTGACCAGGTACTCTTCCGAACCTCTCCCATTTCTTTGCATTGAATTTTTTGTCCCTAAACTTTAACAAGCATGGATTTTATGCTTTTAATCCAGGGAGAGAAAGATGATAAGATTATTGCAGTCTGCGCTGATGATCCAGAGTATACGCACTACACTGAACTCAATGACCTTCCCCCTCATCGCCTTTCTGAGATCCGTCGCTTCTTTGAAGACTGTATCCTTCACAATCTTACTTTGTAACTTAACGCATTACTTCAGGTTTTTGAACTATTTGAACAACAGTACCATTTTTTCTTAACATATTGCATAGACAAGAAGAATGAGAACAAAGAGGTTGCAGTAAACGCCTTTTTTGCCTGCAGCCGCTGCTCTTGAAGCTATCCAGTACTCAATGTAAGTCTATCTTAAGGAACCACAAGTTTCTGAGCCATGGTGGTCCAAGCTCTAATGTTTCTTGTTCGTTAAGAAAGAGATGAAAGTTCTGCATCCAAACAAATCATTCAAGCATCTCCTTTACCTGTCATTTCCCATTTCCCAAGTTTGATGAAGTTGTTGACCTGTATGTTTTGGTACAGGGACCTTTATGCTGAGTACATAATGCACACCTTAAGGCGGTAAACATGCAGGCTACATTTTCCACTAATTACAATAAGTCATTTTTATCAATGGCAGAGGAGGAAGATTTTATGCAGAATTTCCCCAATTTTACTTTTTGTATTTTGGATTATGATTGATGCTTGTTTGGTTGATCAGTAAAGTGAAAGGAAATGGCTAGAGAATGTTGTTTTCATTTGTTTAAATTGGGTATTCTATTATGATATCAATCTTACAACTAGTATTTTCCAATCCATTATGGACTTTTTTCTTTATCAACATTGGGAGGAGAAGTACCACAAAACTAAGAGTTAGTTGATCCATCTTTACGTTACGGGTTTTGGATATATTGCTCCGTGGTTGAGCATTTTACCCCAATATGACAAGAGTTCAGCTCTTGCCCTCCCCGTCCCTTATTTTTTATTTTCTATTGAAAAAGAACTGTATCATCTTGCAATATTCTTGGATTTAGAATTTGTCTAACAGTTACAATTAATTTCCTTTCCTAATTCCCTGTGTTTGATGGAGAATTAACTTTCATGAAAATCAATCTGCGCTGGCGACAGCTAAAGCTAGTCAAAATCCATCCTATCAGATTGACAATAAAATAGCACAGAAAAGCAGTAAAAGTCCCTACCTAGTCAAAATGCACGTACTATTTGTCAATTTGAAGTTTTTACACCATCTTGGTGCGGTTTGGGAGTAATGCGACACTACGACAAATACCAAGTCTTATCCAAATCCTTACACACCAACTCTCTTTTTTTTTTTTTTTTTTTTTTTTTTCTTTTTTTTTTAGAAATATAGTCACTTGAGGCATTTTCAAGACTCATTAGGTAGTGCTTGAACACCCTCGAGCAGTGCAAAACCCCATTAAAATTCTGAAAATCGAAAAAGAAAAGGACTAAAATTCTTCAAAGCAGTTGGCATATACTTTCATGGTCCGGATAGGCAAAATCACAAGCATAAAATACCAAAGTCATTTTAACAGCCATACGAAACATTGTTGTTGATACAAAAAATCTGCTCGCAGTTGCTACCTTTTTGGTCAATTGGACATGCACGTGTAATGTGTTGAGTTCATTTTAAACACTTGAGATACAGAAAATATGGCAGATCAGGTTGAAGTTACAGCTTGCTCCTGGTAAAATAGCAAAAGCAATGCTAGAATTGCAAACACCACCCTTCAATGCCATCACGCGTATAACTTATTTAAAAGTTCCAAGAGAAGAACTGCCGCCGAGTCCTTGGCCTTCTTAACACTGGGCATAGGCTCTCCCACGCATTCATCTGTCTGTCCCCTGTCGGTGGTATTCACACGTACAGCAAACGTGAACCTCTTTGCATGTGCAGGGCCACCTTCATTCACACACCTAAAGATGCAAATATATCAAACAGAAAACTAATTCAGTTGAATTCCACCTACTTGACTCTAGTGATAGAAAATGTTAAAATATGACCAAATTGTTTTACTCCTATCTAGATGTGTTCAGAACTTCTTACCGGTAGAATGGCATGGGCCAATTTTTTCGCAAGCAGATGTCATTTAAGGTTTGTCGGGTAAATGTTTGGCTACCGTTCTTCTTCTTCTTCCCATTCTCCTCCTCCTTCTCATTTGCTTCAGCTGTTTCCTTATCTTTCAAAGCAGCAAGTGCATTCCTAGCAGCCAGTTTCTGCGCCATCTTCTTTTGCGGATTCTGAGCAATTCCCATCTGGATGCCATCAATGAAAACTTCGACAGTAGCCAAATTTCCACTTCGAGTGGCTTTGTATTCCAAGCCTTCAGCCTGCTGCTGGCATCTTTCTTGCAGCTCTCGCACAGGATGCATTGGGAGTGTCTCTGGAGTAACCATTGGGTGCAATAGAGGTTGAAAGACCTATAAACATATAGAGATCAGTTCCCCCAACTCATAACCAAAGAAAATAGAAAAGATAAAATGTAGAACAAGCTATGTGCCTCTACTGGGGATCTACCTTCCAAACAACTGCAGTATCACGTCCGCTGTCAAGAAAAATGGCACCCGCAATAGATTCAAAAATGTCCCCAAGAACCTTTGGAGCTTTGCAATCTCCCAAACCAAAGGAGTTGAACCCTGGCTTTGATAATTCATTTTGCACTTCCTTCACAAAGTCATGAATCTGTAAACGCAATCCAAAAACGCTAGTTAGGATTTAGGATCCATAGTTGCTGCTAACCTGCCTAGTCCATAACAAATCAAAATAACCATGCTAGACTATCAGCTCCCCCATTCAAGAACGAGAATTTAAAATTTTAAAGGTGAGGAAGAAACTGAAGAACCTGTTTTTCAAGGGCACTTGACCCATGCCGAAGGTGTAGATGGAGTTTATGTTTTACAGCAACACGTGCAAAATTTTCATTGTTAACAGCAGCAGCTCGCAGGTCAGTCAACCTGCCTGGAGGCAGATTTGTGTACGTGAAGAACAAATGCCTTGTAATGAGATGATCTAAGACGGCATCACCAACAAACTCCAATCGCTGATAGCAGGACACTCCAGCAGACGGTCGGGACGCATGACTAATGGCTTCTACCAAAAGGCCCCTATCTTTAAATTTGATATTCAAAGCACCCTCTAAGGCATCAAAGTTGACACTCCTAAGTACATTCTCTGGAACGGTAGATGACTTCGGTGTGCTCTCTACCCCATCAGGATTAAACTCTACCTCAATTCCAATCCATTTCATGAGATGGTTAGCAGCGTTTTTCCCACCTTCTACATAATAAACTCCAATAAGTGCTTCGACAACATCTGCAAGTGTCTTGCTAGAGAGGACTCTATAAGAACTTGAGTCGCTCTCAAGCTCACCATCCTCTAGCTCATCATCCTCATATGCATCACCAGAGCGATTGATTTCACCTACAGGCCCATCCTCGTGATCAAACAAGGATGATTCTTCATCCTTCGTATACTCATCAAAGACAGGCAAGACCCCAGGAGCAGCCCACCGAGATGGAGAAAAGCGATCTGCTTGGATATATGATTGAAGTCCTTTCTTCAATGCATACTGATATAAAACCATGTTACTCACCATTTGTTGCCTCATCCTAGTAAGCTGACCCTCATGTTTCTGAGGGTATTTGAGAAAGAGAAATCGACTAACAACCCATTTCAGGTAAGCATCACCAAGAAGCTCTGCTCTTTCATAGCAAAACGTCTCCTGGCATGAAGCTGCTGTCAAGGCTTCCAAGATCTGTAGATAGGCAGCACACATCAGTCAAGTAGTTAATGTTCGCTTAAAATAAATAACCCGAGATGATAAAATACCTTTGAAGCAGGGATAGGATAATTTATTATATCTTTAAGTTCAACTGCAAGCAGCATGCTTTCAACCCTTCTCATTATCGAGGGCAATCTCTGGGCTCCACGGACAAGTGATCCGGGCAGTGGGTGTACTAAACACAGCTCAGGAGGGAGGAAAACATAGTTACGTTTGTGTCTAAGAGTCTCTTCTGATTCACCATCGTAATTACTACATAAAAGCTTCAATTCAAAAGTGAGACAGAAAAAAAAAAAAAAAAAAAAAAAAAAAAAAAAAAAAAAGGGAAAAATGAAAAACATACTATTTAATGGTAAAGAGTAGCATGTACCTTCCATGTGTTCAAATCGAGGAGACAGGAGATTCTTACAATATGAGACACCACGTCCTCTTATTAGAGGTTGTTGTTTATAAACCAACTCAACTCCATACCTATATAAAGAAGATATAATAGCCAAATGCACCCTTTATTGTGCAAGAAGAAAGAAGAAAGCTTTTCCAATCTGTAAGGGTTTACAACTATTGTAACTGGAAAATTTATTGGAACATTTCTTTAATGAATCCAAAAATTTTCCACCTGACAATAATAAACCTCAGATTACGATTAGGTGGTGTTTGGTTCATGAAAATGAAAACCTTTTTCAGTACCCAGAGAAGTGAAAAAGAAAAATGTTGTCATAAACTTCTATAAAATTTGTAAAAACAAGTTTGGTTGGTAAAAAAGAAAACTAAAGAACACTAAAGGGGCTGTCTTTATCTGAAACTGCATTTTCAGATGAAACTCCATGTTTCCAACCATACTAGAATTTTCAAATTCTTTTGAGAGTTTCCCAAAAATGGCTTACTCCTCGTTTTTAGGATACAGTTTTCATTTTTACACAAGAAAACAAGTTTTTTTAAATACTGATTTTCAGTTTTTAGTGAAAATGGGAACTGAAAATTGAATGCTTTCATGAACCAAACACAACCTTAGCTTTCCTCCTCTTCAAGCACGTAAGCTAGGGCGCATTGTAGCTATCAATTAGGAATCAACCAACTTCTAGGCTTAGAAGAATAAATCTAGAAAGGCATGATAAAGTAAATAATAACATCAGACAATCTAGAATGGCAATGAGTATGTAACTAATAACATCAGACAATCTAGAATGGCAATGAGTATCATACTTTTGCTTGTAATAATCAGCATATGAGCTGTACTCCAGAGGGCCAAGGTAGCCTTCTTTCCTTGGGAAAGAGTTTTCTGCAGTCATATCATAGCATATTGAATCCACATAAAACCTCTTTCCTGAGTGAGCAGCTGTCACAATCCTCCCTACCAAGTCTTTGACACTGCTACAAGTATCTGCCATAATTAACTTGCCTTTGGGCAAATCCATATGCTTTCTCATTTCAAGGGCATCCCGATCTGGTACCAATCCAGAAGCTTTAACAACATCAAACCGTGCCACAGCACCTCTGATACCATAGGTTGGATGGGATTTTTGCCCAAAAGCCATGCCATTACGCAATTTCCCAAAACCATACTCCCTTCTGTCTCCACCTAGTGTACGCTCATTTGTGCCAAGGTAAACATCTGGTCGAGCTCTTTGAAGGGGATTGTTCCAAGCATCTGCACCATTTATATTTTCAACCAGATCCCAATCAATTTCTTTCATAGGATCTACAAATTTATCACCGACCACAGGAACAAACAAATAAGCCTTTGCAGGATCCCAAGGAGTGGTGGAAGGTTCAACATCCACATCCAGTACAATACTCATCAATCTCACATGAAAACTTTTAAGGGATGCCAACTGTACACAAAAATTGAAGTTTTGTTTAAACATCAGTAACTCTAAGTCTAACAGTAAACCATTTATAAAACAAATACACTCCAGAATTGTAATAGATTACTAACCTGACTTTCAGTAATATCTATTGAACCCTTGAAGACAAGGGACACCTTTGTAGTCATGGTTCGAGCGATAAATAGATCCATATACATCGATAACACCTATTAACAGAAAATGAGTAAACAAAGAAAGGGGACAGAGAAATTAATATCATCACGCTTATGGTACAAATGGAAATAAGGTACCTCTGCATCCAGTTCTTTGCCTACTAGAACTGCAAAATCCGAAACTTGAGTCAAGAATGGATCTTTTGAAGAGCCAACGTCTACACATTTCACACCATACATGTAAACATGAACCAATTTGGAGTCACTGCCCAAATCTCTTCTGGATAAGATCCATTCTCCCTGAAATGCCAGAGAGTAAAATTATGAATTATGTAACACATATGCGTAAGAACGAGGAACCTCCAACCAAGAATCAGCAAGTATTAAACACGGATACTGCCATACTTAGCTTTTTACTAGAGAGACAGAATTAAGTGTCTAGTATAGTAAGAATATCTTCCAAATCAGATAATTTTACAGGTTTGAGGTTTATATTTCGCATCAATTAGTGCATAGTCCCAAGCTTTAGATTTTTTTTTCAGAACACATATTAATATGAACCCAACAAGAAGGAAGAGAATTTTTAAGAATTGTTGTAAAAACCTTAAGAAATTAAAACATTTAAAAAAAATTATTGCTCGGCCTACCCAAATATCAGCAAAGATAATCTAAAGCATATGGCATACGGAATGAACGAACCTGTAGAATATTAGCTATGCCTTCAGGATAGAACTCTCTGTGCCTAGCAGTCCCAGGAAGTGGATCACCTTCATCAGTCTGGTCAACCTGTTCTTTTTCTTCCCCACTTCCCTTGTCTGGCAAGAGCATGTCGGTAAATGCTCCCATTTCATGGAGTTTCTTGCAAGCAGCCAAACAAACAGCCTGCATGACAAGGAAAATATAAATCAACATCCTTGGATGATGTGAAGCAAAGGTATTGTGATCGTAGAAGAACAAAAGCATGCCTGTTGTGCAAGGTGCATTGAACTACACACGGGACCCTCAAGTGTCTCAAATGGTGCATTACAAGGGAGTTGAAGTTTGCATGAATATTCTGTGGGACCTCCTAGCTTCTCATGCCTCACCATGACAAACTCAGGACGAAGAATTGAATACCTGAATAACAGATTTAAGGAAAAATCAGTAATATGCAGCTACAATTCTTGGATGTTCCAGCATAAACATTACTCTGACGAAAGAAGAACCTGTCACTGGGAAGCTGAGAGCAGTAGAAATGGATGAGCCCAACAGCAGAATTTAAGCTAACAACAGCACCAGTTGACTCGACCTGGTACACTGTACCTGGTGTTGTGTCCACTGAAATTAACCTAGAAGTATCCTTCAGATGACTCAGGTCAGTTCTCTCTATTGCTTCTTTCCGTAAAGTCTCCTCGCTATTCCTGGCATTCCTTAAGAATGCTTCATGCGACAGATTTCCCCTACAAGGAACCCAAAAAAGAAAAGAGAGTTTGTAATCTGATATCATATGAAAGATAATGAAAAGATTAAAGTATAGTGACAAATTTACCCCACACATTTAAAAAAATTAGGTTCAAGTAATATGAGCAATTTTATGTGAAACATCATAAACAGATCATCATGACCGATAAAATGTTGATATAGATACCAAGCAACTAAGTACCTCTCCACCATCAAGATGTAATCCGACCCAGGTTTTCTAGCACGACCCCTAGACTGAATGTAAGCCAAAACAGTTTTTGCAAGGTCGAAGCGAATAACAACATTGCACTGCCGAATATCAAGTCCTTCCTCAGCAACACTAGTGGCAACTAATAATGTGACCTACATAGAAGAAATTCTTATATTAGAGAACATCTAACCATGAAAGTTTTGCCTTCCATTCAATTTAGTCCAAAAGTGTAGTGCATGGCGTTTATACATACACGACCATCCCGGAATTTGGCAATAGTATCCTGCATTTGGCAACTTCGCATTTCCTGACTATTGTTGTGCCCGATCAAGCTTGCACACTCAATAAAACCTAAAGAAGGAAGTTCTGCGAATACCTGCATGCTTGGAAACACTATAGGGTGAGGAACTTGAAAATATTCAATAAAGACAGAGAAACAATGTTTATGAACGCTATTTTTAAAAATAAAATAAAATAACAAAATCTATTACAAATACAACCTTAGGAAGGACTAAAGCAGACACAACTCGCTCCACAAAGATGATTGCACGAAAATCTTCTGTATGCTGATACTTGAGAAGTACTTTAATCAGTGACTGCACTTTTGGAGTCACCTTCCCATCAGCTACAGCAGCGCCTATTACCACATCTACATGCTCCCCACCAGAGACAACTACACCACACCAAGTAGGCAAATTTAGAAGAAATGCCAATCAAATGAACTCATTAATGATCAAGAGCATGGTCTACAAAAAATAGGCACAGCAAATGTGTAGCGTGTTTGTGGTCCAGTTGCGTAACCCTGGAACATATTGAAGGCTCATCCAGCTCAAGTAATTTTCCCTTGAATGCTTTACATGGTAAATAATAATTATTTATGCATGATCTTCAATGATATGGGGCATTTCATGTGCAGAATGATGATAGAAAACTCTCCTCCACCAAAACAGTCCAGGTTACGTTCTAAATTTCAAGCATACAGAAATTATTTTCCATAATTTGACATTCTGTAGTCTAACTTTAACCAATGACTTTATTTCTTCTATTAATAGCTTGAAAACAAATTTCCTTAACTTTCCACTTGTCATAAGTCATGAATAACTCCCAAAAGGGGACCAGCATATTTTTTTGGCAGCTCGAGAAATCTAATTTCTTAAAACTTAATACTGAACAGTTAACAAAAGTAAACAGCCCGACTAACCATGGCTATCAGGTAGCTCTCCTTCTTCCATTTCATCAGGGTCATTTTCATCGCAAGAAAAAGCACTTCCAGAATCTGCTAATTTTGCTTCCTTGTCAGAAACAGCTCCCTCCGATAGATGACATTGTAAGAGAGATACAACTTTACTCAGGTAGGATTCTTGAAACTTGACATCAAGCTGGTAGTTTGCCCTCTCATCATTTTGCAGAGCTGTCAAGAAAGATTGTGCAACCTGAGAAAATAACAGACTGAGCAACAGTTTCACAAATGATTAAATAGCTAATCTTGACACATATATTAATAATTGGTACCTTGTAAGCACACCATTGACCCAGTTCACCGAGTGCATAATTGATAGCCCTCAACTTTTGAATTAAGTTCACAGCCCCATCACTTTCTGTTCTTTCGGAAACACCATAAACTTGGCGCAGCTCTTCCTTAGCCCCAGCATCTCTAGCTCCCATAAACTGCCATTTGCTTTTTCTAGAGCTAGACTTTGCAGCTTCTTCAACTTCCCCTTCCATTTGTTTTAGCTGCTCATGAAGGGACCATAAGCTGGCTGCTTTGTCATACTGCACCACAATTTCGGAGGGCGTTGGAACATGCTTTTCAAGCTCCTTACGGTCTTTTATGGTACAAACGATGGAATCTAGTTTACTTTCGAGATTACGAATCTTTATTGCACAATCTACTTGGCTGGAAACACCTGAATCAAACATAGTCATAAGAAGCATCAATATATTGTGATTTAAAACATTGCCATGAAAAAAACTAGAGTTGAATTTAAGATGTACAATCTTGAGTAATGTCATAACTTGACAAAAGAAAAATACCCTTTAAGTTAACAGGAGAAGCAGTCATTCCAAATACAGATGGTCTCTTCTCCTTTGGGGTTGTGTGATAGAACTCAGACATCACTAAAGAATATGGATGTTTCTTCACAGCGTGATGACACTCATCCAGAATCAAGAGATTGATTGATTCCATTTTTATAATGCTGTGCCTCAGAATGTTCAACAGAATTTGGGCTGTCATCACCAGAACCTGCGGGGGAAAATATCAAATAGTAAACAAGAATCAAGGACTGAGCAGGAACTATCCTAAGCAACAGATGATACCCAAAAAAGGCATTAGAAGTGAAAGTGTTCAGAACATGAGAAGAGTAGCAAACTACATGTTCTAATAACAAAAACTGTAAGACCTACCTGTTTTGTGTCGAACTCACGCTGCCATCTTCGGGTGTCCCAGAAATCTTGACCCATCTCACCACAATAATGGCCCACTTCATAACCAGTTCGCTCACGAATAGCTTCTGCTTGCTGAAATTGAACCAGAAGTAAAAAAAAAAAGGCATAAACTCAAAATGTGCAAATTGCACCAAAGAAAGTAACACTTATAAACAGAAAACAAGTCTTTAAACTTACACATTCATTACCTGATAAACAAGGGGAACTTTAGGAACTAAAAATACAGAGAGCATCTTCTTGTTCTGCTTTTGCATATCATTGCAAATACTTTGGATGAGGAGAACGGCAATGAGTGTCTTTCCCGCCCCTGTTTCAAGAAAAGCTATTGTATTTCTCTTCTTTGCCTGTTCAAGAACATCCAATTGATACTGCCTGGCTCTCTCCTCAGGAATTTTTCTTTAACCTCTTCGGGTTTCTTCTCAGCCTTCCCATTGCATTCCTGGTTTTTGACATCAGTAATCTTCCCTTCTTTGTTATGATCAGGTTCGTAAGGCCCTATTCGAAAAACAATATCATTCGTTCCCAACTTATCCCTCTCCCAATAACCCTTTGCCTCCCTATCTCTACCACCTTCCCTCCTATTATTACTACCATAATTCTCTCTTCTCCTAGTCCGATCTCTATCCCTATCTCTATCTCTATCCCTCCAATCAATATCCTCTGAATCACGAGGCCTCTTCCTACTATAACTATTCTCCCTCATGTGATGTTGCATTCTGCCTGAAGCAAAATACCTCTCATTCCTGCCATTATCCAAAGCAACCCTCTTGGGACATCTCTCTTCACCATTCATCTCTCTCCTCCTCACAACCCCATTGCCTCTACCCTTCTCATACTTATGATAACCATTTCGATCACCCTTAGTGTCTCCATTAGCAATATCCACATTCCTCCCACCGGTTTCACCATTGAGCCCAACCGAGCCATTAACTTCCACCGTCTTTGAAACCCTGGATGCCTCCATCTGAAAGCAACCCTCCACAGCAGCATTGCCAATAACACCATTGGCATTGGCATTCAAATTCGGATCAATCACGCCGGGGAGGCCAGCTCCGCTCTTGATACTGTCAAGAATGTGATCAATTCCCCCGAAAAAATCGCTCACCAGACCATCCTCCTCCTGGCTGCAGCCATTGCCGCTAGCCAACACTGGAGGGCCACCAATTGGAGCGTCGCAGAAATCAACCAAATCACCAATTACATCACATGATATGTCCTCACAAGCATCGAGCCAGTAGGAGGAATCTCGAATGGCCTCCGAGCCATTCCCAGTCCCAGTGTTCCCGGAAACCCTAGCCTCCTCCTCCATTCTAAGCTCACAGCTCTACTATCTACTAAAGCTATATCTATCAGACTATAATCAGTATCTATAAGTATAGCAATCTATATAGTAAAATTGTATATAAATCTATGAAAAGCTCAATCCCATTAGCAATAACAACAACAATTAAATTGAAATTGAAATTGAAAGATAAAAAGTGTTAGAGAGAGAGAGAGGGAGAGTAAGAGAGGAGTGGATAGACCGTACGGAGACGCAGAATGAATGATGAAGAAGATGGGTTTGTTTTAAAAGGAACCCTAATTAAGACCAATTTTGATTTCTCATTTTTTTTGTTCGATTTTTTTTTTTTTTTTTTTTTTTTTTTTTTTTTGGATTTTGGTTTTTTTTTTTTGGGGATTTTTTTTTCCTTCTTTCTGAGATTCCACGGTCTATCTACGCCTATTATGCTCTCTCTATCTCTCTTCTTCCTTCTTTGACCAGAGACCATAAACCCTCACGCTCGCTCCATGCTCTCTCGCTCTCGATTCTTTGCTCTGCTTTCAGATTTAGAGAGAGAAGTGGAGCAGAGAGGAGAGAGAGAGAGAGAGAGAGGACAGTAGCCAAAGCCAAAGACACAGAGACAACAGACACACGGTTTCCCTTTTCATGCTTTTCGAAATTCCCTTTTTGCCCTCTTTCTACTCTCTAATTAATATTCCCTTTTTGCCCCTCCTCCTCCTCTTTTCATTGTGACTGGCCACGTGGACATTCAACGTTGTTCTGATTCGTTGGCGAGTTGGACAACACTTTCCACTACTTTGTACTTACCACTCGCCAAGTCCAGTGGTCTGTGGAATCCACCCGGAGATTGAGGACCGGACAAGGGGGGTAAAGCTAAAGCCACCGCACTGTTTCTTCAGAAAGTCAAAGGCGATGGGACTTCCTGACCGTCGGATCGGATGTATGTTGGAGATAGTGGGGGAGCTGGGAATAATTTGCCTAGATCAGGTTGAATATTTTTATCCCATCAGATTTTTTGTGTCGTGGGACCCCAAATCAGACTGGTCGTGACTAGGCTCTCTGTGTAGTGGATGCTAGTGTTATCCCGGAATATCTACACTATCTTTATGGCATTATTATGATTCCATATTTATTTTTTTTATTTTTTTATTCTATAATAAATATGAATTCAACTAAAACATTAGCTTAATTTTAATTAATTTCTTGCTTTTTTTTTTTCAAATTAATTAATTTCCTAACTAGTTATAATATATAAAAATAATAAGAATATAAAGTGTATCCTTTTACCAATTCGAATCAACACGCAATTAGTTTTGTTGGATTTTGATTGGCCTATTTGGGAACTGCCTAAATCAAAATAAACTGTTTATGTTAAACTTTACTTTTTTAATATACTAGTCATTATCATGCTTCATGCCACACATCGATATCAAATGTTTAATGGCAAAAATTAAAATTTATACTTCATTCGAAGTCACATCATATCAGAGTCGGCTCTAACTTTTGTGTGGCCTGGGGGCATAAATTAAAATGAGACTTGTCTCCTTTGCATACAAACAATATTTAACAATAAATAAAGAAAAAAATTATACAAATCTTGCAGAGTTTTGATTAATCTAGCTTTGCTTTCCGAAACTTATTGCACAAAGGATGATACAATGCAAATCTACAAAGAAAAAATTATAGTTAAATCATGCAATTCATAATACATATCTTTGATCACACCTTAGCTTAAATTAAATACATAAAAGGTTATACATGCCCTTTTTCTTTTTCTTTTTGGTCAATAAAGTTTCATTAGGCACCCGCAAAAGGCCAACAAAACAAGAAAAACATGGCACCTAAGAAAACTAATGAATTTTTAACCTTTAATCCCTGGAATTTCAAAGAATTAGCACTAATTTTTATTTTGGATCATTAAGTTTTGGACACCTAAAAGATATATAGAGCATATATAATTTTTGAGGCCCATGGATAACTGCATCATATATGGTAACAAGTCGGCCTTTCATCATATATCTCTCTTTAATTGGGCGGCATGTATATGCTCTAGATTGGCCCAAAATCTTTGTCTACAAGGACATGGTTCCAAGTCTTGAAATCCAAGTTTCTTGGCCGAATGTTTGGCACTTGGCCTAAAGAGGAAGTTCACCTGAAAGTCATGGGGGTTCAAAAGTCTTGATATATGTTTCTTTTTTTTCTTCAGGGAAATTGAGGAGGAATTTGAACACATCAGCTATATGGATAACTGTTTTGTTGAATACAAGGAGATTTCTCACGTACACATTACTAATGTGTTGTGGGAGTTCAAAACCCGCAATCTCTGGTATGCCAATTCAGATCATTTTTTACTAGACTAGATTCCGTTGGCACATAAATAACTACTCTCATACTGAAGAAAATAGGAGATTCACTTCATTCTATATATTTTTTACTTGTAAGAATTCAAAATATTTCACACGTGTTAACATATTTTGTTCTCTTGTGCGGAATTTAAACCCAATGATTTAAGCCCCAAATTATCCCTCCGCGTAGTCTTATTCAACTTTATAATAATTCTGCCTCACACACCCATACCCCACCAGTTGCCACACCACCAAATTAATCACTCCTTCAATTCTAAAAGACCCAATCTCTGCATATATTTCGTTGGCATCCTTAATTGCATCCAAAACAAGCTTCGCAATATCATCAAATACCTCAAATTAAATAATTAGGTTCAAGGTATGCCCGGCCTTGGGATGAGGTAGCTTCTCATTCTCCTAAACTTATCTTTTTTTTAAAAAAAATATTAATGATTAGGTCCAATATCTCTAGAGTTCCTTGATATATTAACTGCATCCAAAAAAAAAGAAACTTGACAATTAGTGAGAAGAAAACCAAAAGTTAGGCACTTTGGTTGGTGGATGTCGGAATTAATCCTGTGACGGTTTCTAGTTTACTTTTTCTAGTTGAAAAGGAACTTAAGATGACAATGGAGTTTGATACAAACTATACACATTCTTTATTTATTCTTATATTATGTACTGTCAAAGGCTGAAAGAAAATTTGGTGGTATGCCTTTACCATGAGACAGAAACCAACCAAATATTACATGCCCCACCCAACCCACTTTTTCAAAATTCCCTGCATATAGATCATGCTCTCATTGCACATAGTAGTCATAGAATTGAATTAAGTTCAATTTTCAGGTGACCACCAAAGTCCATTAATACTGCAACTCTGCAGACCCACACAAATATCAAATTGAGTTTCCCTTTCTACCTCGAGAAAAAGATGTGTGTTTTATGAAAGTGGTATACAATTTTCACATTTCGATTGAACGGAAAGAAATGAATAAAACGAGACAAAAAAAGTGCAAACGAATAGAACGAGAGTGGGAAAATCGCTACCCTTTACTTTGTGAACGAGGAATAAGATTGATCTTGCATATTTTGTACATGATATATATATTCTTGTTCCCTACAGGTGCTGCTCACTTTAATTTCTTACCATAGACTTATTCATAATGATCGTACACTTTTTCATCCATTTGGGATCCACATGCATTTAGTAGCATTATAAATACGTATGCTTGGACTGGACCACTGCTAACATAATAGATGTGATCATTTCAACTTTCATGACCTACCTATCTTTAAACTTTGGCGGACATCAAAATGCATATATAGGATGATACTAAGTAGGAGGAAGTAGCTGGGTGGGCTTAGTGGGCCAGCAGCTACCCTACTGCTGGAGGGCATCCCCCCATGTTTATATATGTTTACCTGAATTTGTCACCTTATTTATGTTTCTCGTTTTTATATATGTGGACATAATTAATTGGGTGTTTAAATATATAGAGGTTCCTGAATTGAATTTTTTTTTAAAGCAATTACATCATTTAACTCGACAAATATTTTTATTTATTTAAATGTAGTCATTTATTAGAAGGATAATTCAGACTTCTGACAACACAAACCTCATTTCCATCTGTCTTTAGTTGATTTTTCATATTGCAGACCCTTTTTTTATTACCTTTATCTGTCTATTTTCATTTACTCCACATGCTTCCAGATCTGTGGAAGCCTTCTTCCACAGTTCCACCTGTGTTTTTTCTTCGCCATAAAAAATACACATAACATGAATACGTTTGTTGTATAGGGGAGGTCGATTTTTACTGGGTGTTGGATATGACTGAAAGAGATGATTTTAATGGGACTTCCAGAATCTAGGTGCAGGTCAAATATATAAGTTTAGTTGCTCATTGAGAGAGAGAGAGAGAGAGAGAGAGAGAGAGAGAGAAGCACAGGGATTATTCAAGATTGGATTTTTTTTGGGCGGTGTGGGTTTTCTTTTTCCTATTCAGTAGAGAAAGTAAAAGCCAAAAAAAGTAACGAAGGTTAGTCCAAAAAAGCAAAAGCCACTGAGGATGAAGATCAACAGCAAGAGGACCAGCTAAGGATAAAAGAAGAAGGAACATCATCGGCTTCTATAATTTTGAGGGTTTGGGAGGTTGAGAGATTTTTTTATTTTATATTTTCTACTTTTTACTTTAATTATAAGTATTATATTAATATTTTAATAGACGATTTTAACCCTCAAATTTACAGTCAAATTGACGGTATTGCAACTACATGTCGAAGTTTGTAAAGAAAAAAAAAAAAAAAAAAAAAAAAAAAAAAAAAAAATCAATTTTCAAATTCATTCCATGCATAAAATATATAAAACCCAATTAATTATGTCCACATATATACACACGAGGAACATAAATAGGTGACAAATTAAGAGGTAAAGTTTAAAGACCTATACAATTAAAAACCCTAATTAATTTGTTACCTTTAAGCGCAGTAAATTAATTAATTTTGCACGATTCCACCAATTAATCACAGCCGTGGAAAATTAAATTGGGTTCGCTAGCTTCCGTATGTAAATATTAGTTGTAAGACATGGATGGAGAAAAAAGAAAAAGATATACATTAACCACTCTGTTTGCAGATGCGTGGAAGGGTCTTGATTTGCAGACCCATAGTCTTAAGTTCAAACCC